GCTTATAGTTATAACCTTATTCAACGTTAATTGCTTTAATTTTCGAGATTTTTCTTCTTAATCTGTTAAGCACAATATCGACCTGTTTTATAAATGTTCATAACATAATTTAAGATAATTACCTTCAATTAGAAAAAATATATTATAGATAAAATTATATACAATGGTTATTGATAAACCACAAAAAAAAGTTGCTTATCCAAACCTTAGGAACCTTATAGTTAAGTACCACTCTTTGAACACAATATTTACCGTCATGTTATCCCAACAATATACCTATTATAGTTTAAATGTCTCACCTCACCTATTAGAAAACAGCTTCATAGGCTTTTCCAACCATACTTGAAACCCTACATAAACAATTGAAAATATTAGTTTATTTTAATAAAATTTAACAAATACCGAAAGTTTATAAAAAAGAGATTAAATAGAATATCTGAAAATAGAACAACCTAGTATATAAAGATTTAACAAAGAACAAATGTAAATTTTGAGTGCTATAAACGGAACTACATTTTATTGATTAAACTATTCAATTTCCTAAATAATGTACTGATTAAATATTTGTAATTTAATTTTGCTATTAGTAGAAGTTATTATCTAAAATAGAAATCAGAAATATTTTCGGAATTTATAAGCTATATTTTAAAATCAATATTTAATGGTTTATATAATTTAATTATCCAATTACCTAAAATTACGCTCTGATTTTATTTTAAAATTTTATCATAATTTATTAACATCTAACAATCTATATTTTAGGAACAAACATTTAATGGGTTTAGATATTTTTATAATTCAGTTACCTTAATATACGTTCTAATCTGTTTTTAAAAAATCAAGTTAAATTATTCTATTTGTTATAACTAAAGTTATATGTTTTACACTTTTTTAATTATATACTATGCTCACTTTATTCAAAATTTTTCCCTTTTAAGTAGATGATTATGGATTAAGAAATGAACATTATTAGTGAAAATATTTATTTTATTTTTTTACCAAATTTGATTCATTGAAATCGGTTTCTTATAAGCATAGTTGTTTTGTAATATGTATTTAGATCACGATTAATTGATTGCTTTATTTTAGGAATGTTAGTTAATTATTGATTAAATTAATTTATTAACTATATTAAACATTAGTCGATGAATCCAAACTAATGAATAAATTGTTTGCTATAAATAAGGTATTTGGTTATGATGGTGTCGAATTAAATTTTATGAGTTTAATTTGTTTATATAATTTTTTCTATAATTAAGGGGTTCAGTTATGTAGTTTTCTTATAATCACATTAGTTTTGTTTTACTTTTTTAATTGTATAAACTATGATTGACTTATACAAAATGGTTCCCTTTTAATAGTATAGATAATAATTAAGTAGCTTTTGAAAAAGACCAAGAGATAGTCTAGATTTTAATTAAATGAAAGTTTAGTGAGGTTAAATGATAAGTTAAGTGGATAGTTTTTTTGGAATAGGATTAGTCTTTTAATATTTTTAGTCAACCAAATAGGATTAGTCCAAATCGATGATCTATGCCCTAGACTAGTACTTAACAATCCCTATGATGATCCCAATGCCTTTTTAATTATTATTATTGTTAGATCCTTTGATTGTTTGCTACTTTGTTTGGATTCATTTGCTTAAGTTTGATTTATGTTTAATCCTAATGCATAAGATAAAACTACTTCAATTTGTGTGTTCGAGGTATCTATGCCTTGTCTAAAGAAGCAGTTAGTTTATTAACAAGCCAATAAGCTCACAAGCACACACTTTAATTTCCCTTATGCCCGTCACTTCTATCTCATTTGCTTATGAACTTATGAAGATGGCTGTTCATATATATATATATATATATTTGCAGCTGTTCTCAGTGTTGTTTCATCATCCTATAGATATGCGTGAATCAATGCCTTTCTACTACAACGCATGCACTGTGTGATCAGGAGGTCCAACCAAATAGGTTAAACAAAGGAGCAGTGGCTCAAAGGTTTAAGGGTCTGTATATGTTAACATTTTAAAATATAGCACAATTTGTTAATACTTCATCCGTTTCAGTTTAATTGATGTTTTAGCCAAAACAAATTGTATATTTACGTGATGCTTTCAAAATTTAATGTACTTAATATTTTTTTGATCAATCATATTTTACATCATACTTTCTTATTGGTAACTGAATCCATTTTATTTAATGATGTTTTTATGGAGAAAAAGGTGAATTATATGTTTTATGAATCTATGTGTAAAAACTTTAACCATCACTTAAACTGAATCGGAGGGAGTATTGATTAAGACCCTATAAACATAAAAAGGTGTCTTTATGTATAAATATGTCAAGATATACTAGTAATACTCATAAATACCACTAAATTGGGTCTATTTAAAAAAAAAACTATTATCAGTTAAATCATATTATACTTGGTGTCGAGAACGATTATTTCGATGTTTTTAATTAAAAATAGAAATTATATTATATCGCAATACATTACAAGTTATATGGTAAACTCATCATTAGCGTGTTAAATTATTTATTATATTGTTCATAATTGTTGTATTAAATATTTAGCAAACGGTAATAATTAAATTATCAAGGTAAATAAACATGGTAATGTATAAGTTAGTTGATATTGATGAAATTATCGAACAAATCATTGTTTCTTATTGCTTTTGCGATGAATTGTGTTCTCGTACGATATTTTTGGAGTCTAAATAAATAATCATTTTGACTTACGATATCGAATATCTTATTATATAAACCTTGCTTTTCAAAGTCAGTCATTAACAAGATCATGACACGTGTCAGTTATAAACGATAAGATGTTGACACGTGTCGTAATTAATTTTGTTAATATTTGGATAAAATAGAAATATTATTAACCCTATCGAAAAAGATTGTGACATGTGTCTAAATAATACTTATCTTATTATTAAATAATACATGTGTCCAAATGAAAATAATTCTCTTATTTTTTCAAAAAAGAGATTTGAAATTTTTTTTTTTATAAATTATAATATATTTTAATTTTCATTTAATCTATACTATATAAAAGTTGAGGCTATAAGCTTTTGAGAGAGTCCACGTGGGATTTTAAACAACCAATCGGGATTAGACATCTCATTATTTTTAATGTTTAACTAAATACATAATTTTATTCATGATTTTTATTTTATAATATGTTATATTTGTTTAATTTTTAATTTATGTATGAATGTATTATGCTATTGAGCAATTTCGTTGTCTAAAACATTAGGGTGAATAAAAGATTTTCGAAAATAATATTTATAGCTTAAATTAAAGATAACAAAGTTCAATATAAATCGTAACATAGTAATTTTAAAATATTTTTAAAGAAAATATGTAGTTTTCTATAATTCGTATTTGAAAGATTTTTAATGTTTTCCTCAACGATGCTATAGTTTATTTTAGAATTTTTATGTTTATTTGCATTGTTTATATGAATTTATTTACAAATGACTATATTTGTATTTAACATCATATTTTAGATTGATGTTCATTTGAAAGAACTTTACCATCATATTAAATAATAATAAATTAATTTTCATAGTCTGAGAATGGTTTTTTTAAAAATTGAAACTTAAGAAATAAGTTTTTTTACAAAATGTTATAATCATGTTTAGAGGATAATTGCTAAATTAAGATTTTTTTAAAAATATTTTAGCAATATTTTGAGTAATGATGAATAGCTCCCAAATAGCTCCCAAATGTTTTGGTCATTGTCAATTTGACATTATTGGATTTTTATAATTAACATTCAATAACAAATTTTAAGAGATATATATATATATATATATATATATATATATATATATATATATATATATATATACACGTTTATTTGATACTTCAAACCAAATAAAATCTCTTTCCAAATGAAATTAATTTCTCTTATTTTTTCAAACATACCGGCGTAAAAATTTATTTTTTATAAGTTATAATAAATTTTAATTTTAATTTAATTTTAAATAAAGATAACCCGTCCATCGGACGGGTACTAAACTAGTATATATATATTTCTTTGTTATTGTTAATATATAATATATATTTTAGATCCATATATTCGTTATTTGATAATAGTGCAGGTAAAGTTATAATATATTATTTATCTTTCGCTTATGATAATTCATGTGAAAATGTTATTGAGTTATTTTGGCCATATAAAAAAAACGAACTAATTAATCAATAAATGATGTTATTTACTAAAATAACCCTTTTTTATATGTCCAAATTAAAATTATTAAAATTTATTTTGATTTTATTTGATGAGCCAAAAAGTAGGTGTGGGAAAACTAAGAATGGAACTAGTATTGGGGGAATAGTGAGTAACTTTAATTTCATGATAATAGCTCCCTTTTTTATCAGACTTTACTCTAAGAACTACGGTAAATAAGCTTGGTGGTCATAAGCCAAGACAATAACCTAACTAGCCTCTTTTTACCCTACTTTTTACATTTAACACTCCAATTCATTTTCTTTCTCTTCCACATAATAGTTCAAGATTTTTATTTTATTTTTATATCTATAACTTTTTTAAGAAAATGAGTAATATAATAAGAAATATAATTTTTTCCTATGTTCAAATTAAATAATGCGAGTATCTATCTATACAGTATTAAAAAATGCTGAATTTTAATATAAATTATATATGTATATATAGAGTATATATATATATATATATAATGATTCATAATGAATAATCAGGTTGAAAATAAAATATGCTGAATTAGATTTCTAAAAATGCTGAATTTTGATAAATTACAACACCAAATTTGTCACCTCCTTACAACTTGCCATAACAGCATTTTTGTACGAAAAAAAAAAAAAAAACATTTTGTACACAACCATTGCACTACTTTTAACTATTGAATATTTTTTACATGTAAGTATTCTAAAGATATAAGAAGATGTTTATGGTGAGAGGAGAGAGGCAGAGCGGATCAATATGAAAAGAAGATTGAGAGGATGCAGAGTAGATTTCTATGGTATGTCAAGACGATGTGTGTTGAGACTTTCTCCTCCCGACCCGAGAAATCGGAGAAATCATAAACCACTCGGGCTCATGCTGCTGGAGCTAATTATCTATATTTGTCTGTGTTCTGGGTTTTATGTAAAGTGAATGCGATATTGTGTAGTGTATTGCAATGTGAGAAAAAAAATTAAAAGAGATTTCTGATTTTACCCTTTAAATGTTCCTTTTGCCCTTTGTTGCAAAATTTCGATGACAACATGAAGAGATCAAAGGCAGAAACAAAATTCAAAGACAATTACGTAATAATAGGAACCTACTCATCTGAGTTGGTACTTAATGCCGGTTTACTCCTGCGCCTGTGTAACAAATTACTCCAAGCTCTGAACATTTTGGGACAAAGATAGGGATGTAACTGCATGCTTCTTTCTTTGCGTCTTTGTCTACACTCTCTTTCGGGAAGTTTAGACGATTTTGGTTTATCGAGTTTGTTTGTTTTGACGAATAATGCGATGAAGAACCCTTCTTTGTCCTCGACCGGATCCATCCTGAGTAAATGTTCCGCTGCAAGCCAAAAGCCAACATGATCAAAATGTTAGAAACAGAGTAAATCAGGTGAAAATTAGATGATAAGAGCAATACGTACATCCAGCAAATACAGGAAGACCACGACGCTGCCACTGAGGAAACGGGGTAGCGAGTTCGAAGCCCAATGATGAAGCCAGAGGTAAAACAGATGAGACCACATCTTCGTTTTCTATTTGGTGGATGGAGCATGTGCTGTATACTACTCTCTCAACCTGTGGAACTACAGTATACGCATAGAGTTGAGTACTACTTGAACATGCAATTTTTTAGTTCTCACTAATTTATATAAAACATTAGGCTTATCTTAGTATCCCCATATGGTTTATTCATTCATGGAGGGAATTTTAACATGGATCAACGTGTTTGGGAGATTCTCTAAGTAAAACCCCCATTTTGCTTTAGCCAACATAAGAAAAGTATGTAAACTTACAGGAGAGTGCATGGGCAAGAGCCTTCTTCTGGAAAACAGCGAGCTTGTGCAGTCTCATGGAGTCATAGTTCGTGTTATCTAGATGGAAATGTGTATTAAAGGTTCAGTCACTATTTAACATAAAACATAAACACAGAGAAGATCAATTAATACCTGCTTCGTGAGAAGGAAGGAGATGGTCCAAACGATCTGTAATGGTGCCGGAGCCAGAGCAGGAAGGATCCAACAATATAGCTCGAACCTGCAATAGTCAGCCACACGTAAGCATGAGGAACATTAAATCGAATGACTACATCTGCTTTTGTTCAGAGAGTGACTCTTCACGGTAGCAATCACAACAAAAGAAAAATGAAGAAACTGGTTTTGGAGATTTTTATATTCTAATTGCAGCCATCTCAAGGAGATCTAATAAATAAATAATCCAAAAACATTGGTTTGCGAACTTTTCAAAGAACAAAAGGAAAAACAGATAGCCACATCAGAGTCCAAGTAATGCTTACCTTTGCAAAAGATGAATCTTTTGGATTTAGGCCCAAAAAGTCACCATGAAAAACTTCGATATCTACAACTTGTGGTTAAGAAAAACAGTAGTGGACAGACATGATATGAGATGCATTTATCCAATCAAATTTCATGGGATTCAATGCACTTGGAGACTAACTATCAAACAGAAGCAGAGAAGCTAAAACCTAATAGCGTTATATGTGAAAGAATGGCAGAGAAGGATACTGGAAGCACCAGATAGCTTTATAGTATTTTCCAAACGCTTTACTCGTTCTTCATTTAGCTCGCATGCTATGATTTTTCCTTGTCCTTCCATAAGAGCAGCAAGATGAACAGTTTTGTTTCCTGGAGCTGAACAGGCATCAAGAACCTTGACAAAAGAGCACAAATAAAGTACAGTAACTAGCCAGATAAATTTAATGGATTCCACAATCACCACGACAAGCACCAAATGCAACATTTTATTGCCAACTGGAAAAAATTTAGATAAATGAATCCAAGAGCTGTGGCCTACCTCCCATCCTGCTTCTGGCTGCAATGCTGCTGCTACCATCGAACTTGCTTTCCCCTATCATTCGAAAGAAAAAAAATGTTAGTAAACTTGAACACATATAAACAGAACTCACAAAGATCATTCACCATATACCTGCAAAAATATACGCCCATTCGCAACCAAACGATGATCATGCAAATCGCTGCCAGGTGGCAACACCAACAAGTCAGGAACTGTCTCATCCTTTTGCACCTGATTTCATAGTAAAAAAAAATTGTGTTGAAATCAAATCAGGACACAAAGAGAGATTGTGACATCATTAGAAAAGAGCATCCAATGATTTAACACAAATTACAAACATCTAAGATTTTAACTTAGCTATAACAAAGTTGGGAGAAAATTCCCATGGTTCAGAACTAGAGGTCCCTTCCACTATCAATGAGTCTAACAGATTTTCTATGTTGTTAAAACTTCAATCTCATCCTGTGAGAACTAAACAACAGATCTAGCACACCAATATTATTCAAGGTTCATTAAAAACTTGGTATATACCGTATAATGTTTCTCCAGCTCCTGCACTGCAGAATCTACATCCATCTTAAGTGTATTTACACGAACATAACGTGGTTTTAAATGACCTGCATCCAATTTAAAAAAAATTCAAGATACAGAAACATATTCAAAAATCCAAAAAAATAGGTCTTTCACACATTTATGCTGAGAGTATCGAATACCTTTAAGCTGAGAAACACCCATCAACTGATCTACATTTTCAACTTTCTTTCTCACTAAAAGCGTGGCTAAACCCGACAACAAAGCATCTTTATGCTTCATAAGAAACTTCTCAGCATCACCAATTGATGGAGTATCCTACAACCACAAGTTCCCTTAAGAAAAACCAAAACATAGATATAGTAAAAGCATTCATTGCACAAAACTGAGTTGAGAGAGTTATTAAAACCTTGCCAAATAAGATGTCGTAGCAAATAATGTAGACCAATGGCTCTTGCCTCTACAAACAAAAACTAAGCATTAAAGGTAAATGAAACACAGCAATCTTAGCAAATTAAGATGAACATATACATACCTTCCATTTGCTATTCAACACATTAGCAATTTCAAGAACATCCTTAATCACATTAAGATCTGCAATACACAACTTCATATCTCCTTAATCTCAAAAATCAAATTTGAAAACTATGATTACCGAAGAAGAAGAAGTTTAACATACGCTTGAGAGTTTCGCAAACAAGAGCGAAGGTGGCGCGTTTGTTGCGCACGGAAGGGCTGAAGACGAGTGATTTGATGGAAGCGACGGCTCTGCGCTCGGCGTCACCTCGGAGAACTGAGCGGAGTACATTAGCTGCTTCTCTTCTGGCGTAGAGAGCTGATCTCTCGGAAGCGGAGAACTGTTGTTTGGTAGCCGGCGGGGTTTTTGTTTTTTTAGTCTCGACGCCGGAGAATCGTTGTTTTGCCGGCGGCGTTTTTGGTTTGTGACGACGCGCCATTGATAACTCTCGCGAAACTAAAACCCCTTTCTTGTGCCCTTCTTCGTCTTCGGAGACTTTAAACGCACCGTTTCCAATAACCGGTTCTTTCCAATAACCGGTTTATTAAACCGGTCTCAAAAACTAAATTAGTAACTAGATTTTTTTATTTTTTTATCTACGGTAAAATATTTACGAAAATGTCGGCCACTCAAATATTTTACTTGTTTATAGAGATGTTAATTTCTAGTGAAGAATTACATAATTTCATAAAATTTTATAAAAACTGTAAGATTGAAAATTTTATAAAAACCGTGATTGAGATTGAAAATTTTATAAAAATCTGATTGAGATTAATGAGTCGAAACTGAATTCTATAGAATTTATGAAACGCGATTTATAAGATTTAGTTTCGAGATTTATAAACAACGACTAAGTTGACATTTTAGTCACTCAAAGTTGTTCATTTGATATGTTCTAAATTATTTGTGTCAACATATTAACGAAAAATATGTCTAGACGCATGAAATTACAAAATGCGACACAATTTCACGAATCTTAGAGATTTATAGGATTTAGTTTCAAGACTATAATATTAGATTTTTATTAAGTAACCATCAAATTCATAACATAAAAAAAAGTAGTGTAATATCAAGATTCACTACATCACTTTGTGTCATGATTTATTCATCGATGATTTTGATATTTTGATTTAATTTATAAGTTTTGAAACAATGTTTTGAGAGTGAAGGGTCCAACGAGATCAGACGGACCATCCCACATTAACTCTGCGGTCTGTTGATTAGCCTTCTCAGTCGCATGTGAGCCATCAAAGAACATATAGTCACTAACGTTTTCGCATAACTCGAAACCACGCAATGTTCCTGATTTGTATCCACATGTACTGCTTCCCCTAAACGGTCCACTTCCACAACAAGCCTTCTTCACTTCCTTAAATCCTAATAACCAAAACAAAAGATAATGAAGAGATGTAGAAGAAGCATATATGCATTGTACTTTGTGCGTACTACTTATAAAGTTTGATACCGTATTTTGTAGGATTCTCCATAGCTTCTGTTCCGGCGGTGTAGGAGTCGAAAAGGGAGTATTTGAACCCGGGAAATCGACGTTGTATATCTCTCAAAACATTAGGTATTCGGACATTGTGAAGTTTTATCAACCCGGTGATTGGTTCAAAACATGATCCTATTCTGGTTGGATCCAATGTTAGCATTCCCGGAACACAATCGAGTCGACCCATGTTCATGATACCAAATTTCCTTCCTCCCATTTTATAAATTTCCTACAAAAGAATCAAAGAACATATTAATAGCGATCTTGATACTATTTTGTGATCAAGATCTTTTGTAACAAAATGATCATTTCGAAGCAAATAAATACCTCGATCACAGCCGTGGTGTTACCGATAACATAATCTACAAATCGATCTTTGCTATTGGATTGAAAATAGGAAATGTTACGGGATAAAGGATAGAAATAATCGTTAGGACCGATATGAATGATATAAACAGCTCTCGAGATTATCCTTTTGGTCTCTGCATCTCCTAGTTTCTCTTTGAACATCTTCTCCACATTCTTGAAGTTGTTTAACTGGCTTCCCAATGGTATCACGTTCTAATTAAGAGACAAAAGTAAAAGTGTTTAAACAACTTAAGAGTACATATAAGTAACATTTCTTTTTGCTAACAATCTAGACCATTTCTTGAAAGTACATTTTGAAATTGTATATTATATGAACGAACGTATTATGATATAGAGACAACATATCTCCCAAAATCAAGAAATGTTTGTATGAGAAATAATGTTGAAGAATTATGATAACAATTAAATACCTGTGGCTGATAAGTTTCAACCAAAGCTCCTGCCCCGGCAGAAGCAAAATTAACACCGTAAGTAAATTGATTTACGCTATTTCCGGGCTGTAGATATGGCGGTATTAACGGTAACCATGCATATTCCGCTGCATTCGTCGCATAAAGTTAATAATTTTAGTAATATCATTAGATTCGAAAAAAGATGTATTAGATATGATGCGTATATACGTGTTTTTATATATTTTTACCGATAAAATCCGGAATCAAACGGCCATCGGAAGTTCTCCCGGTTGGGAACTTGAATGTGGTCTGACCGTAAGGCCAGACATTAGACTGAGCAGCTCTAAATGTGTTGATGTAGTTATTGTTGCCAACGTCGAACAACGAGTCTCCGAACACAAACAATGCTGCTTGGTTTGTCAACATGCCATTTTCACAGCTTATCGAACTGATCGATAAAACTATAGTCAGAACGAGTAGTAAGGATATTAAACCGAATCGCTCAATGTTTGCCATATGAAATCGAACTTTTTCAGAAAATGTGTGACATATTATAAGTATAGAACACATCTTGTGTTTTATATAGTGTTAGTGAGTCAAAGCTAGCTAGTTTAAAAAAACTAATTAAGATCGAAATTATCGCAAACGTTTGTGGACAACTTCGCCAGTTCTGATTTTGTAGATTAAATTATAAGATTTTGTTCTTTGGAATGGTCTGAGTTTGATTATAATAATGTGAGGGAAACTATGTATAAAATAATAAAAAATTGAGATAGTCAGTCAAACTTCTTATAAAAATATGCTCTAAATAATTTTAATTGATTATAAAGCTATAATATTAATTTCTTGTCTTTCACGAGATGGTTTGGTCAATGGAATGTTACTTGTTATCATGTGAACTGATTAATTTAATCAAATCAATAAGAAACTTCCAAATCAAAATGCTATTATTTTTTTCTGTGTGAGCAACTAACAAAATAATAGGTAAAACTAGATAGTAGCATGTAATTTTATTTTCTAGATATTAAGTATGTAATTTTTTGTTGCTATAAAAGGTAATTATATCAGTGATAATGAAAATATTGTAGGTTATAATCAAAATAATAAAAATTTTATAAACATGGTTCTAACATGAAAACATAAAACGGTAATAAAACTAAGTTCTCAGTCTATTTGCTCAATTTTTGTTAATCCTAGATCAAACTTTTTTTACTTGTCCTACAACAAAAACACTGAAAAACATATTATAAGAAAACACTAATTTCGACCCAAAAAAAAGAAAGAAAACACTGATTATGATTATAAATTCTATGAACATTTTATCTCTATATAGAAAACATTATGTCTTGATCCGAAAGATAGATATTGCAACTTGCAAAGTCCTAGATACACTAAATTATATATGAAATCCTTAATTCAGTTTTCAAGTTTTAGTTAACAAGACTTTACAATTAAAAAAGGATGAAGAACATGACCCCGCCTTAGTGCACAAGTCATTAGGAACCTATAAACAAGTTCGCTTGACTAAGAAAATTCAAAGTGTTGTTCTAATTACTTACCTATCAAAAGATGAAAATGACATACCAAATGTTGAAAAATAGTCTAATCCAAAGAGAGAATCTATCTTTTGTCACTTAATTTATATGTCAAAGATGTTTTTATTGCTCTACTTGAAACCATTTCCTACTTTAAAACAAGCATCAAGAGAATATTGCTAAATAAGTGCAAAGGACAAAAAAACAAAATATTGGTTGTGGTAACTTAAGCCTTAAGGCCTTTGCACAAGAAGAAGAAGACTTGAGAAGACTTACAATAAGAAAAAAACGAAAAGTAATGAGGACTAAGACACAAGTCAACCACTAGTCTTTGTCAAGTAGAAAGACTTAAGACGTCTTTGAAGCAATCCATCTTCCTATGTAAGTTACCCTTTGAAAATGTACCGACGAGTACACATTTCTTGTTACAAACACTAAACATTGAAGCTTCACTTTAGAAAGTACAAGTCTTTTAGACCCTAAAGAAGGGAAGAAACACACACACATTCTTGTGTATATGCATAGATAGTGGTGAGTATGAATAATAATGCAGATGCAAACATGGCGAGGAGTTTCAGCGATGATACTCACTCAGGATTCGAGCTGTCAGAGCTAGATTTGTCTGATGGATGGATGGACGATGATCTTATGTCTGCGGTTTCTGGGATGAATCAATCTTATGGTTATCAGACTAGTGATATAGCGGCTGCCTTATTCTCAGGTTCCTCTACCAGTTTTAGTTATCCTGAATCTCCAAGTATCAACACTTCTGTTGCCGCTACAGCCGCTGCTTCTCCCGGTAAGTTTCTCTTTTGAGTCATATGAATCTGTAAATTTAAACAGTCAAGGATTCAGCTCCTTTAGATGTGTCACATATATGTACATACGCTCCTTTAGACTTGTGTGCTTGAGGATTTCATACAACCTTGCAAAACCAGAATATAAGAGGGTTGGGATCAAAGATAGTCTATAAAAAGCAAAGACACAAACCCCTGATTATATAATAACGTATGCTGATCCTAGACATTAGGAGTTGAACCTAAGACTTTAGGTAAATCAAAACGGTATGCACATTTTTGGAGTTCACAGGTCCTATGCTGAATCTGCAATTTTTTTTTCCCTTATTTCCTTATGCAAGAAAACCAAATCAAGAAAGAAAAGAAAGTTAAAGAGAGAGTTGCATTCAAGACGCGGTCTGAAGTGGAAGTGCTTGACGACGGGTTCAAGTGGAGAAAGTATGGAAAGAAGATGGTGAAGAACAGCCCAAACCCCAGGTAAGGAACAACATTTTTCTCAATTCTTTATCACATTTTTTCAAATTTCTACCCTTTCATACTCATGAGATCAGTCAGTTTCCATGATTCTAATATTAAAGAAGCGGAAAAATGTGACCTGCGAGTCAAATACACCCTGTTGAAGTTGAACTATTTTTCATACATTGCCATCATTTCTTATGACCTGCAAATCAAATACATGAAAAGTACCACTGGTTAATTGAAGTGATTTTTATGTAATTTGCAGAAACTACTACAAATGTTCAGTTGATGGTTGTCCTGTGAAGAAAAGGGTTGAAAGAGATAGAGATGATCCGAGCTTTGTGATAACAACTTACGAGGGCTCCCACAACCACTCAAGCATGAACTAAGGCACGTCGATTGGGAAAAGATAGTGAAACCATGCCTATACAGGAGATTCATCTTTTGAATCCGCTCTGTACAGGGGATTCACCTTTTGAATCTTATTTTCTATGGCTCAGAGCAATAAGAAAATGTGCAAGATGGTTATGATACTTAAACTGCTTCTAGTTCTTTATATTCATTGTAAACTGTTCGACATGTTCACAAATTTTGAAAGATAGTTTTGACATAATGAATCTGTAGTACTTCTAATTCTATACAGCTCAATGATGAACACAATAGAATCTCACCAGCCATACATCTGCATATGGCATCAAACGAAATTAATGGAGAAGCTATGCACAAGGATGAAGGAACAGATTCTATAGCATCACAATTTAAACAATATCTGATTATGAGCCATGACAAAGAATTGCAGAGTGGCTGCTTACCATGTAGCAATTACCTTGAATATAGCCTTGACCCTCCTGGAGAGAGATGGGGATGGAGCTTTCACCTTTAATATGTCATGTCTATGCTCATCACAGTGATTCCCAAAGGCAGTAACACCAAAACGGAAAAACATATATTTGAGTCACTGGAATAAATAAGATTAAAGCGTTTGAAAGACACGAGCATAGATGAAGATGAAGACCTTGAATTCGCTGATGTGAGTATATATTTACCAAAAAGAATTCTCATACACGTTGATAAACTGATGATATCTGAATCTACTTTTTTTAACTAGAAAAAGAGCAGTGGCAAATCATTATCCATCATGAACAAGACGGCTTTCACATCAAAATGACTAGCTCTTAAGCAGAAAGTGTGGAAATGTAACTATCACAATCTTTCTGTTATTTCATTTGAAATTATCACGTCCGAGTTTCTTGTAAAAGGAACAGAGCCATCAGAGCTACTCAAATCACCTTCTTGATGGTACCCATCATACGTTATACTCCACAATGTGTCCAAGCCCTTACTTGTTGCTTGTGGGTTTGATACGATGATCGCCTTTGACTCTAAAGCTTGACACTTGATGATTTTATCAGTACCACTGGCAATTAACCAGCGGAATCCAGCCTGTTGCTGTGTTTTCGTACACCACGGATGGTCTACACCAGGCTCAGTTTTCAAACCCGCAAGACCAATGTTAGTGATTCTCCACAACTGCAAATCATATCCAACAGATTCCATATTTCCTACTTCTTGAGCCAAACTACACACAGATGGATTTGAGGAATCCAGTGACCTTTCAACTTGAATCAGAGCAAGCATAGATGCACCAACAGGTTCATTATTTCGAAATGGATCTCTAAGTAACACTTGAAGAGCAAGTGTCAACTTGTTCCTTAAGGTGTGACCCTTTTCACGAAAAGCTTGATCTTGATTGGCATGGTGCACTAATATTTTATTTCTCATTTGCTCACTGGTTTTTTCATTGGTGTCAAGCATTCCATGGTCAAGCCTTAACCACTCATCCAACGTTGAGGAAAAACTCATCAACTCTAGAGCATCAGACTGATCCATGGGTTTTGGTGCAATGCCTGACGGTGGATCTTGGTCTGACATGCTGCATTGAATCTTTAATCCTTCTACCGCGAGAAGGTATATCCCATCAATAGCTAAGGAAGTGATATCTTCAAGTGGTACATAACTTGGACAAATATTGGATCCAACGCCTCCAGATTCTTCGTTTGAAGGAATCAAATCCAGCTGCCCTGATAATTTCTTAACCACGGCACCTTTACTCTTGTCAGAGCACTCATGTCCGATTCTGCAAGTCATGAACAAAATAAAAAAAATATGACGACTATATATTTTACGAATAAACTTGGAATGTAGAAATTTAATGCTTAATGAATCAACCTGTGGAAAGTATACCTCTCAATTCTTGCATCATCGACAATTTCATGTATCGTCTTCCCCATAATATCTTCCAAAGGCATTAATGCATTAACTTCAGAGCAAAGTCCTTCAATTCCAGAAGCCGCTAGACTTTGGAGTATTTCAAGGATATCTGAACCTAAGTCTGATACTAACACCAGAGGGACTGAAACTTGCATGATCAGATGTGATTCATTATCCTTACACTTTCTGAACAGTAAAGGATTCATGGACCGGATACTACCTCCCCCTTTTTTCCAAGCAGAAGGACCAATGTTATCTCCAAGTGGCAGAAAACCTAATCCCTCGTCATCCGGAAGCTCTATTGGACTCCCGAATCCATCAGAGCAAACACCTAAAGAGTTCTCAGACTTGTCATCATCTAAATCCCAGTCTCGCAATAAAGTTTCGGTTTTCAAGTCTTCAAGTACCTTGGCCTTACTTCTGTCTATTAACAGCTGCGATTTTCCCTCACGCTTGTTTTCCCCAACAACAAAAGCTGCGGGGAACGAGAAATCATTTGATTCCTCATCAATATCAGACTCATATTCTGCTTCTCCATCTAAATTTAAGAGAAAGTTTCCAGAAGCCAAAGCTTCCTTCTCAAACTGTCGAAGCAGAGATCCACGAGGAGATGTAGGTTCACTATCTGTGGTATAAACATAAGAACATTCCTCAAGTTCAAGCATTTTTAGAAAATCATTAGCTACAGACTCAGTAATGTCATCCAAGCTAAGGGACTTCGTTGATATTTTTGCAGCCTTATAACTAGATTTAACTTCCAAAAAAAGATTATTCTCAGTAGAATCTTCCATGCCCGTTGAAGATTTAATCTTGAATGACTCACAAGTTACCTGGCTACTGGAAGCTGACTTGGGTGCTTCATCGAAAGAATGTTTCGACAATACATTACGTGGACCACTTTTTAATTCGGCAACTGACAACTGATCAATAGAAGGGGATTCCTCAAAACAGGATTCATCTTCATCTTTAAGTATCTCACGGATATCAATAATTTCAATTCCTGAGGACTCCATATTTGGATCAGTGGTTTCTTCCAGCCTGCTTGTTTCTTGCTGAAACATCTCTACTCCTTGGTCAGTAAGAGTAAAATCAGTGTCCTTTACTTGCGTATCAGTCTCCAAATCTATGTCTGCCTCAGTTTCCCCCCTATGTTCATACTGGATTGTTGATCTTTGTGGGTTTTGTTCGCCAAATTTTTCATAGAGTAAATCTATTGACTCGGAAAGATCCAGACTCAGACTTGGTGAGACTTGATTGAAGACCTTTCCATCATCATGCGGCGAAGATCTATGATCCATACTTGGAACACTACCAACCCGCTTCAGCATCGCATTTCCACTAGTTGAATCACAGACTGAACTAGTAACAACCGAGTAATCAAAACTAAGATTCAACACTGCAGACTCTGCCAAGCCTGATAGCTTAAAGCTCGTATTCCACTTTCTCGACTTTCTTGTACCTTCCAGTTCCTCCAAAGACAACGGTAATATCCTGGTGAGATCAACCCAATGCTTCCCTAGAACAATCCATGGAGCATCAACAGGAGAGACATAAACCAAGAAAAGCTTCACTTGATACTTTGCAGAACGATGCGGCCCATGTTTGCTACCGTACACTGAACATCTATGCATTAAAGTCTCTTCAAACTCAGAAGTTCCTTGCAAAACCTTGGAAGATTGAGTAGACATAATAACCTCATCCTTCCTTTTCCACTGCACAACTAACTTAGTACCATCCATATTCAAAGGCAGCCCTTCAACGGAATGAACATGTAGAAGAAAGCAAACATCAAACCTACGCTGCCCAAAATGAGCTATAGCTTTCAATGGTCTCTTCCAATCCCAAGGTACCATCGATTTCTTCTTCTTATTAGACGACACTAACCCAATCTCCGTAGTTCTGGAAACAGATTTAGATCGAACAGGAGAAAGAACCGATCTTTCAGGTCCCTTGTTCAAGTAAAGAGCTTTACTTACCTCCTTAATGTCTCTCAGAAGCTGCCCATTAGATGAGTCCTCTCTATCATTCACAGACATTGCTAACACTCTCTTTTGATCAAGTCATGAAATTGAGCAACGCTGAGTGAAATCAGAACGTAAAAATGTAAACTTTTGAAATGGGTTTTCAAAGCAAAGAAACTAACCCAGAAGGAGAAGTGATTCTTACCAGTTTCAAAGGATTTTGAAACGGCGTTGAAATGAGACAAGTAGAGAGAGATATCTTTTGGGGATTCTAAAAATAGAAAATTTTATGATGACTTCACGGAGAAAGCGTGAGTAAATTAATACTTAAGTTCTCCGGTAGGGTTTCATTTGATTCGGGTGGGTCCGAATTGGAGTGTTATTGTTGGTGTGGTGGTGGTGATTGTAGTGACGTAAACCATGGTTGAAGAAACAGAGAAGATGAAGGTGAAGTTAAGAGAGCGAGATAAAGTTGTGTGTTGTTTTTTTCTGTTCAAAACGGCAAGCAACGGACGCGTAGAGAAACGGCGTGCATTTTGCATTTTTCGATATTTGTGTTATAATATTTTTTTCCAAATTTTTGGGTGTGTTAAATTGAAAATCATTCAAAATTAACGAGATATGTCATTACCAAAAAAAAACATTAACGAGATATGTTAGCGGAAATTAAATCGTTAATTTGATTATTCAAATATACCATGAACTATGTAAACGGATAATCAAACTGTTAAATTGTATTTGTTCACAGGTAATTTTAAATTCGTGCATAATTTTGTAAAATTAACAAAATTTGATGCTTTTTCACATAGAAAGTCGATAAAAGTTAAACATTTTATTCATTACAAGTAAACGTTCATGTTATTTTTTCACCAATTTTTTAAAAATTCATGGTTTTTTGACATTTTCTCTTTATGTTATCTTTATTCTCAATGATAAAATCAAATATATATATACATATATTAAAATAAGATTTAATTATTTTATCTTTTTAGTTCACGAAAATAAGATGAAATGATATATATACCGTAATAGAAAGAAAAAAAAACAAAAAAAGGAAAACAAATATACATAAGTTTCTTTAATTTTTCATTTTTTGTTAGTCTCCTCTCAAAATTTAATTTGTTACGAAATATAAACACAAAAATTACCATCTAAAAAAGAACTAAAAATTACTAGGTAGTAGATATGTATTAGCAATACATATCTAAAAATACATTTTTATTGTTTGCTTCTTTTGACCGAAAGAAAAGGAGATATACTAATCAATGGTTAATAGAAACTTAGATTTGAGAAAACTTAGGCCACAAGCTTCTTTGTGGTGATCACACATTTTTTCACCTAGCTAGTGTGATTCGTATGATTCAATCATCATCATGATGGCTTCACCGTACTCGTCAGACGATATCCATTCTCCGGTGAACTCTACAGTTGTTGCAGTAGACAAAGAGAAGCATAGCCATTGCGCTGTTCGTTGGGCTGTCGACCATCTCATCAATATGATTCACAATCCTGTCATGATTCTTGTCCATGTTCGTCTCAAAAGCTCCAATCGTATGCATCTCTTACATACTCAGTTTCCGTGTAATCTTGTTAATTTTCAAGAATCATGTGTTTCAATGTTTGTGAATGGAAATTTCAGATGGAGGGGCTGATGATGAACTCAATCAGCTTTTTACTGCATATCGCGGATAGTGTGCGAGGAAAGGGGTATAAAAATACAATCCTTTGATCATCTTTTTGTGTTTTCAAGAATGAAGATACATATGTGTTTTAATGCCATGCGCATGTACTCTTTAGTAGATTACTATGAAGGAAGTTGTTCTAGACGATTCTGACGTTGCTACAGCAATCTTGGAATATGTTAGTAACAACTTGGTTAACAATCTTGTATTGGGAGCAACCTCGAAGAACACTTTCGCTAGGTCTTTTATGTTTAGTAAACCACATGAGGTGCAAGCTCACATAATGAAATCTACGCCTGAGTTTTGTTCGGTTTATGTCATTTCCAAAGGTGGTAAAGTTCACTCTTCCCGACCAGCTCAAAGACATATCACCAATACCCTTGCCCCGCCTCGTGTACCGTCTTCAGGCTTTCTAATCCAATCTTTATCTGATAGCGAGCAAGATCTTATACCTAGGTATATATAAACCAATCTATAGGGTTTAGTTTTTAGTTTTGACAACGACACAAATGTTTAATTGTTTTCTTGGTAAATCTTTAGAGTCCAGCGTGGTGCAAGGAACAAATCTAATGAGACGACTTATCCTCACAATCGTGCCTTCAACGCCACGCAAAAGAGTTACAACAGCCTTGTAAATGGGTCTATGGACTTCAACAATGGATTTAACCAAGCTGCCTTCCAAAGGAATCCAACGCTACAAAATTCATTTTCTGATGAATCTGAAGTTGGATTAAGCACGATGGGTTCCATTGATCTCTCTGCTCATAATAATATAGATTATTATGGTGCATCAAGCTCTTCAGAGGAGTCGATTCCACAATCAACTGTATGGTTTCTTGATCTTCCTTTTGAGTTTCAAGAACTACATATTAAAAAAGGTGTAAAACTATATATTGTTGTTAATTTGCAGAAAGATATTGAAGCTGAAATGAGAAAGCTAAAGCTTGAACTCAAGCAAACCATGGACATGTATAGCTCAGCTTGTAAAGAAGCACTTACAGCAAAAAGAAAGGTAATTTAAACCTAAACAAGTTTTCTTGTTACATACGGTACTCATGGCTTTTTTTTACCTTCTAGGCAAACGAGCTAAATCAATGGAAAATAGAAGAAGCTCGTAAATTCGAAAAAGCGAGGCTTTCTGAAGAAGCAGCATTAGCAGTGGCAGAGATGGAGAAGGCAAAGTGTAGAGCAGCTGAAGAAGCAGCTGAGAAAGCTCAGAGAATGGCAGAACTAGAAGGACAAAGAAGGAAGCAAGCAGAGATGAAAGCTAGAAGTGAAGAAGACGACAAAGACCGCGCAATGAGTGCTTTGGCGCATAACGATGTTCGCTATAGAAAATACACGATTGAAGAGATCGAAGAAGCCACAGATCAGTTTGCAGATCATAGGAAAATTGGTGAAGGAGGATATGGACCAGTGTTCCATGGAGAACTTGACCACACTCCTGTTGCCATTAAAGTTTTGAGACCTGATGCTGTTCAAGGAAAACAACAATTTCAACAAGAAGTATGACTTTTTTACATTTTTCATTTTTATTTTACAGCTTATATCAAGTACTTTAATTAATCTCATACTCTCTCATGTAACAGGTTGAGGTTTTATGTTCCATAAGGCATCCTCACATGGTTCTTCTCCTTGGTGCATGTCCTGAATATGGATGCTTAGTTTATGAATATATGGAAAATGGTAGCTTAGAGGATAGACTCTATCGTCGAGGGAACTCCCCTCCGATATCGTGGAGGAAACGTTTCGAGATAGCAGCTGAGATAGCAACCGCACTCTCATTCCTACATCAAGCTAAGCCAGAACCTCTAGTTCACCGCGACCTTAAACCAGCCAACATACTCTTAGACAGAAACTTTGTGAGCAAGATCAGCGACGTTGGATTAGCCCGGTTAGTACCTGTATCAGTAGCAGATAACGTCACACAGTTCCACATGACATCCGCGGCAGGGACGTTCTGTTACATAGACCCTGAGTACCAGCAAACAGGAATGTTAACCACAAAGTCAGATGTATACTCATTGGGGATATTGCTACTACAGATCATAACTGCAAGGCAACCCATGGGGCTAACTCACCACGTTTCGAGGGCTATAAGTAAAGGAACATTCAAAGAGATGCTTGACCCGGTCGTGAATGATTGGCCTGTAGAAGAGGCTCAATCTTTTGCTATGCTATCGTTGAAATGCGCTGAGTTGAGAAAAAGAGATAGACCGGATCTTGGGAAAGATGTAGTACCACATCTTATTAGATTAAGAAACTTTGGTTATGAATTATGATGACGAATGTATATGAAAATAGATTTAAAACTTAGATTCAAAAAATGTAGAAAGTATCGAACTTCATGTAGATCAGATTCTGTTAAGTTCTTTTGTCCAATACCCCTACTTGTATTCCGTTAATGTTATATTTTCAATAGAACAACATTATCATAGGCTTATAACTTTTGTTTTATTTCATGTATAGGCATTTGTATAGAGATGGCATGTTTAGAGAGATGTTGATCAACTACGTACCAGTAGCAGGTCTTGGTGTTGCCCTTATCTTAAGAATCTCCGGGCGAGGAATTATCGAACCAGACGTGCTTGTACCTCTAGCTACTCTAAATTTTGTTCCATCTTCTAAGTACTTTACACCAACCTTACAAGGCCTCCTGAGGTAGAAAATATAATACTCTAACTTGAGCATTAGTAACAACAGTAAAGCAATGTGACAACATACATACATACCCAGTAACTGTATCAACAACTTGGACATTTAGAGGCATGAAGAGGAGCCTCTACAGTGAAAATCCCACCTTCGTGATCAGGACCTCCTTTTATATGCTTCTTGATCTGCCAATACACAATTAAAAAACCATCTTTTAAAATCAACAACTAGTAGCCACAGACTGACGAGATTCAACGGTGGAGATTCGTTGGTACAATCAGCGGTTTAGATTTAACAATGATATAAACGTCAATGTTGAGAATTGCATGCACCCGACTCGTTTAGATGTTTCGAACAGAGAAAATTATATATTTTGCCATGAATAGTGTATAAATTTGTAAAGAATGTCATTTCTTTCCACATCTTTTCCCGGATGCCATAAGACTGATGTATGAAGACTTTTTTACCCTCTTCTTCATAGAACCAAATAACAAATAAAATAATCAATTAAAATACACTCTCTCACATATACTTTCTCCTCTACGTTATATGTTTTATTTTTATTTCTCCAAACTTCCATTTCTCTCTTTCCAACATTTTTCTCATATTCTCAAACTTCTTTCTCCAACTTTATCTAATAGACAAGTTATTTTTCAACAATATATCTCAACCACGACTTAATTTTTCATAAAACAACAAAGGTCTTACATAGATATTTGCGATGGACTAAATCCAGTAATGAACATTAATTTACTTTGTCTATCGAAATTATATCATCTGATTTCGTTGTCCATCGAGAAGAAATCGATTAATATGTAATAACAAGGTAATTAATGGACTAATTTCATCAATGTCCACTTCTAATGGAATATTTAACTTTATATATATTTTTACTTATTGTACATAATGGAATATTCCACAAAAGTTGTTCTTAGAGTTTTTCAATGTAAATTTCAGTGGACCAGATCTACTGCACTTAAGATGTCCATCAACACAGTTGTCCATACGTTTTACTACTTATCTATTTGTGTTTGTCATTCACCAGTTTAAGAAAACTTATACAATTTTTGTGGAAGTATAATAACCAACTCACCCCGCTTCAGAGGACACGCAGTGGAGAAGTCTCTTGGAACCGTCAAAGTAAGCTTTCGATGGACTAGATCTTCTTCATTTGTCCATCATATAAAACTTTAGAAGACCAAATTCCTAGTCTCAATATCCAAACAAGTTAAATAGAAGAGTTGTCCACACGTCAGAGGACATGCAGCAAAGTTGTCTCTTGGAATCTGTCAAATAAGATTTCGATGGACTAGATCTACTTTATGTCCATCATAATAGTAGAGTTGTCCCACGTATCTCTCACTTGTCCTTCAATAACAACTATTGAGATGTACTTTTTCGTTTTAGATTTACTTATTAAACAATTCAATTATCCTATGGATAATAACTTTACTTTATCACCCATTAATGCTCACTGTACCTGTCAAAAATCCTGTCAAATCGGCCTAAAACCTCTCATCCTGCTGAGGGTAGTTTCGTCTTCTTGTCTCATCCCTTTTTACTGTTTGTGGCACTACATAAAATGCCTAAAACAAAATGGCAGTTCCAGTTTTTTACCCAAAAAAACTGGCAAACCAGATAATATTCCCTTTCGAATATATTTTATTGGGCCTAGTTTACATACACAAGCCCATTAAAGAATCACTTAAATTAAAATATGTAAATTTTTGTATTAATCAACAAAAGTACATTATTATTTTTTTTTTCAAGTACATCAAACTAAAGGCTTTGTACAAAGCAAGAAGCAAATAAATTAATGAAAAAAGACTAAACTTGCAATTGCACTAAACTTGGAACATAAGAAGAACATACAAGTCTGCCTGGTGTCCACTGAGAACTTGAAACTAATCCAATGTTGACACATTTGAAGTATCCATGATCCCCAACGATGCAAGCTATATGGTAGCGACATGTCGCGATCCTTCTAAATGTATTTATGTCAAAAAACACAACAACCTTCTTATCCTCGTCAATGAAGAAACTCTTAGTGTTAAAGTTATTTGATAAATGACTCGGTAAATTATTGGGTAATGAAATATCCAATGTCAAAAAACTACTCCATGATACGATAAAGCATTCCACGTTTTACAAGTAGATCGTACTGAATTTAAAGATATAAGTGGAACCCTATAAAATATTTCTACTACCAAATCATATGATAGATCGGATATTGTCGTCATTCTTTTTTGAAGTTTTTAACTTTCTTGGGAGATTTCTATTGTTTTTCTTGAGTTTGTTGTGTTCAATGTTGAATCTCTAATTAACTATAATAACCTTTTGTTTTGGCCCAAGTTGTTTAAATAGGTCTATTGCATTTAAAGAAACTCAAATAAAATGAAAGGAGAAATATAAAATATTAATAAAAATAATACATTTCACCCAATAACTTATTACTATCTCATTAATATATAGAGATTTGTTACTTTAATTTTATTCAATAAATTAAAGAATTTACTAGTATCCAATTAATATGAAGAGATTTTTTGAATTAAAATTTAGTATATAAACTTTTTTTTACATCTGATGAAAATATTAGTTAGAAATTTTTTGTATCTTCACTACGCGTGGTGAAAATGAATAAAACTAAAACTAAGTTATGCATGTAACCAAATTTTGTTTTCTAAACCAACACTATTTTGTAAATTATTTAATAATAACCAGTCAAGATAACATTTTATGATAGGATTGATAGTTTAGAAGATTAAATATTTAAATATGTGTCACTTTAAGTTTGTGAGGTATTTTCCATATGTATAACCTTAATTGTTTTGTGATATTTTAAGATTTTTGATAAAAACTTTAACAATTTTAAATCTCGACTTATCTCATACTAATAAAAGGAGATTTTTTTTTAAATATATAACTAAGGTGTTTTGTTTTGTTCTGATGAGGTGGATGGCTATAAGATTTTCAAAAACCTCAAACTCTTTTTATCAGTAAATATATATATATATATAGATATATATAGATATATGAGAATTGTAGATGAAAATATAAATTAAAGTTATGTAAATATAAAAAAATCTACAAATTATTCTTTCAGCTTTTTCTCTTCTATAAGCCTCTAACCTTGTTTTTTTTTAATTATAAAATGTGAATAATATTACAAAAAGGAACAGCTTCTTTTACAAGAGCTTGGCGTAGCAGTGGTTTTGATTATAGACCCCAAAAAAAAAGAAGATAAAAATGCCTAATGAAAAAGTGGTTTTAGAAATGTTCCTACCCTGTGTTTGTATAATAAGATGCTTATGTTGACAAGATTGTACATAAACAATAGTTTGATGACGAGTGATTGAATCATCTTCTTTGTTAAGGCTCTACATTTGTCGATGTGCATATGGAAATAACTTGTGTTTTTGGTTAATAAGTTTTGAGTACAACAAGTCCTCTTCAAGCCAAAGTAATGAATAATAGGGATCATATACATGTCGTTAGGAGACATTTGTCAAAATAAATTAGAGAGGTTTATACAAGATTAAATTAAAATATTGCAATCACACATTTTTGTTTTCCAAAACACACCGCATATGCATCGTTGACATAACTCAAAGCTTCACCGTCGTCGTTGGTTCTCTCTTCAACAATAAGACGATTTTCAGATTAAAAAAAAAAACTTGGGTAATGATGCTTATTTGATTCGTGGTGCATGATGGGAGACCTAACGAATGGATATGAAAATAGATTTACCTACACCAAATTAAGTGTTCCTAAATTAGTTTTTTATAGGGTTTACACACAAAACATATTAAAGTTATTATAAATTATTATTTTCTGATAAAATTTTCTATAATAATAATACCAACAATATGATATTATTTTACAATTTCACCAATAATTAAAATAATAAATATTGCATCAAAAAAACCTAAAAATCTATCTTTTTAAAATCAATTTTGTTTACTAAAGAAAAATTATTAAGGACAGGGAGTATATAATAATTTCCACAAAGTCTATGTATTCAATTTTGCATATTCATTTAACACAAAAACTTAGAGAAAACTAAAATATATCAAACTATGTAAATTAAAATGTGAAATTAAGAAAATAATCTAGAGAGAGAGAGTAGGTACGTTCTAGAAATGACACAATACATAGTCATGAAAAATGATCAAATCGATATTTTAGTATGCTGATTCATATATATATATGGAAAAAACAAAAAAAAAATCAAAACCAAATCAAACTTAAAAAATCTACAAAACAAAATACATGAAATGATGTATAGAGCCAGAGAGAGGGGTAGATCAAGAGGTGACAGATAGAGAGTAAGCACACATAGCTTCGAGCATAAACCTATGCAAGAAAGGCACCATTTGTGCTCACTCTCTTCTGTCACCATATCAATCCCTCAACACTCAAAACCATCTCATATCACATAAACCATTATAAACCCTAACCCTTGTTGTTCTCATGCCACTTTAATAAACTCAAATGAAATATTTATAAATAGATGTTCCATAATGTAAGGAACATTGATCTAAACTCTTATAGGATCGATATGTGTTTCTTTCTTTGCTGTGTGGGAAGAACTTGAGACCCTGTTGTGTCTTTTTATAGCCAAGAGGATGGGAGAGAAAGAGAGATCGAGAGAAATCTCAACAAATCCTATATTCTCTCTCTTCTCCAATTATTTTGATATAGATAAAGATACCCTTTATGGAAGATAATGGAAGAAAAAAAAAAAGATAATTTCCTTTACTATTTTACATTTTTCGTTTTTTTTTTTCGGGTCAGATGATGATAACACCGATTCAGTGTTATGTACCGACGTAATGTATTAGTCAAGATTTCAAGATTTGTAGCAAGACTGATTTATTTTGTTTCCATTTCCACCATAAACACATTTCAAAGCTTAATTAATGTCTAAAATCAATAAAATCTGGACAAACAAGGAAGAATATGACAGAAAATTATAAAGTATTAGCCAAAACTTGCCATCTAAAATACGTAAAACCTTATAACACCATAATACAATATCCCAAAACCCCATAATTAAGCACAAGAAAAAGAAAAATATTCAACAGTTAATGAGGTATGATGTTATTGTTCTCTTCAAGAATAATACCATATAATACTGTTACAAATACATATTGTGGACGTTGGTTCTTGTAGACATATCTCATCAAGACTCAAGTAGTTATGACTTTGTGAATGTGATGTTCTACGGTGGATAATGTCTGGATTAAGATGAAACCAGCGGCCACGAACAATATTTATTCGATATCTTTCTCCCATTTGTTTAATATCACCATCGATGCTCTGAATAAATCATATTATAGTAGAGATCATGCATCACCTAGTTTAAATAATATTTTCTAGAATATTGATATGTGTGCCAGTATAAAACATATTAACGTGTGTCTGTAAGTCGTGGGTGCAAATCCAGAAGTAGAAATACTAAAGAAAAGATATGTGTGCATGTATGTCATATCTCATGTGATTTTAGTTGCGATCATATAAAATAAAATCAATTGCTGAATATGGTTAAATGTAAAACTTCGTTTTATACTTTTTCTTATGAAACAACAATTAGGACGATAGTTCAACGACTGTATAATTATATTTCGAATTAATTACCATTTCAAATACCAAATAAAAAGATATATTTCTGTCCAATTAAACTCTAGCATACCAATTTTTTTTCTTGTAACTTTTGCTTTAGTTTTATAAAGTAAGAAAGTATATTTCAGAAAGATGCCACAAAATGCATAAATAAATAGTAGATATTTCCGAATATGGAATCATGTATATGTTTGTGCTTTCTTGAGAACTTCCCTTTTCGAGCATTTGTTCTTATCGTTTTGTTTATTCATAATCTCTTCCGTTTTCATTTTAAGCATTACTTTTGATAAAGTAGAACAAACAAGTCGACGGATGATAGATCCGCTTATGACAAAACGTTAGAAAAAGGTTAATAAAACCTTTTGGGGTTTTTCTAAATATGTGTGACTATTTATTTGGTACGTTAAGACTAAAATATAGAAAAATCTAATAGTTTTGTTGTTAATGTTTTGGTTTAACTGATAATGCGTCTAGATGATCAAACGAACCTGAACTACGTGACTATATACATTTTATTTTCGTATCACCTACTTTGAATTAATGTGATATGTAACGTTGATTGATTGGAGGAATATGACTATATGAGTAACGACCACATTACACAAAAATTCGTATAATATACTATATTCTATAAATCTTGTGATGGATGCTCAAATATCTTATGGCCATATCTTTCTTTCCACTTTCGGCAAGAAAGCATGTGGACAATGCCCAGCCTGTCACGTGTCGACATGGGGTTTGTTCGTTGTCCAACCCTACGTCCCAAAGTGGGGAGTGGGTTGTGTTTTGTTTCCTTCTTGCATGACGACTCGCATCTTTAATTTTATATACAAGATCTATCTATATAACTTTATTTTGACAACAAAATGACGTAATTACATAAACTTAATTCATGTATGAAAATTTCAATAGTCAAATTATTGAAACTTAATAGTGTTATATATGTTAGACCATCCCCAATGCTAAAGTTGTAAACAAGTTTTTTAGCATTATTGTAATTATAAAAAATATAAGTTATGAAGTTAAGAAACTTTTGAAAATGAAAAGAAATATATGCTTCCAATGGTAAAGTTCTAAATTTAAAATTTTAAAAATTATAATTAAAAAAACTTGTTTTGAAAATAAGTTTGAAATACAAATCTCAAACTAATTAATTGCCTACACATTGCACTAAAAACCAACATCAAAATTTCTAACTAAAATATTTTTCTTAGGTTAATACATATTTTTGATTTATTTTTTACCTTTTATAACTAAGAAATTTACTAACATACTTGCATTGGACATGATCTTATATTTTCTTTGATGCATGTTATAGATTAAGTTTGTGTACTTAGTGCTTCACATACATATATATTCCAAGTTCCCCTTCTTATATATAGACGTGGGATTCTACAAAACCAATATAATAATGTACAGCTGTAATGTGACAAAACAGTATTGACGCAGTCCAGTGACATGCGTCACATGCAAGTAATATCGCTTTGGCCAAGAAAAAAAATTTGAAGTAGACATGATCTTTTTGTATGAATTGCATTTAATGGCTATGACTATGCGTGGTATAGATTGTGATCTTAGATAAAAAAAAATTGGTCAATGTTACTATTCCTATATGTCTTTTTCATTGACTAAGTACTATTTTAAATGACACTAATTAATGGATTCATTTCATTTCTACAATCATTCAAGAACAAATGGATTTAAGTGATGTAATTTTCGTTCCATGATTGAACATAATTCATGTATTCTTAGGTAAATTGATCCTTGTGTGCCAAATATATTTACTTTTACAATCATGAGTTGACTACATTACTGGGCTACAAAAGCATAGAGCCGGGCTGAGCTAATATTTTTCTCAGACCAAACTATTCAGAATCAGATCAATACTAGCTAGGCTTAGTATATACTGTCTTCAAGATACTGTTGTCTCCTTTATGACTGAGACAAATGATGTCAAAACTAGTTAACTCATCTCATTTAATATGTTGATCATTAACATATTATAGGTTTTGGCTTGGCTCGAACCGCTAAAAATCGCAGTTTTAATATCAAACCCGCATGTCAAGCTCCTACAGGCTACCGCGCGGATTTAGCATGTTTAAAGTTGTTGTCCGCAGCAGGGCTAATCATTGGGCAAGACACCTCTAACTGAGATCACAACCTAGTGTTAGTGGGATGCACCTAGACCATTTTGTGATTGGAGAAAGGATACAAAGGAGGTAAGTGCAAAAACGAAAAACATAACAAAACACTAGTATACAGAATCATGTGAGAGGACAAAGAGTAATAAAGTTCCAAAGTGGAATACTCAAATGGGTACACATATAGGCCAAACAACTAACTGAGGGAGAGATAAGGTAAGGTAAAAAATGACAAGTGAAACAAATAGTCTTGTTCTGACAAAGTTGCTTTCAGAAAGAGACATTATCTAATTGCTTCCATGTGAGTTGAGTAAGCTGTCGCTTTACAAACTTAGAATCTGTCACAATTTCTTTCCAAAAAAAAACGTGACAGATCATTCTGATTGATTTCCCAACTTTCAAACAAAAACAGACGACGAAGACATAATGGCCTTAACCATACACCAAAAGCTCTGCACTATTGAGAAAACATTGTCATTGAAAAATTTGCAAACACATATTGATGTTTCGAATTCTTAAGAGACTGTTTCTTTATCCAAAAGACAATAAAATATCACCATGCCCAAGTAATCTTAAAGTTGTTCAACGTTCCAGCTTTGGTGAGCAGCAATGTGCTTGTGGGAAGGAGTATATAGCTGCCAAGAAGAACAATAACTGAAAAATATGGTACTGTTTGTACTCAAACACACACATATGTAATCTAAAGTGTTTTAAGGTACCTCCATCTTCTCCATAAGTTCTTTAGCCGAGGGAGCAGAAACAATGATATTACGAGCGCCTTGCTTAATAAAACCTTCTTCAACTCCAGTGTCAAATAATGCAAGCAAATTGTTATAGTAACCATCAACATTCAAAACACCAACCTGCAGAGATAATACAATCATCATCATGAACATAGTATCTGTCTGTCTTCTTCTGGACACCTGCAAAGGGAATGGTGTCAAAATACCGTCTTCTTATGGATACCGAGTTGCGCCCACGTTATTATCTCCAGAAGTTCCTCCATAGTTCCATAACCTCCTAATGAAAAAAGAAGCCAGCATCTTCAAAAAAATGGATAAACAGAAAAACTTGTAAACCCGCTAGAATTTTGGATTTAGAAAACTCGCCAGGAAGCGCAATGAAGGCCTCAGCTTCTTGAGCCATTGCAGCTTTACGCTCGTGCATGTCTGCAACAATTCTTACATCTCCAACAGTCTCACCAGATATCTGCTTAAACCCATTCAATAAAGAAGCAATTAAAAAAAAAACAAAATAGAGTCATCCAATCCAAGACTCAATTTCATCTCCTAAGCTAGCAGAATATCCAAATTCAACTGCAAACAATGGTTCTTTAGATGAATAGTTCAGAAAATGAAAGGTTTCAAGATGTAAACATACCTCAAAAGGCATCAAAGCTTTTGGAATGATCCTGCATTATACAGAAAACACACACAAAAGCTCTAAGTTCAAAATTTCTTAAACTGTATCTAATAGAAATGAAGTAAAACAGAAGAGAGAGACTCTTAAACTAACCCGAGTACATGACAACCACCTTCTGAGACTCTCCGAGATATCATACCCATTAGACCAACACTTCCACCTCCATAAACCAAATCAATCTTCCTCTTCACCTACAATTTTTCACACCAATCTTTTACAAATACATACATAACATTTCAAAGCAACACCAATTTCTCAAGGCACACAAACAGAGAAAACACTAAAGATGAACAAAATCGTATCCAACAACACTAAATCTAAAACATTGTCACAAACAAACACAAACCCATGTCTAAAAACATTCACAAGAACAAGCACAACTCAAAAAGTTTGTATCTTTGGCTGTCAAATCACTAGAAAAGTTTCGATTTTTATCCCATGCATTTCCCAGAAAAGTTCATATCTTTAGTCACTTAGAACAAAAACGGATTTACGAAGAAGAGAACAAAAACCAAACCAGTTCATTGCCAAGTTCGATTGCAGCATCGCTGAAGACTACTCTGTGACCAGAGTTACTTCCGCAAAAAACACAAATTTTACTGAATCTGCTTCTCTGATTTTGCTCCATTACTAGTAAGCTGCAAAATCCCAACTTTATTTTACTTTTCCTCGAGAAGCCGTTATAAAGCTAATCGCCAAAAGAGGAAGCATCAACACAATGAACGAATAAAGCGACAAAATAAAATCTCTGTTAGCTGGTAGTGACGTACTAGTATATATATGACGCAATAACCATATAATTTTGCTCTCGGTTTGGTTTGGTTCGGATTTGGATTTGGTTTCAGGCAGCTCAGTTTGGTTTTGTAACATTTTAGCTTCAATCAAAGTTAGAGTTGTATAACATATGGTTTAATATGTCGATTTGGTTCTAGTTCGATTCACTGTGATAAGCAAAACAAACTATAACATGTAGGATTGTTGTTTCGAGTTATTGAATCGTTGAGTTAATCATGTTTGACAATAAATTAATTGATTTTATAATGTATTTATGTAATTTATATAGTTTTATAAATACAAAAATTATCAAGTTTAACAAAATATAAAGATTAATAATAATAATTAAATGATTAATTGTTTTAAATCCAAAAAAACATTTAAATATCACAAGTTCACAAGTATCGGTTATAATCCGTTTAATAAGAAACAAAAGTTATAATTTCTAATAATAACTGAAACTATAGATTTTGTGTACCGTATTCAGTATTCATGGAGTCGTAGATTAATACATGGCTTTTTATTGAGGTTTTCTTGTTTTAAAATTATGGGTTATTAGCACTAAATCTAAATCGGAGTAGTGTTCGAATTACGGTTAACCGATCAAAACCGGCCGGTCCAAAATCTGCGTCAAAACATTACTCAATGCTAATTTTTTTATTTTTGCTGTATTTGGTAACAAAAACCAAAACCGTATAAACATGAAATGACGCTAACAAGATCACAAATATTCCCAACTGCTCACAGTCACATTGTGTTGTGTCTTTCAAAGTTGAAAAGAAAATAAAATGAGAATAAGTGAAAGATCATGCGTATTGTCATTTTACTTTTTTTTTTTCCTCCATTATTCTAAATAAATATCAAAACTAACTTTTGTTAGCAAAGTAAGAAATTAGAAGAATACAGAAATTAAAGTAGAAAAAAACAAAATCTTGCAATTTCTTCTCCGCACGCTTTCTCTTAGAGTGGAGAAATTTGCTTTCAAAATTTTTTGTTTTACGCCCATATTCTTCGCTCTATTCTTGTCGGTGCGTTAATATTATTTTTCAAAACACATTAATTATTACTACATGCATCATAATTATCACTATGCACATGCATCATATAAATAGTTGAAGATATTAGTTTAAAATGTATAAATAATTGGAAGTTGTGAAAAGTTTACTATTATATATTTTGCATTTTAGACAGAATTTTTTTGTATACATATCTTATAAATTACACTTACAATATATTCCGATTTTAATTTAAGAACTTTGTTATTTTTATGTTTTTTACCATCGTAATCGCAATCGCAATCGCAAACGCTTTAAAATTATAATTTTAAACGTTTGTAAAAGCGGTTTTTTATAATTTGTGGAATGAACCAAACAAGCTCCTCTCACTGAAAAAAATAAAAGAGACGTGAAGGTAATGTCTTTCTTTGCTAGTTTTGCCTATAAAGCAAAGGAACTAAACACATTTTACTCTCACTTTTAATCCTCGTTTCACTCCTCATTCGTGTCTTTCTTCAATCAAGGTTACATTTTTTTTTTTTTTTGTTGATCACACACAAGTCTAATCTTTTGTTTCTTGCATAATGGGTTTACTCTTGATCTTGAAAATTTTGCTTCTGTGTTACACTGTAACTATTACTCAGCTCATTTGTTATAATTTTCTGTCATGATCTTTCTTTCTTTACAAAGTATCGTTGAAATCAAAACACATTATATTTACTTTTTAAGATCTGCAAGATTAGTCTGAAATCTTGAAAGTATAACAACTTTTGTTTTGTCAACGTACTTACTTCACTGTCTCCTCTCAGGTTTTTTTTAATTATTGTCTCAGTTTTGATAGTTTTGTATGTTGCTCCCAAGATTATGACTTAGTGTCATCACTTTAGGGTTGTGTTTTATTTTTGAAGGTTCATGAAACTGGATTTAACTAAATAATGTTTGCTCTGATTAGACTTGAAGACATGAAGACTTCTTGGAAATTTTTCACAAGTGTTTGCATACTTTTATTTCTCCTTGGCTCTTGTTCTGTCTACCAAAACCATTGTCTTGCTGATGCTCAAGAAGACGCCATTGTGATGATGACACTGCAACTAGATGCTTCTAACGTGACGAGACGACCAATTCCTGATACTCTGTTCGGTATCTTCTTTGAGGTCACAATTACCTAAAACCTCTCTTAATGTCATCATCTTTAATGTTTTTTTAACTCTTCTAACTTTGTCTGAATCTTATGCAATTATTTTCAGGAAATTAATCATGCTGGAGCAGGTGGACTATGGGCTGAACTTGTTAGCAACAGAGGTTCTTTGGATATTTTGATTTAAATTTTCCTATGAAGCTTTCTTTAAAGATGATGGTGATAACATTAATCTTTGGTTCCAGGTTTTGAAGCTGGTGGACAAAACATTCCTTCTAATATCTGGCCTTGGTCCATTATTGGAGATGAATCATCCGTTTATGTCGTTACAGACCGTTCTTCATGTTTTGAGCGCAACAAGATTGCTCTTAAAATGGAAGTGCTTTGTGACAGCATTGGCAGTAGCAATACTTGTCCTTCAGGAGGAGTCGGGGTTTATAACCCCGGTTATTGGGGCATGGTACATAGTTTATACTCTTAGCTAGTCACATATTACATTTCCTCTAACGGTTAAACAAGTTTTGCTCATATGTGTAATCTTTTTACACATCAGAACATTGAAGAAGGGAAGAAATACAATGTGGTGTTCTTTGTGCGTTCGACTGGGGACATCGATCTGTCTGTGTCATTTACAAGTTCTAATGGATCATTGACTCTTGCTTCAGAAAATATTAAGTGAGAAATGAAACTTTTACATTTTCCAATATTTTTTTTTCTGAATGCTTACTTACTGATTTGTTTATGTATTTGCTTATGTAGAGCTTTGGCTTCTGAAGTTTCAAACTGGACTAGAAGGGAATTGATTTTAGAAGCAAATGGAACTGATAATGGTGCAAGACTTCAGTTTACAACTACCAAAAAAGGTTTAATTTGGTTTGACCAAGTCTCAGCCATTCCTATGGATACTTACAAGGTTTGTTAACTTCATTTATATTAAAAAACAGAGGAATTTATCTATGAAAAAAAACAAACTTTTGGTCTTTTCTTGGTTGTTCACAGGGACATGGTTTCAGAAATGATCTTATCCAAATGATGATCGATCTAAAACCCCGTTTCCTCCGATTCCCGGGTAATTTCTAGAGAGCAAAGTAGCATCTTCACTAGGTAAAATATGAAAACAGATGAGAAAAAAAAGAGCTAAAAGACTTATCAACATTTTGGGGGAGTTAGGTGGTTGTTTTGTGGAGGGTGACTGGTTAGGCAATGCGTTCCGCTGGAAAGAAACCGTAGGAGCTTGGGAAGAGAGACCTGGCCATTATGGTGATGTTTGGAAGTACTGGACTGATGATGGCCTTGGCCACTTTGAATTCTTTCAAGTAAGATATTTTTTCTCCTTCTTCGGTTCTATAAGCATCCTCCTAAGCTCAATATAAAATGTTCTTGCAGCTTGCAGAAGACATTGGTGCAGCCCCAGTATGGGTGTTTAACAATGGTAATACTTGATCTCTATATCTTAAGACTTTGCTTTATCTACATGTATTTACCTTTGTGTGTACTGTTTCAGGGATCAGTCACAATGATCAAGTTGAAACACAAAATGTCATGCCTTTTGTTCAAGTATTTTCATAGAACTCTCTAATTTAATTAAGAGAGTGATCAGAGTGGTTCAGTATTGAGCCAAAAATGAAGCTAAAATGTGTATTTTTCTCGGTTTAAGGAAGCGCTTGACGGTATAGAGTTTGCTCGTGGAGACGCTAATTCTACATGGGGATCGGTTCGAGCTGCAATGGGACATCCAGAGCCTTTTGAACTGAAATATGTTGCGGTCGGCAATGAAGACTGTGGCATGCCTTACTACAGAGGTTTTTTACATTTCTCTCTATTATTTTAAACCATTTTGAAAGAAACAAACAAGACCGTAGGTTATACTAACTTCTACACAACTCTTTTTCAGGAAACTATCTTGAGTTCTATGATGCTATCAAGAAAACTTATCCAGATATCAAAATCATTTCAAACTGTGATGCATCGTCTCAACCACTCGATCACCCTGCTGATTACTTTGATTACCATGTAAAAACACACAAAAACCGTTTAAAATTTTGTTATGCATAACATTGGTTTTGTCAGATCCTTACTGTTCCCTTATGCTCCAGATTTACACTCTTGCAAGTGACTTATATGTCAGGTCCCATGACTTTGACAATACACCGCGCAACGGTCCAAAGGTGCGGTAAATAAACGATACAAAATACTTCATTTGACATAACAAAATCGCGCTTCTTCGCCTTTATAATGAATGTATAAGCTTTCAACATTTTTTTTTGGGTTGTAGGCTTTTGTTAGCGAATACGCTGTAAACAAAACAGATGCTAATACCGGGAACCTTTTGGCCGCTCTTGGCGAAGCAGCCTTCCTCCTTGGTTTGGAAAAGAACAGGTTTGTTCTTAATAAAATTCATCTTCTTCTCATGCTTTGTAAAACAACAGTATAAACATTTGACTTGCTTCTTTATGTTTCAGTGACGTTGTAGGAATGGTTAGCTATGCACCTCTCTTTGTCAACACAAACGATAGAAGGTATCTCTCAGTTTAGTTTTAACGAGGTTTCATCAGTATCTTGAATGCATTAATAAGAAACAAGCCTGTTTCTTTTTGGTCACAGGTGGATCCCTGATGCAATAGTTTTTAACTCTTCTCATCTATATGGAACTCCTAGCTATTGGGTTCAACAGTTCTTCACCGAGTCAAGTGGAGCAACTCTTCTCAATTCTACACTTATGGGAAACTCTTCTATTGTTAAAGCGTCTGCAATCTCCTTCCAAACCAATGGCAAAGATTACATACAGATTAAGGTTTGCTTAAGATATAAGTTTATCGATTAGGTTTAGGGTTCTTGTTTTCTTCTAACTCTGTTTCTACATTTTTGACCAACCATGAATGTAATTTCATATAATGCAGGCTGTAAACATTGGAGAGAAATCAATATATTTGGATGTTGCAGTGACAAGATCGATCGCGAAATTCTATTTATTTAAGAAGAAAGTACTTACCTCTACCAATGTGATGGATGAGAATTCATTCTCAAATCCAGAGATGGTAGAAACTTGATGAAGAAATCAATTATGACATGAGTTCTTGAAAACGTTTTCTAACTCATTTCCTCTGTTTCCATTTCTGTAGATTGTGCCACAAGAAAGCTTGATGGAGATGACTGAGGAGGATGACCTTATGTTTGTTCTCCCGCCGCACTCGCTCTCCTCCTTCGACTTGAAAGACTCTGCAAATATTATCAAGATGCCACTAGCTGAACCCTACAAGAAAACTTCAACAATTTGAATTGCAGACAACATGTTGCAGACTTCATGTGTTATGTCTTTTATTACTCTTGAGTGGTCAATAAATATATAAACGTATGTGTTGGTTTATGTTATAACTTATAACAAAGTTAGTTGATCAGAATCACATTATGCCCTTGGATAACTTGATATGCAAGTTTTATACCAACACCATGTTGATATTGAGTTACAAGAAGGCCTAGAAAAAACAACCAATGGTAATACATTGGACCCTAAATTGTTCAAAGAAGTTACATATGTTTAGTGGTTAACGTTAAACCCTTACCTAACAAAAACTATGAGAAGTAGTTTTTTTGGTTATTCTTTTTTTTTTGAACCTATAATTAGAAAGACATCCATAACCAAATCTTTATACTTGAGAAACTAAAAATCACCTTAATTCCAGCAATTTAACTCGCCTTTTCAAAGCTAAAAAGACTTCACAAACAGACACCAAAGGATTAAAAACCACAAAAAGTTCAATTTTACCTTTATGCTTGTTCACACAATTTCGATTCTATTATAATCTTTATGTATGTTCAAGCAAGATGACTGCTTTCATCGCCTTATTCACCGGTCTTTGTTGTTTCAAGCAAAAAAAAAATCTGCCTATTGGGACGGTCCAGACGGGGAGGCAGTCATCTCCTCTTGAGACTACAACAAGAGAACAAACAAGCAATGACTTGGAACACAAGGAAAGCGATGACTTGCAGCATAAGGAAGCCGATGATCGTGATACCAATGCATCTAAGGATGGTAATAGTATCGCGAACGCTGATCTTCCGTTGCCTCCTGCGAGAAAAGAAGCGTTACGGGAAACATATTCGTGTAACAATATGATGTTAAGAAAATCTATGTCTACTAGGAAGAAACTGAGTGCTAGCCTGACAATCCAAATGCCAAGATCGTTGTCAATGGCCCTAAAACGTGATGGGTTGGAGGATAAATCTGTAAAGGAAAAGAAACCGAAGGCAGAGAATTCGATTCTGGTAAGACCAATTATACTTGGAGAGAGATGTAAAGTTCTTGATGAGGGTGAAGGAGATGACGATCACAACCAAAGAATGCCAAAGAACAGAATATATCGTCCTAGATCTATGAGTTCGATCTCGATTTCGAGAAGTAATTCGAAAATCGATATGAATGTAAATCCTATAGAAGTAACATCAGAAGATTCAATGAAATCAAAAGAGAATACTTGTTAAGAAAAAACAACAACTAATATTGTCAAATTTAAAAAGATAGAATATGAAAATGAATTTGCTAGATGGAGAAGTATCCAAAGATTAGGGGTTGTTACCTTCAAAACCAAGATGACATTATTGTAAAGATCATTATAGAACACAAAATGTCTTATTATAAGACGCATTTGAAATGAAATCGAGTTGTATAATAAGTATTTTTCTAAAAATAATTTTTTACTAGTTCATGAAAATTTTAAAAATTGATTCCATTGCATATTTAATTAAAGTGCATTATTATTTTTATATACAACAGAAACTTTTCGTTTCCAAAAAAATAAAATACAACAGAAATTTTTAAAAAAGCTTGTGATGTTGCAGATTATTTACAAAATATTTACAAACTATAGAAAATATCAAATAGGTTTGGGTTAATTATTCTAACCGAACTGAATCGAACTGAACCGAACCGACCAATTATATTGAATGCTTTTTTTGGTTTTCGGTTAAGCTTCCGGTTCGAGTATTAAACCCTAATTACTCTTTAATTAACGCATCCTGAATTCAACAACACAGGCTTCGTCGGAGAACTTCTCTCTCTTCCTTTGTCTTTGTCTCCGACGATACAAACGAGCTTTCTCTGCCTCCTTCAGGTTCGATTCGTTTCTTGAAGATTTTAAAATTTTAAAATTTTCATTGATTTGTTGGAATCGTTTCTCAAAGAATCAATTTTTTCGTGAGTTTAGCTATAGAATCCATTTGCTTAATTCTCAACACATTTGTTATCTGAAGTGAACAGATCTTAAATTTGTGGAGGTTTAGGTTTAGATGTGACTATTGTGAGGCTCTTTATTGTTATCAATTGATAAAGTTTCTGTCTTTGTGTTGGCTTTGGTGTTTATGTAGACTCCTGAGAACTAATAGGATGGATTGTGACGAAAATGTTGGGAATGAATCACTTGTTCTGATTAAACAAGGAGCCGAAGCTGTAAGTGTATATGGCTGAGTCAGTGTATATGTTTCTTTTTGTGTGGCAAGACTGAGTCTTTACATTTTTATTTTAGAGGGTGTTTGAGTCTACATTTGCTGGAAGAAGATCAATAGTGAAAGAACGGTTCTCGAAGAAATATAGACACCCGGTTTTGGATGCGAAACTCACGCTTAAGCGCTTGAATGCGGTTGGTTAATGTTCTGCAGCATCACCTTATTCTTGATTTCATTGATAAGTGTTTGTTTTATGTGTGCCTATGTTCTTGAATATAGGAGGCTAGGTGTATGACAAAGGCAAGAAAGCTCGGAGTTTCTACTCCAGTACTCTATGCTGTGGATACTCTGCTTCATTCCTTGACACTTGAGTACATTGAGGGCGTCTCTGTTAAGGACATTTTTCTTGACTTTGGAGCTAATGGGATTGTTGAGGTACGGTTTGATGATGTTGCTACTCAAATTGGGGCTGCCATCGCGAAGCTCCATGATGGTGGTTTGGTTCACGGTGATTTGACTACATCAAATATGTTAGTCAGAAGTGGAACGAATCAGCTGGTAAAGTATCTTGATTTGTTCTCGTGATTAGTTACTTGTGATTCATGACAATGGATATGTATGTCTTCCCCTTAGGTACTAATCGATTTTGGCTTGAGTGTCACATCGACCTTACCTGAAGACAAAGCTGTTGATTTATATGTACTTGAAAGAGCCTTACTCTCAATGCACTCTTCATGCGGGAATGTGGTAAGAATCATAATTCCACTACTTTTGATGGTTCTATTGTTGTTTGTCTCCTCATATAGTGTATGTTGTTGTCAAATGTAGATGGATCGTATACTGACAGCGTATAGGAAGTCGTCGAAGCAATGGTCAGCCACGTTTAACAAGCTTGCACAAGGTTTTTATTAAAACCCTCTTCCATGACCCTCTTCTTAAAACCAAACCTGTAAAAATTCTTCTTTTGGTTATGCAGTGAGGCAACGAGGGAGAAAGCGGACTATGATTGGATGAGCCAAGATATTTAGTGATCCTGTCTTTGAACGTGTTGACTACAAAAGCCACACGAAATGTTCTATATGATCAAATAGAGGTGGGAGGACACATGCCCTGAATTTTTAAGTTCATGTATAACTACTCTGTTTCATTGTATGACCGTGATCCATTTTGTTGATCAGTATGAAGGTGTCAATGCTATAGTTTGAATGGGGGTTGGCTTGTATGGTGTTAGACTAACACAATCTAAAATATTACACATATATAGTATCCATATATAAAAAAAAAAAAATTTGAGTTTTCATTAGTGATCTATATGGAAACCCGTAAAATTGTAGATATATATTAAGGTAGCTAGATCACACTTTTAACTATGCTATGGTTTTGAAAAAAATAGAGCTTAAAACAAACATAGTTTTTTTCATGATTTAAGATGAATTCAGGTTGAGCATCTCTTATTTTATTTTATTTTATACATATATATATATATATATATATATATTTCTTCTTTATCTTTAGCATCTCTTGTGAATTGTAACCTTAAGTCCATGCTTCATCCTAAGAATTGCATTAGTATCTGGTTGAATCTTCTGCCTTTTAGCAACCTTAATGTCAAAGTTTTGTAAAATCTCCACCACCACAGTCTTCATTAAGTTCATAGCTATTTGCTTACCTAGACAACTTCTTGGGCCGCCATGGAATGCTAAGAACTTGAAGGAAGGTACATGTCTCAACGTTCCGGTCTCTGAAATCCATCTCTCTGGCTTGAATTCTAATGCATCTTCCCCCCATACGGCTCTCATCCTACCCAACGCATAAATGAAGATAAAAATCTTCGAGTTTGCTTCGACTTTATGGCCACTTGGAAGCACATCTGTCTTTACGGGAGACACAAGCTCGACCGGAACTGGAGGGTAAAGCCTCATTGTTTCACACAATGTGGCATGTAAATACACTAACTTTTTCAAGTACTCCATTGAATCATAAGACAGCTTTTCTTGGCCACTACTACAACCTCTTGGTAGATTTGTGTCCATCTCTTGGCGAATCTTAGTCACCACTCTAGGGTTTTCGGACAAAAGCCAGAAGAACCAAGTGAGAGCAGAGGCAGTTGTATCCCTCCCAGCTAATAAGAAACCTATGATAGTGTCTCTAAGGAATTTATCATTGATAGGATTCAACAGTTGGTACTTGGTTGTATCAAGCTTCATGTGAGATGCCAAAATATCTTCATTGTCTCCATCTAAATGATCATGAGTCATCCCTTGTGATGTTTTAATCTCTTCTCTCTTGGTTGATATGTACTTGGCACACACACGATCGAAAACGGCACCAGCTTCAATCATTTTCTTCTCTATCCCAACTCCGATCCACTTTTGTAGCTTCCACAAGAATCTAGGTTTTGCATGCCTATATACAAGACCTTGTCCTATATTGTTGAGAGCTGTAGCAGACTCATTCTCTGGCATTTCAATGGAGAGAGATCTAGGATCATCACACCCAGTTATCGTAACTATACTTGTATCATACGTTAACCTCCAAAACACATCTTGCAAGTCTACGGTCTTGCCTTCCTCTACGACATGATCAAAAAACGGGACAAGACCGTTCTTGACTTTACTTCTCATGGTACTCATTGACAATCTTTGATATCCTTGATGTTGTATCATGTCCTGAGTAGCTTTCCTCAGTTTCTTCCATGCCTCCGAGTCCTTTGCTAGTAAAGAATCTTCAAAGGCATCAAAGGTTTCTCTAAAGTCGGAACCTCTTGTGAAATTTGAGAAGTTTGAGTTGATTAGGTAGTGAATGTTAGCCGGATCAACTGTGACCAGCATATCCATTCCCGCGAAGCACGGTCCCTTGAATAGAAATGTTAACCCATTGTTTTCAAGAACCTCCACAGCGAAGTCAAAGACACGGTGTAGCACAAACAAAAGACCTGGCATCATCCCCAACACTGGCCAGCTAATTGTAAGGAACTTGATGAGAAGATGTCTTTTGAAGAGGAAGCTAAGGAGGATGAGAAAGTATATGATGGCTATGGAAACTCCAATCATGCTAATTGAAGACATAACCAATGTTTTTTTCTTTTTGTTTTGTTAATAAAGATTATATAGTATAATCAATGTTGTGAACTTGTGATGGGTTATTTAAGTACATAAAGAGGTTTATATAGAAACTACAAAGCAAGATGGTTCAATATATAAACAGTTATATACTGACATATGCATATATAATTTGAGATATTCATTTTTATATAAAATCCAATCGGTGTAGCCCACAAAATTGGATGAATGCAAATTTTTTTAAGGGTCCATTATTTCATTAACTGCTACCAGAAAATGGATGAGACCGAATCCTGTTAGGGATCCACCAAAATAATTAAAGAAGTAGATTAATCTAATAATATGTAAGAGAAATCATTGAAGAAAAAACTGTTTGCAAATTTTCGAAATGTGTAGTTGAATTGAATTAAATAAAGTATATTATCAATGGTTTTTGAAATGTTAGTTAGTTCCACTGAATCCAAATCAAAAGAATTATACTGTATGCAATAAAATTGCAAAAAATAGAGATTTGTTAAGAACAAGACGGTTTAGGAGAACTGTTATCTTGTTATTCATGTATTCTTTAGGATACAATATATACATAATACAAATTACGGGTTTTTTTTTTGACAGCAATACAAATTAGGGTTTAGATTAGACACCATTTAACTTAATAGATCTAATGAGTCTATAATGAGTATCTTAAAATAATTTGAATTCACACAATCTAATCGTCTGAGTAAGCAGCTCAGATAAGGATGTGTAAAGGATATGTGAACAAGTTTTTGTAAAATATGTATATATTGGAAAATAGTTAAAATTTTGTGGGTTTAATTTGGGAAATATGGATATTTTTCATATACTAGATCTGATAGCTATCAAATCCAACTCGTAATTCGTAAAGGCGTACAGTACACCATCATAATCTGTTGGTGTCGGTACCAACTACTAAGTACCAATTACAAATGGATGAGATGACTTTGTGAACGATTTCTAAATGGTTCATCATTTCTCTAAGTCCAAATATCTTAACAACCCCAAATTACATTTTCAGCAAATCTGTGTCTACGTATATGTTTCCTTTTTCATTGAGATTGTGTTTTTGTGGCGTTTCCAAATGTAAAAGATCATTTTTTAAGTAACATCATTCAATAGTTATTGCCATTGATGTTGGATTGAGCTGATCCAGTCTAGTCTGGTCTGGTCTGGTCTAAGTGTCTAACCCTAACAGCCATTGGCTAATAATATGGCATGTTAAATGGATCAGACCCGTCTGGCTAGGATCTTTCAGACTTATGGCCAGCAAAGACCCACCCTGCATATATAATTTGTTGAGTCTGACCTGCTACCCAACCTAAATTATTATTATTATTATTATTATAACATTGCTTAGATGGACACATTGATTAGGAAAAAAATCATTGCTGCATGTCCAGTAGAGAACTTTCAGGAAGATCATAAATTAATTAATTAAAAAATAAAAAAATTAAAGAGAGACGGAAAAAATTTCTTAAAATGATACCATTAGCATTGATACTTAAAAAGAGACCGATGGCAAATTTTCAGGAGTTGAAGTAATAATAATAAAAAAAAAAATTTCTTCTTTTTAGTACGTCTCACCGGTGGAGGTGATCTTAGGTGAACAAATTCTATTATCATATTGTTTTTTTTAAAAACATTGCTTAGGTGGATACCTTAAATTCTCCTATAAGATATATATAGATTTTGACAAGCTAAAATATGGAGCTCCTAACTAAGGCATAAACTGTGAATATGAGATATTGAACAACCCTAGTAATAATTTATATATAGTAAACATCCAACTCATATTATACATACGAACCGAGGAAGCAGCAAAATTATAATTCCCTATTAATTACAGTTAAGAAGTTTACTATATTTATCGATCTAATTGTCAACAAACATATGACAAATAAAGAAAATTACATCACCATTACAAAACATACAACTATTACCTATGACTTGAGAAAACATAACAGCTTCGTTCTCTAACCGAACACGTCTCGTATATAAACAGAACAAAAGAAATAGATAAACCTTCAAGTAATTAATTTTCAAAACGAGCAAAAGAGGAAAACAAAATGGTGGTTCTTGGAGTACTCCTATGTCTTTGCCTTGCGATACAAGTCACCAGCGGCGAGGTAGACAACCCTCTGATAAACAATTACGCTGACTACGAATCGATTCATCCGAGCGAATACTACAGTTCCGATTTCGAACTCAAAGACGGTACCAATGTGATCTTCGAAGTTGTCAATGAAATGAAAGGTGTCAAGAAACCAAAAGCTGGCTTCCAATGCACAAGTAGCACGAAACGTTGGACAAGGTCTCTCCCTGGAGACATTTTCTACGCCAAGTTCTTCTTTTACCGGATTAATCCACACGCGACGGTTGTTCAATATTGCCATTTCAGATCGGTTTTGGGTTACGCGGACGTCTTTATCGATGTAAGCCCTGCGCTCGGAGAAAAATGTCCTGGTTACAAATGCATTTTGTCTATAAGACGTGAAGGTCTCTTAATGAAAGATACTAAAGAACTCTTTCATTGGACTCCATGGCCGCACCGTCACGTTCAACCTAAGTTGCCTGCGATCACAAATTGATTTCTCTGAATGATATATATTACGGGAAACGAGTGTATACATATATCTCTTTAATCTTTTTTTTTGGTGATACACATTGTTTAGTTCAGAAAACATTAATCAATTTTTTTTTAACAATTACAAGTATAATGATTTTTTCCCTCATTAGTATAAGGCTCCGTTCGTTTCTCCGTTTTGCATCTCCATCTAGATAGTTTATTTAAATGATTTATCTAGATGATCTATTTGCATGATAAATGACTAAACGAATAAGAAATAAAATAATTCATGTCGATGATCCATTTGGACTGAGATGTGTTTGTTTTTCCATTTTGCATATTCATCTATGAATCTGATTTTAAAAATGACTAAAATACCCATGACTTGATCTAATAATTTCTTTCATATTAATGTTAATCATAATAATTTTAATTATTAATCTAAAATATATATACACCTTAAAGTTTTATAAAGGAAATTTTTTGACATTTTATTTTTTTCACAAGTCAGCTACGAGATTAATATACACTCATAGTAAAGAAAAATAAACGTATTAATAACAAGAAAAATAAACGTATTATCTATTTTAGGAAAAGAAAACAAGACCAACAATCTATTGAGCGAGAAACAGAGAATGTAATAAATAAAATACATCGGTTTAAAGTTAAGCACTAGTAAAACAACTCAAAAACCAGTATATATATACTATTTGAGATTAAAGAACTGAGACAAAACTCAAAAAGATGATGGTAATGAATCCCAAAACTATAGTTATAAATCTCCTCCTCCTAATCCTACTGCAAATTTTCACCACTAATGTCTTATCTATGACGCCGGAGCATAGGAAAGATCATAAAGAGGAGTTTAAGGTAAGACCAAACACAGTCACGCATGTAGTAATCTCCAACGAACTGTTTGATCTGAAGAGAGGAAACGCTGGTTTCACATGCTCTCATGGTCCCAAGATATGGCGGAAGAGCAAACCAGGACAACGTTACAATTTGATTCGGTACAAGTACGACGGTTATGGAAGGTTCATGTCCTCAAGTTGCCATGTCCGTTCGAACCGCGGGTATGTGAATTTTCATGTCTTTTTGACTACGGACTACTCCGCTGATTGTTACCCGAGTTATGTCTGTCAGTACACAATTAGGAAAGATGGTGTTCATTACAAGCCTACCAATACGTTGTATGAATGGCGGAAGTTCCCACGACGACGCATTTCTAAGGCTTAATTGAGAGATAACATATTGGGATTACTAGCTAATTAACTCTTTTCATTGTGTAACACATTATATTATATCAAAACTACATATATATATATATATATATATATATATATATATGTCGATCACAAAGTGATTTCTATGTACAAGAATCATATGTATCGCCACTATATAAATCTAAATATATATTGATTTTAAGTAATGACAGGCTATATATATCAGGCCATATATATCCTCAACGCAAATTAGCTAGTGAGATGCATTCAAGGATTTATTATCATAAGAGTAGACTTTTTTTTTTCTAAAGTAATTTTTTAATTTTAATTTAATTTTGAAAAATAGGATATACTTTGAGATATGGGTACAAATATTCCACATCTGAGTAGGAAGGAAATTAATAAGTGATATATAAGACTTAAAGGGCACCCTAACTCATAAGCTAGCTTTTGGAGATGTTCTACCTAAAGGTCTTTGTGGACTTGAGTAAGGCTTATTCCTATCATACTTTAAGACAAAACAGTAAACATAATATATATAAGACAAAAGATGGATGAAGAAAATATTGTCTTGTTATTTGTTTAAACTCAACTAGATAAGAAAAGATGTAATCATTGACATATAGTATTATAGAAGGCAGTAAACATAATAAAAGAAAGCATAATTAAAAAAGTAACATTGGTTAGTCCTCAGAATTAGTGTTCTTCTTCATCTCCTTCTTCAACTTCTTCTTCATCTTCTTCTGCATCTTCTTCTTCATCTTCTTCTTCATCTTCTTCTTCTCAGCAACACCTAGTGAAGTTCCGCTGCTAGGAGAAGTAAGAGAAGGAGCAACAAATTCTGAGCTTTCGCTTTGGATACCGAGAGGGCTTGCTCCAGTTGATAAGGAGGTCCAAAGCCAAACAGAACTTGCAAGACTTTGTAACGACTGTGATGGGTCTTGAAGAAGTGTTAAGAGAATATTGTTTTCATTTTCTTTCAAAAGGTTAAGTGCCGCAACATATTTATCGTCCAAAAAGATCTTTTGCGAGATCACCAACAAATTTGTTGGTTCGTCACGATGTTGCAATCCCCACATGTAAACGTCCCTAAACATCCTTTCATGTTTGTCACTACGACTATCTAGTTGAACAAGGTTGATGTCATCAGCGGATTCAAAGTCTTGTTCGTTCAGCTTCTCAAGAGAATAAGCTGACATTGACATAGTACCACCAGAGTAACCCATATTGTTGAGAGCAGATTTGATATTAGCACAGACAGACGCAGGACTGAGACCACCGGGGACCGGACAATCATCCATGTCCCATAAGACGCATGTCTTAGCCATGGAGAATTTGCTGGTCGCAGAAGACATTGTTTCGACGGAGGATTCGCAGACGACGAAGACAACTAAATAATTTAGGTTAGATGATGGAGGCTTCTGCCTTTTTTATATATAGGGCTGATGATATTGATATATAGAAGAGTTCCTATTTTATTATTTTTATTTTTTGACATCTTTCCAATTTTATTCATAGGAGTATACTAATGAATCAAAATATAAGGAATTATATCTAATTTAATTCTTTAAGTCGAAATCAAAAATAGAAAGATTTCTTTTCAATTATTAAAAAAAAAAATCGTAAATAAGATCGCTTTTGAAAAAGAAAGCAAACCATGTGAATTAAAAAATAATAATCAACTTTTAAAAACAAATAAGAAAATTGATACCATGCACATAAGTTTTGGAGTCCAATTAGAAAATGTTAAAAAAAAAAAAAAAATCTTGTAGGTTTAAAAAATGAGAAGAAACGACATACTATTATAGATTTAGCAATTAATAACTAGTAATAATAATCAGTTAATGTAACTCTAAATATAGATGCAAATTTTTTTTAAAAAAACGTAAAATGAAAATAATACAGAAAAGAATTCTAATAGTTGGCACAAACACAGACGTATATGTTTCATGATGTTGAAACAATTAAGTGTAAAAAAAAAACAGTTTTCGTACTAAAAAAGGTTAAATTTTACAACGTACCGATTAGCTTATTTTAACTTTCTTATGAACTAGCAAACCTAAATCTCCACATCAAACAAATAAACAACACATCTGGCCTTAATTTGCAACAGATTTTTAGTTTCAAAAACGTTTTTAAAAACTGAAGAACAATTCAATTCCCATTCAACATTTTAGTTTACCCCAAAAAAACATACAAGCCAAATCCCAAAATCCAAAGGCTAACAAATATTATAATGACGTTCAACATTCATAAATTCATAGCAACCCTAGCATGGTTTCTTCTATTGCACGTCACCTTGGTCTCCTGCACCGTCAGGACACATTTTGTCACAACAGAGTTAAAGATAGTAAATGGAATGCATGGCTTGAAACGTCCAGAGATCGTTTACCATTGTCAAGCTATTAACAGTGGTCTTGACTATGGATGGAGACGAGCCATAAAGCCACCGTTTGGCCACTCCTTCACCGTACTCTTGGAAGGTGGCCTAAAACTTGAGGAAGAGACTCATCGCTGCCATTTCAGGTCGGTGCTCGGTACAGCGAACGTCGATATCCGTATGACCGCGATTGATTCTGAGATGTGTAATAACAAAAACGCATGTGCAGTTCATGTGGCTACACCGGAAGGGATATGGTTTGATGGTAAAGAATGGGATTTTGAGGAGAGGTATCCAAGGCTTGTACCGAAGAAATACATTGAAGCTAGGTGGAAACCTTGGCCACGACGCAGCAAACGTAGCCGTGTGGGATCTCAAAAGCAAGGTCGCTCAGGGGGTTCACAATGAGTTAGTGCCCTACACATAAGGCTAAAGGGTCGTCAAAAGAATATATATATGGAACATGTTGGAGATTCTTATGAACAATATAATACGATGGAGTTATATATTACACTTTACATTTTAGTTTGTATAATTGCAAAAATATTAAAAGATTATGTTTAGTTTCTAATTTTCCTTTTTTTTCGCTTGGTATATTATTTCTTCAATTGACGAAATTAGTTTTTTTTTTTTTTGGGCGAAAATTAACGAAATTAGTTGAGCGATCACATAATTAAACAAGTAACACTTTTATAATTGTTGCAACAAGATATTTATTTAATTTTGAAAAAGTGATTTAGTACTATGGTTTATTTTCTTTAAAAAAAAATAATTTTAGGTATTATTATGTAACTAAATTATTTATATGATTATATATTATATGGGGTTTTCACTATTTTATCTCTAAAACTTCGTCGTATACAGTGTTTAAAAGTGAGAAAATATTCATGAAAGAGTTCTACTTCAAATGAGGCCTTCTGATTATCAAAATGTCACCTTTTCTGGAAGATCCTTTAATTTATAGTTTATAAACATCTAGTTTATCTTGGTACGCTTGTGCCGTGACTTTTCTCAAGGGACTGGATAGTTTGGGTTACACATATGTACAGGGAAGCGAATCGTCTAGCATATGGTTTAGCCAACTATGCGTTTTCTTTTCCGCTTGGTTTTAATTCTTTTGAGATTTGTCCGGATGCTCTTGTTTCGGTGTTGTTAGAAGATATGAGTGATTTCATGATTCCACGAAATGTACTATTGTAATTTTCTTTTATATTTGAATTAATTGTAAGAGACTTTTGCTCCTGCCTCCTACCAAAAAAAAAAAAAAAAAACATCTAATTCATCCACCTCCTAGACACTTGGACATTCAAGGACATTTGGAATATATATCCAATTAAGCTCGCAAAAGATTCGTGTTTTGGCCTATGTTTTAGCAAACGAAGCTAGAATCAAGGATTCTACATTTACTCTCTTTTGGATTTGCTAGATGTATATGTTCTTTAAACTCTTGTAAACTTTCTAAATCGTATCTAATGAATAAATTGGCCGAAGAAAAATAATAATTATAATATTAAATGATTACAGTTTAGGTGTTGGCATGGTGGTTAATTTGGTGATGTTCTACATTATTACTAGGTACTGACCCGCGCTACAGCGCGGAGGAAAGTTGTCGGTTTTGATTTTTAAAATTTTTTGATGTGAATTGAATAAAATGTTCTTTGGTTTTGAAAATGTAAGTAATTATTTGGGGATTATATAAAACCTATTTTAAAAAAGATTAAATATTTGTGTGGTTTTAGGCTAACGTGTTATTGTAGGATTATTAAAAATGGGAATGTGGGATAATTGGTTATAGGTGTTTCATTGTTATTCATTTATCAAGATAGTGACGTTTTAAAAAAAAACTTTTAGAACGTTACTAATTGTGTGTATTATTTATTTGCAATTTATGAAATTTCCGTTTTCGGAAAACTTTATTCATGAAGGTTATATTATGGTTTTGTTTGTGAACCGTACGTGGTTCTGATAACCATTCTATTTTGTTTACGGTTCTATTTATTCACTGATTGGCTTACATTGGGCTTGAAGGAATTTTCATAATAGTAACTAATATGTGAAATATTACAATTAAATCTGGGCTTTTGGGCCATTATTAAATATGGAGATAAGGTCCACTATCAAATTCTTGCTCCTGTGTCGTATTGTCTGATTCTCAATCTAATCATTTTCCACTAACTCCTTTTCCTCCACCGTTTCTCTTTATTAAGATGTAAGTAATAGAGTAATAATAATATTATGTTTATGTATCTATTTTAGGCTCGAAACATGGTGGTAAGTTTTTATGGGCTTTACCCATTATGAAACCTATTAGATAACAATGAAAATAATCGAAATAAAGGCCCATAAAGCTATAAACGCAGTAATTAATGAAAAGATCCAGTGATGAAGTCGGGTTTTGTTTTTGTTTTTGACCCGACCCGGAAATCTTTTTGTACTTTTATTTTACTATAGTAGGCATGTTAACGTAACCACAACCTCAAAACATTTTAAATTTAGATTATGTGATCGATGTTATAACATCTTTGGCATAAAATTTTGTGTAATAAAGTTAATAAAAATGAACTCGATCGTACCATTTTTCCTAGCACATACTTATAACGGCCCTAAACGTACAATTTTGATACATGTTTTAATATAATCTATATTTGTTAAATAATGTCATTTTCAATGTTTACTAAGGTTTTTGGATTATATCCCCTAACAATGATTTCGATAGGTATACGTTGGATGGTATAACAGGAAACTAATATTGAGTACTAAGTACCAACCACAAGCTAACTGTACACATACATATATAGGAAAATATACACATCATGCATGGAAAATACTGTTAGAAGTTACAACAATAATGTTGTTGTATTTATAAATTTTTTGCTGTAACAAATCAATTGGTATGACTAATTACTACATTGTTAGAGATAACTTAATTAGTTACCTATTTTATTATTATCCGACTATATACACTGTTTTCTGGAATTGGTTATCTTGTTAGTAGCTACAAAACTAATTTCCTTTGATTTCTTTTTTTCGTTATCTTTGTCAAATATATATAACCAAAAGGAAAATTAAGGTTTCATTAAGAATCAAATCATTACAAGAAAGGAAGAAGAAGAAGAAGAAGAAGACGACGAAAATTAGTGTTACCAACAAAGCCCTAATTAAGAGTTAAAGAAAGTTTTTACAACAAAAGAAGAATTTACAACAAAAGAAGAAGAAGAAGAAGAAGAAGAAGAAGAAGAAGAAGAAAAATGATGAGAGGAGAAACTAGTATTGCCATTAAAGCCCTAGTTTGGTGCCTTGTATTGCAAGCTATCATATTCCAAGGGGATTCAATTGTAGGAGACGTGGGTTTCACGTTAATGATGAAGAACGAAATGTATGGCTTGAAACGTCCAGTGGTTCTCTACCGTTGCAAGTCGTCTAATAAATCTCTCCGGTGGCATATATCGAGTCCCCATGCGGAGTTTAAATGGGATTTCGAAGTCCCACCATTTGGAACTGGCGTAGTGATCCACCATTGCGAGTTCCGGTCGAGCCAAGGAACAGCTGAAGTCGAGATCAAGACATTGTCGATGACATCTATGTTGTGCGGAGGACATGTGTGTACATACGTCATTAGGCCTAATGGTGTATACTTTGTTGGTTTTGAGACCTATTACCCACACAACATTTTGTTAAGATTTCTTGAGTTGGTGAGGCCTGTTGACAAGCTAGTCGAGCCATGGAAGGCTTGGTCCCCGACACAGCTTAAGGCTTTACGGGAACGCAACATCACCAGATCAGAACCCAACGTCATACACGGTGACAAAGATGTTGAGCAAGAGGAAGACGACGATTAGGACAGATCATTTCTGTAATGCCGCTTACTAAAAATAGCAAAAAAATTCTTAAAAAAAAAAAAAAACGTTGAAGAATAGAACTAGTTGATTTTTTCTTTGTGTGATATATATGTACAAATTTTTTCATTTAATTTACTGATTGAATCATTCGTGTTGGTATTGTCTTTTGTAACATGTGGTGAACTCTTTGTCTCGTCCCTTTTTTTGGCCTACGTATGGATTTTTTTTTTTTGTTTCAAGATCGAGTTTGCGTCAAGGACTACATATTCTATAGAACAAGTTCTTTCTTCCTTTGATTAAAAAAAAAAACATAAACATAAACAAGTCATAATCGATTAACAATACTACAACATTTTTGATGTATAGTTAAAAACATTAATAATATCAAAATTAAATGAAAAAAAGAAAAGAATACGAAAAATGATTAAACGAACCGAGTTGAAAACCAAACTACACGTCTACACTCACATTACAAAATAAGAATACCTCAAGTAAATCTGAGGAACATCAAAGCCAAGTTAAGACAAGAGTAATTCACTCTTTAATGTTTTAAGACATTTGAAAATGTCTTGTCCTGAACCACGTTTTACCGCCTACAATAACCACCACCAAGGCTTTTTGGAGGGAGGTGGAGGAGGTGGAGATTTCCTGTAGTAGAAGGCTCTTTGAGCTTGAGGAGAAGGAAGATGAGTAACCGGAGGTGGATTGATCAGAGTAGGAGGAGGAGGAGGAGGAGGAGAAAGTGCAACCGGACGAGAATAAACCTGAGGAGGAGGAGGAGGAAGAGGAGCCGGAGCTCGATAAGGCGGTGGAGGAGGAGGAGAATACAGCGGTTTGTAGCTAGTGGGAGTTTGCAGGAGTTTCCTGTTGTTGTTGTTGGCTTCAGAAAATGTCAATAAGACTGCCAAGAGAAAAAATAGAGTGAAGGAAAGTCTTAGAGACGCCATTTTTCAGGTTATTATTGAGATCGTTGGTTACACTTAATCATGTTTCTACTTCTACATATATATATAGTCCATGTATGTTCTCTTATAGGCTTCCCACTAACTTTAGGATCTATTCAAGATCGTAGTTTTCAAGTATATATTAGTATATATAAGTATTAAGTAGTGAATATTAGTATATGTTAGTCAACTAGTTAAGCTGGCTTTACTTTTTTGTTTTAGTCAACTAGTTAAGCTGGCTTTACTTTTTTGTTTGCATTTTAAATATATCTTCTTGTACTAATTGAGGCTTCCCTCTAACTAATATGCTTGATTAATCAGCGGTATTAACTTTTAAGTACTTATTAAGAAAATTGTACTCTTCATTTTGAATATATATTATCCAAGTGCTTATATGTTTAATGTTGTTCTCCATACGTGTTGCGATAACTTTTCTACCAAAGCACAAAAAGATAGGAGCAACTTGAGTAGCTCGAAAAGGCGGTTAAGAAGCTAAACCAGATGATTAATGTAAAACAAATCAACAAAGTAATTAAAATGTGGATGCTAGCTAGAGAATGACTTGTTCCTCCCCCTTAACAGTTACATTTCTAAATATAGTAATGAAAAATGTGGATGTGGCAATAACTGAATCCGTAAGCAGTTACATGTCTAAGAATAGTAGTGTCTCTACGAACTCTATCACCGTCGAGAAATCGAAAAAACAAAAATCGAGTGAGCAGAAACGAAAGAAGAGAAAGAACAAAACAATAATTTACAAATATGGGAGCTAACAAGATTCCCAAAACCCTCAATGGGAACATTGTTCTTGTACTAATCATCACCATAATGATGGTGACTCACTCCCATGGATTTAGACTGGAGATCACAAACGAGCTCACGGGAAGGCACAGAAGGCTTGTGTACAAATGCTGGTCCCGGGACAACGATTTCGGTTGGAGACAGAACTGGTCATATTTTTCCAAGGATTGGTCCTTCGGCATTTCGCTATTCCACACCTTCTTCTACTGCCACTTCCATACAGGCTACGGGCGCGTGGATAAGCAGCTAGTAGTGTCGTGGAATATGAAAGAACAGTGTGGAGACAGGAACAAATGCACTTGGGTCGTTAAGAAGGATGGACTCTACTTGAGACATTGGAAGACGATGTTTTATAGTAACAAGTATGGTAATGAGAGGTGGAATGAGTATGTTCCACATGATATTCTCAAAAAATCTTGGAGCTAATTAATTAACAACCTTGACAATGTTGATCTCGTGATTTTCGTCTCTGTATGTTTATATTCATGGTAATAAAACCATACATTTTGTAATATATATGGTGAAAAAATGAGAAGAACAAATCTATAATATGGTGTTAATTATATTGTGAATAGATCAATAGCTAGTAACGGTATTAGTGGACAATTGTAACCAAATGAATAACAAAAAGTGGAATAGTAGATTGATGGAACACGAGAACAGTCTACACAAGAACACAAGATGTACAAACGAAGAAAGTCAACATTTAACGAGTTAATTTAGCCAAACTCTGCTCATCATAATTGGTACAATATATTTACTAATTACGAGTTTGATTGGTAACACAAAACTATACAAAAAAAATAATAGGTAGAAAATTCGTTTAAAAAACACGTAAAATAATTTCAAAACGGTATGAATTAGCTAATATATAGAGAAAACGGTACAAAAAAACTAAAAGATTTTTTTTGTATCGTTTTCGATATCGCTTTTATTATTATTTATAACAAAAACGATAAACTTTTTATTGAATGTTAAACCCGTATTTATAACAAAAACGATATTCATATTTATAATATTGGCTGAAATATATTAATCTTATTTTCTTAACATTAAACTAAATAATATATTTTTTAAAAATCTTATTTTTGAAAATATGAAAATGTGAAAATCTTGATTAATTTTGTGAATAACTTTAAAAGTTGCAAAACCGCGTTATAACAAAACAAAAAACGTGTATGATAACGTTGTACTGTTCAACTTATCAACACCTATGTGATAAACAATCTCAACGAAGGATGACGTCAAATGTGGTCAAAGTTTCAGAAAACAGCAAATTTTTTAATTTTCAACCTTTTGTGATTTCTTCTCTGTCTTCTCTCCAAATATAGACGAAACTTAGCTTATACTATTTCTAAATTTGGAAGCCGTAACAGTAACGGTCTAATTACCATTATATACCTGTTTCGTAAGCCCCAAGACTCCACAAAACTACGAATAAAGAAAACATAACGTTCGCTTTGATCCCAAATGGGGAGAGACCTCCTCTGGTGTTTCTTCGTGGTCTTAGCGGTGTTGTCACCAAAACCAACCAGTGCAGGTCGTCTAGAGCTAAGGAACGAAATCTCTGGCGTCTCTAGCGTAAGAAAAGCGAAGCTTGCTGTGAGGTGCTGGTCAAACGAGGACGACTTGGGATGGGACATGTTAAAGCCTAAGGAGTCAAGGATATGGAAGTTCACGACGATGAACTTGTGGCCGTTCCAGAAAACTGAGTTTAGGTGCCAGTTTCGTTGCGGGTTTGGAACCACGGACGAAGATGTGGTGACAGTGTTCTCTGTCAAAGACGGGTTTAGGAAAGAGTGTGGTGTAGGTGGGGATGAGTGCTTTTGGGTTGCCAAGAAAGATGGATTCTATCTAAGAAAGATCGTTAAGGGTTTTGATGATGATGGTCGGAAGAACTTTGTTGATGTCCTCGAAAGCAAATGGGTTTGGAAATGGTGAATTTGATCTTTTTGTCCAACAAAGCATCGACATGTTTTTTTGTTTTTGTTTTTTTTTGTCAAGAACATGCAAAATTGTATGTTTGAAAGTGACAAAAACACAAAAACTATTTGGGTACGAGTCCTTTGTCACAACCATTGATAATTACTTATTCATTAATTTTTTTACCCCTTTGTATTAGAATCGGACGACGGTATATTGAGAGATATATGCATGGGGTTATAAGTACACATAATTAAGTATACTTTGAGATTTACGGTGGCAAAAATGTAGTAATACTATTATTTAAAATTTGATCTTTTTATTTATTTATCAACATCTCTTCCTCCGGAAAAATCCAAATGTAAGAAGTTCAAAATTGTTTAGTTGTGAGACCAGAATCAAATGTAAAGTATCAATCAAATTCATATGCTAGGATTAGGAGATCCTCTTATTACAATCTCTCGATTGTGATTGGTAACTTATACTAAATCTAATAAAAAGATCTCCCAATCCTAGCATATGTATATCGTTTCTGTATATATATATATATATATATACTAATTATGACAATCTATACATTGTATGGATTTAGTGAAGGAATAATGTTTATGAATGCGGAATTTTAAAGTAGTAATTTAATATAGAAGCTTAAAATTTGGAAAATATTAATAAAAGTAATAATAAAACCTCAATAAATCAATAAGAATTATAGTGGTGGTACGAATAAACCTTGGAATATTTATCAATAGAGAAAAATAATTAAGTAGGTAACAGGACTAAGATAATTTAAATCAAATGTGGCCTATAAGTTTTACATTAACTGTGGTCTATGACGTTTGCTTCTTTTTAGTCAAAAGTCGCACAATTCAGAGTATAAATAATTATTAATAGATTTAATTGATAACAAAAAATATAAATTTTGAAATGGGCTGTTATCCTATTTCCATTATTGAAGAGTTATTGGATGAATTGCACTGACCTACTGTTTTTTAGCTGAAGTCTGGTTGCCACCAAATTAAAATGAAGTCGGCCGATATTCCTTGCATATCCTTACAAACACTCCGGCCACATTCCAATCCGTTATGAATGATTTACTTCGTCCTTACCTATGCTAGTTCGTATTAGTGTTCTTTGATGATATTCTATTGTACACCCCAACATTGAATAGAAAAAGTCATAGCAAAAATATTAAATTGTAGTTAGAGAAAAAGCAATATAAAATTTTTATTATAAAAACGTTTTTAAATACCACTTTTCTTTTAATCTATATTGTTAACCTGGTAAATTTCGTACGAGATTGATACATGTTACTAAATCAAAGCTAATAAAATATACTTTTCTGGTTTTGACGGAAAAACATATTCTTATAGTTTTAATAGATAAAATATTAGTTTTAAAATAAAAGTAAAAATATCATTTAGAGGTTTGAATAAATGGTCATTTAAATGAGCAAACGATAATTTTTTTTTAAAAGAATGTGTTGTGCATGGTACTTATATGCTTATTCATCCTCCATGAGAAAATATAGAGCCGTTTAGAAGTAAAAAAAAAAAACTGAAGCAACGATGAATATGCTTGTTATATATAATTTTAGTATGAGATAACATATGTTGAATTGAAAATTTTGTTAAAAATAAAGTCAATGAGTGAAACGCGCTTATTCCATGCGTTTTGAAATTAGTCGCCACCACCTCTAATCAAAAAAAATCTCACCAAAAAAAAAAATATCTCACCGCTTCTTTTTTTTTTTTGTGTCGCCATATCTCACCGCTTCATAACAAAAAAAAAAAAACTGATGACAGATACCAGAGTCATCTCGACCTGGACCGAGTTCACTCGCAACTCAGCCATTTACTTGCTATTCACGTTTGTCACCATCAAAGTCTTCAAATTTCTCTTCTGCAATTCTCGTACCTCCGAAATGTCATCTTTTTCGATGGCGACTCATCCCGAAGCTCTCCGGCGAGAGCGAATTCTCAACAGCAGACTCTACTTTGACGTCCCTCTTTCTAAGGTAACACTTACGCTCGTGCCCACTGAGAAATTATCGATTTTTAAATGGGATTTTGATTTTGATTTTGATTGATAGGTTTCGATTATCTATTCATCGGCGTATGACATCTCGTTCATGGGTATTGAGAAATTGTGAGTACTTTTCCTAAATTTTGGAACTTTTTCTTTGTTGATCAATCTTGGGAACTCGTTGACTAATTGGTTTCTTTAGTTTCATTTTTTTGGTGAAGAGGTTTTGAATTAGTCTCTTTAGCTTCTGAATTCGAAAGTATGAGTCTTTTTGGTCTGAGGTTGATATCTGATATTGTGCAGGCACCCATTTGATTCTACCAAATGGGGTCGAGTTTGCAAGTTCCTTGTTTCAGATGGGTTTTTGGAAGAGAAGTCAATCGTTGAGCCTCTTGAAGCTTCAAAGACTGATCTTTTAGTGGTACTACTTGGCTTTCTCTTAGATGTGTAGTTGATCAATCACTAGTGGCCATTAATGATATGGTTCCTCCTGTATTGGCATCTTGACGGTTGTGTAATTTGTTTTGTTTGCGTTTTCTCTGTATTAGGTTCATTCGGAGAACTACTTAAACAGCTTGAAAAGCAGTGCTACTGTCGCTAGGATAGCTGAGGTTAGTGATGTTTACATGATTTTTAGTCATCTACGTTGACTCTTGTTGAATTAACTTTTCTACAATGTATAGGTTCCACCAGTTGCCTTTTTTCCAAATTTTCTTGTGCAGCAGAAAGTTCTTTACCCATTCAGAAAGCAGGTAGAAGAATCATTTGTTGATTGTTTCCGAGAACTTTATATATGTGGAGTGATTACAGAATCAGTGTGTGACAGGTTGGTGGGACGATTCTTGCGGCCAAACTAGCAACAGAGCGTGGATGGGCAATAAACATTGGAGGAGGTTTTCATCATTGTACTGCAGAAAGAGGAGGCGGATTTTGTGCATTCGCTGATATTTCTCTCTGTATTCACTTTGCATTTCTTCATCTAAGAATATCAAGGTAAATTTTATCTAATTGTTTCGGTTTGCTTTTATTGGGGGACTTTGATATGTAAATAATCCCCCACAACTATGGTATGTCCTTAGTTCTTGACCTTATAAAACTTGTACAGGGTTATGATAATAGATCTTGATGCTCATCAAGGGAATGGCCACGAAACAGATCTTGGCGATGACAGTATGAGACACTATATTTAATTCCCTACGTTTTTTCTTAATGGTGTTTAATATGGTGATAACAGTATATTGTCTGCAGATCGCGTTTACATTCTGGATATGTACAATCCCGGGATATACCCTTTAGTAAGCAGTCATATTTGGATCGTTTCTCTTTTGAAGTCATTCCAATTCCTTTGGACTTTAGGTGCCGTTTCGTCTATGCTTGCTTTTGACAGTTGGATGTATCTGCAATATTTTTCTTCTTACAGGATTATAGCGCTAGGAGATTTATCGATCAGAAGGTTGAGGTCGCGGTAAGCCTATCGTCTTACACATATGACGTATCAGGTGGAATTAGTTTAATTTTCTTGTGTCACATTATAGCTCTGTACTTTTTCTATATTTTGACAGAGTGGAACCACCACAGAAGAGTATTTGAGGAAACTAGATGAAGCCCTTGAGGTGTGCATTCAGCCATTCCCTTAATCTCTTGTTTCCTGGCAGTTTGCATATGTTCTATAGTATGAGTGTCTGACAATAGACGATAGATTAGGAGCATGGGAACTTGGTTCCTTGAATAACCATTATTAGCAACTCTTGTGTCTTTAGGGATCTTAAAAGAGAACCTTTCTGTAACTCTCAGGTTGCTTCGCGAAATTTCCAACCAGAGTTGGTAATTTACAATGCTGGGACAGATATCTTAGACGGAGACCCTCTGGGGCTTCTAAAGGTAATTTGTATACATACTTCTGGTATCACATTTCTATCAAGCAAAACATAGTTTTCTTCCTCAGTTACTAACGTGGTGACTCTTGTTGCAGATAAGCCCTGATGGCGTAACAAGTAGAGACGAGAAAGTCTTCAGATTTGCGAGGGAGAAAAATATTCCTCTTGTGATGCTGACTTCAGGTGCAAAATTGGATTTAAATGAGTGATGGTTTCTAGAGGATAAGAAATGTAGTGATGTGATGATACTTTGTGCAGGTGGGTACATGAAGTTGAGCGCCAGAGTTATTGCGGATTCCATTGAGAATCTCTCACGTCAAGGGTTAATCCAGACACGGCCGGAATGAGTTTCCACTCGAACTGTCATAGAGCCAAAACAGAGTTTCGATGGTTTTTACGTCTGTGTAGTGTATATTTGTATAGAGAGATACGAGAGAGACCCTTCTGACGTGTTCGTCGTTTGTGTTGTGTGTAAGTAATAATTAGTGTCAATCTTTCCTTACTTCGATCTGATTGATCAAACAAAGCAATACATGTACTTTTACAGAGTATAATAGAATGGATAGGAAAGTTTAGCAAGTTTGGTGTTGAAACTATGAACAAAGCAATTAGATGATGCTTTGGACAGTTACAGTTTGAAAAACAGGAGAAAAAATAAATAATAGAATTTACTCCTCTCCTCATCTCTAAGAGGAACGTAGCACTATGTTTTGTAGGCTTGTAGCTAAATGCATCATCAATTTGAAATACATCTAATCCTGTCTCTTCCTCAAGAACTTTCTAGTAACCCTTCTCATTCTTTATTCCAATCCTCTAAGTTTATTTCTTAGTCAAATTTAATATATATAGTCCAATCTATTGAACTACTCAACCACATCAGCTTAGAGCTGATGTACTAGTACTTCAAAAGATTGGACTATATACATTGAATTTAACCAAGATATGTCTCCAAGAAAAGACTAACACAAAACCGAATTTTCATCGGAAATCCTATTTAAGTTTCTTTCTAGATAATATGGTTCCTGAAAGCATGGAACATCTTTGGGGAGAGAAGCAGTGCGAAAGCCAGAATCGAACCAAAGAACATCTTGACAATGTAACTGAAAGCATCTGACGACTCACTATCTTCTGAGACCACTGCGTTTGGGTTCGACATTGCTTCTGCTGAAGGAAGAGATTCTATCACTGCATCAGCCAAGTCGGTGATGAAAGATGGCGTGAGACCTAGCGCTGGAACCCGCCCCCAGTTCTCTACCCCTGACTCCAGAGCTAATTCCCTATACTCCATGTCTATCTCTTCAAGAGTCTCAATGTGCTCACTCACGAAACTGAGATCCAAGATTGGAAAGAAAATTGAGAAAGCCAAAATGGTTAATAAAGAATAGAATCAAAAGATAATATCATTAGATCGATTTTTTTTTAATGACTGGGGCTAGGGAAGTATCTTTGTCAGAACACAAAAATGAGGCAAGGGATTATTATATTATCTCTCACCTGACTGGAACGGCTAGTAGACTCTTAACACCACTCTTACCAAGGTCTACAAGAACCTCATCAGTGTATGGCTTCAGCCACTCAACAGGCCCAACACGACTCTGGAAAAGAAAGGATTTGCAAGAATCAGTTAGAGGGTTTAACACAGAGAGGTACTGCTAAACAACTTTTATAACATTTGATATGAACAAACCTGGTATGCCAATTTATGGTCGTTAGGAACTCCTCTGGCTTTTAGCTCTTCCATTATCAAGTAAATACATTCTTCCATCTGCTTCTGATATGGATCTCCAGAATTCTCTACGTAGCTGACTGGAACACCATGGGCACTGAAGAATATCATAACCTGTATCACACAAAAAAGGGACCAGTTTAACCAGTGTTTGGGACTAGAAATGTATAATGAAGGAGGAAACCCAAAGGGGAGAAATTACTATACCTCCTTAGGATCAGAGAATGTTTGAAGTTCTTTCTCAATGAGGTCGGCCATGGAATTGACATAGCCTCGCCTTTGGTACCACGACTGTATGATAGCAACAGGAACTCCAGCTAGGTATGGATCTTTCCTGAATGATAATTCATGTCAAGGGCCATTCATGCAACTAAGATATATCTTGAAAACATATAAATAAGTATTCGGTGAATATGCTTTGTAGCTTACACAAACCTGAATAAGTCTTGGAGAACGCGGATGCTTGAACCCGTCGTGGAGATAGAATACTGAGGGTACAATGGTAGTACAACAAGTCTTGTAATTTTGTCCTTCTTTATCTGGTTAAACATAATTAACTTGGTAAGATAAACATAACTAAGAAACAGGCATAAGCAACTCATCACAACTAAGAAGGAGCCTCTGATAATTGTTAAGCTGTGAGGAAAAAGAAAAATTAGAATGTTAAAATTCACCTGCTGAACAGCTTCCTCAGTGAATGGATACCAATACCGCATCCCTACATAGACATTAGCAGCAATGTTCTTCGCTTGCAACGCCATCTGAATAGCATCTGCTTGCTCATCAGTTATTTTACGCAAAGGAGAGCCACCACCAATAGCAGCGTACCCTTCTTTCGATTTCGGAGCACGAACTACAGATATCAATTTCGCTATAGTACCTTGAAGAAACTGAAATGGTCTAGGTAGCCTTATAATATCCTACAACAACACAATTACACGAATCAGCATTCCAGACAACTCTAAAAACTCCAACACAAATCAAAATTGCAAAGTCGAGATTCTCACCGGATCAGCAAAGAGATTATACAAGAAAGGTTGTACATCATTAAGAGTTTCAGGGCCACCTAAATTCAAAAGCAAGACACCAATCTTATCTTCTGCAACATGAGAACGTGCTTTAACTGTTTTAACATCATCAAAAGAAGAGTCTCCAGCTACAGAACGAGCTTGCTCAAAAACATTCGTCTTAAAACTCAATCCACGGCGCGTGATCGCAATAGACGACCCTTCAAGTTTCGATTCCTTGTTGAGTCCAAAAGATATCTCCTTTATATCACATCGAACCAAAGACACAAACTTTCTCTGATAACATGACCTGGGCATACATAAAAACCAATTGATCAACAAATCCCAAACAAAATTCTCAATCTTTGATCAGTTTTCAAATCAAAAATCACGCTTTGAACAAAACCCAGAATCGATTAGAGAGAACCCTAACCTTGGAACTCTATAACCGTTACGCTTCACAAGAGGATTAAACCCAGATGATAACGCCGTTGCTTCCATAGCTACAAATGTCACAAATCGATTCAGAGAGAGAGAGAGCGAAGAATTCGAAAGGGGTTGCGGGGTTTAGGGTTTTGATTAGGTCTTTAAAAGCGAGAGAAATGGAAGATCACGATTCACGAAGGAAGACGAAAATGCGAAGAAGGTCTGGTTAGGTAAAGGCGAGACTTTTCCATTGAAGCAGGTTAGGCGTGTTTGGTCAAAGTTTATACGTTTGCCTTATTGGGTCACGATACAGTTGAAACGGCGACGTTTCACTAACAAATTTGTATTTTTCTTCTTCGAATAAAACCAAAACTGAACCGGTCAATTACTGATTCATACGTATATATACCTAACCAACTTATAATTGCTTTGTTCTTTTTTACCTGCTGCTACTTAATCAAAATATTTACATAATAATTATTATAATTCTGTATTATAATTTTGTTACGACATGCGTAATTTTTGTAAATAGAATCTCTAACTTTGACTATGTGATTGATATAAACAATATAAATTTGACAAACTATGTATGTATGAAAGACTCAATGACGAAAAATAACGAAAGCTGATTTGAAAGAAAGATCTATAGAGGTTTGGGCTACGTGGCCGAACAAATGCCACTTAACTAGTCAAAATAATTTGATACCTAATGATAGATAAATATAGATACTAAAAATTTATATAGCCATCCTAATAATCTCAACTTGTCGGAAAATGAAGTGTATGCTACTCGTTTTCTTTGTCATCTAGATTTTTTTTATTAATATTATTACGATAAAATATTTGAAACACAAACTTAAATTTACGGAAACAAGATTTTCCCAACATCTAAAATTTTATCTAAAATATTATTTATAAAAAAAAAACAGACGACTAATACTAAAAAGCTAAAAACTATATAAAAATCCTACAAACCGGACATACCAAAATATAAAAAACCGACATAGATAAAAAATAAATTTCAATTTTTTTTTAATTAATAAATATCGAAAATGTTTACAGCCAACTTCAATAATCCAATTTTTTTGTTAAAATGGTAAATTGTCGAAGAAATAACTATACTAAACTTTTCGTAAAATAATCACAGTGTAGCGTTTTATTCCATTATTTTGCTTAAATACTCAAATACTTTCACTGTCAAAAGACTCAAACCATGTCGAATAATTTGTATTCCAAAATTTGGAAAAATAGAAAGTCACGATGCCATATGATGAAAACTAGATCAAAGCTTTCCATTTACTAACCTCTTTATATGGATGTTGAGATTGATGATGGGTATCAAGTAGGACACGTTACAACAACTGAGTATTCAATGAAAGAGAGCTATGCTATCCAAAGGAGGAGATTGATGGTAATCATCAATTGTAAACTTAAATCATTTTTATTTTTAATTAAATATTGAGAATTTTTGAGAAATACCCTTTTTGGTGTACCTTTTTTAAAAATACCCATTTTATCTATCCATTTTCAAAAATACCCTTTTTTAAATATAAAAATTTATAAAGTTTTATATAGTTTATAAGGTACTTCTATATAATAACTACTACTGCGAGATTCGATACAAATTTTAAAATGTTTAAATAGTTTTAAATCGTTTTTATAAGTTTTATAAGGTTTTTAAAAGGTTTTTAAAAGGGTTTATACGGTTCTTATAAGGTTTTTATAATTTATTTTTACGCCATTTATGAAAGGTATATAAAGTTTTATACACATATAAAGGTAATTTGTGTATATATTTATAAGTTTACACACATATTTGGATAAATTTCAATATTTTTAGTGAGTTTTTTGATAAAGTTTGAAAATGGGGTATTTTTAAAAAGAGGTATATGAAAAGGGGTATTTTTGAAATTCCCCCTTAAATATTTGCTTTCTTAGCCAAAGAGAATAATTGCAATTTGTAAAATATTGAATATGAGTTGTCGATACAAACTCAAATTCAAATAAATTAGTTTGTCTATAACTATTGTGTAAGATATTTAATTACTAAAATAATCTGTAAAATGTTTGACCAAAAAATAAAAGAATAATCTGTAAAATAAACAAATCGAGGTATGAATCTATAAGTAGAATGTTCTGTCAAACTAGTGGCAGGATAAGAACTTGCCCTTTCAAGCCAAACACAGGCAACATAAACGTTTTATATGTATTATTACAGAACATACAAGTCAACGTATATACATGTCTCATACGATTCATACCATATAATAAATTCATTTCATTGACACTTGGAACTCAAGTTGGTGCCACGTAAACACTAATATTGTTATTTATAGAAAGTCAGCTTTATAAGTTATCTAATCTTCTTCACTTTCAAGAAAAGGCCTATTCAAATCTACGATCCGATATTAACATAATATTCTGTGTGACTTTGGTGAGGATTTGATCAGATTTGGTCATATACATGGGTCATTGCTTTTCGTTGCCGTCTTCATCATCGGAGATTCATGAGGAGAATGAGCATGGTGATGGTAATGCGGTTGTGTGTTATGGAGAAGATCATGACCTTATGGTTCATCATCGTCTTGGTTCCGTTTGCTCTATACAAGGAACCAAAGGACATAACCAAGATCATGCTGTTCTTTACCTGGTAAGAGAACTTCTTGATTTTTCTTTGTTACTATTCTTTTTCTATAAATCGTTATCTAAGTATTGGGGTAGATAGATATGAAAATCCTAAAATTTATTTGAGTATAATTGTTTAATCCCTTAGGGATACGGGACAAGGGATACAGAACTATGTGGAGTGTTTGATGGGCACGGCAAAAATGGACACATGGTGAGCAAAATGGTGAGGAATAGATTACCATCGGTTCTGTTAACACTCAAGAACCAAGAATCTAATGTTTGTGAAGAAGAAGATCATAAATGGGAAAAAGCTTGTTTCACTGCCTTCAGACTAATTGATAGAGAGCTTAATCTCCAAGTCTTTGATTGTTCTTTTAGTGGCTCTACTGGTGTTGTTGCCATAACTCAGGTACATTTATTTTCTCTGTCTTTCGGTAACATTAAAGGTTATACAGAACTAGCTTGTCGCCGACAATACTAGACTAGTGTCCGGTTTGGTTTTCCCTTGGTAACACACCAATATGGACCAAACCATTAAAAAGTTAACTATTATGTTTTGGTTTCTACTACCACCATTCAGAACTTTTTACTTTAGCCGGAGATTATTGGAATTTTTTTTTTAGGGAGATGATCTCGTGATAGCAAACCTTGGTGATTCAAGGGCAGTATTGGGGACAATGACCGAGGATGGTGACATAAGGGCAGTGCAGTTAACATCTGACCTAACACCTGATGTCCCTAGTATGTTTCTTTTAATTACTCTTTTCTTGTTTTGTAACATTATAGGGTTGATGATACTTAGTTAGCAAGTTCTAGCGTTTCAGGTGAAGCAGAGAGGATCAGGATGTGTAAAGGTCGTGTTTTCGCAATGAAAGCAGAACCGTGCAGCCAAAGGGTGTGGTTACCCAACCAAGACATACCAGGGTTAGCCATGTCAAGAGCTTTTGGAGATTTCAGGCTCAAAGACCATGGAGTTATTGCGGTTCCTGAGGTCTCTCGATACCGAATGACTTCTAAAGACCAGTTCCTTGTACTCGCTACTGACGGGGTAATTGCACAGATCATGATTCAAAATACTAATTTCCTATTTTTTTTTTCAGTTTAAAAATTTGGAATGAAACTCATTGGTGTTTAATATTTCGTCATTTCAGGTTTGGGATATGCTTAGCAATGATGAAGTTGTATCGCTAGTATGGAGTTCTAGAAAAAAGCAAGATACGGCCGCTAAATTGGTGGCAGAGGCGGCTGAAGCTACTTGGAAGAAGAAGCTTAAATCGACCAAGATTGATGATATTAGTATAATATGTCTTTTCTTACAGAACAAGGAACAACTAAGTTGTACCATGCACACTTGAATGATCATAAGATATATACTACGCTATATATGATGTTCGCAGAATTGTTATCATAGCTAGATACTGCTGAACCAAGCACAAATCTTAGAAAACTCAATGTAATTTTGTAATGTGACTATTGACTTATAATGGACACTAAATATTTTTGTAGTAACATGCAATATGTGGGTTTGATACCACTTGTTAGAAAGCAATGACACTATTATAAACCGTCAGAATACAAATCCTAGTTACTGAAACTTGTATATATGTTAGGGAAACTTCAATTAAAATTTCATCAAATATGTCTAAGTAAAATAGGATTATAAGATAATAATACTTATATACTACTACCTACATGAAATTAAAGGTCTTGTTTCAAGGTCAACAAATCTCTTCACTGGGCCATATCGATCATCAACGGCCAGAAAGTAATGATGTGAATAAGAATACCCAATAATAAATATGATAGTTTTGGTTACTAAAAGCATGCCTTTGTAGCTGTATTATACATTAAGTGATATCTCTAAAGAAATGTACACTCGAAATAACGAATTCGAATCTCGACGTTGGGTAAGGAAGGGAGTAGTCTACATGATCCTCTAGGCAATCATGCACAGAAAAAAAAAATAAAAAAATATGAAGATGATTGTTCTGCATACATATGATAAAGCACCTCTCCAATATTTTTAATAACGATAATATAAAGTAAAAGTTAATTGATTTTTGGATAGAGAGCCTCTAGTTTCATGTGATAAAGTATCGACCGGCCGAAGTGCATATAGAGATTTGCTGTGACTGTGAGCGGTGAGAGGCTCGTGAATGAAATGGCCTACGATTAATGTAAATATTATTATTATTTTTATCTTAACAAAGGCATTTTTACTCTACATTGAAGACTTGATCATATTTCAATAACAATATGCCGTCAGTTCTAACTCCAATTAGTCCAACTTAAGAAGCTTTGGACATATATAAACTACCACGAATCTTGATGCATACATACATTTCTAGTATTGTGAGAACGTTCAATAAATACAATCGTGTTCCGGTAAGGAACACATGTTAAAACATGTTCTATAGAGATATATATCGATAGTAATTAATTCACAATTATGTGAAAGAATGCCATAGTACTTTATAACAAAAGCAGTCTGGAAAGTGGAAACAAAACAAATAACCAAAGTGTTAAGCTAGAGTAAAGCAAACTCACAGGATTTATGTCACGTAAACCTCTCAAAATGTCATGTGCTAAGACAAGGTAATGCATGCATACGCCACTCTTCTTTACAAAGGCTATATAAACCCTAGATTGGCACAAGGCTTCCATGCAACACAAAACATAACAAACTACAAAATTAACCATGAAGTTTCAATGGCTCGCCTTAGTTTTCCTATTAGCCATGGCGACTTGTAAAGGCAAGGAAGAGTATATTTGCGAAGAAAACGAGCCATTCCATTGTAACCAAACTAGCCGTTTCAATGGTAAAAGTTTTGGTGACAAATTCATCTTCGGTGTAGCCTCTTCTGCTTACCAGGTATGTAATTAACAAATCACACATTGCATTGACATACAAAAATGTTGACGTTAAGAGGAGCATTCAAAATCAATAAAGCTAATCCAAACGTTGCATGTTTGTTTCTCTTCATTATCAGATCGAAGGTGGCAGAGGTCGTGGAGTTAACGTTTGGGATGGATTCACTCACCGATACCCAGGTTTGTTGTATTCATGGCTTCTATCTATTAAAGCTTACATATATATACGAGAGGAATGTTGAAATATACATTTCTATATATTCATAGTAATATCTTTAATTTTCCAATATCAGAGAAAGGAGGAGCCGATTTGAAGAATGGAGACACTACTTGTGACTCATATACGTATTGGCAGGTTAATTAATTCATCAGTTTATACTGTATATGCTAATACACTTAATGAATTATCTATTAGCAATGTGTGGACTGACACGAAATTGTATGAATTGTAGAAAGATATAGACGTGATGGGCGAACTTAATGCTACTGGCTACAGATTCTCCTTAGCGTGGTCAAGAATCATTCCAAGTAACGTTATACATTACTGATCCATGTTATACATCATTATAATCTATTGTAATTTGATTTGGAAGATTAATATATGATATATATGAGCAGAAGGAAAGAGGAGTAGAGGAGTGAACCAAGATGGTATTGACTACTACAATGGTCTCATAGATGGCCTCATAGCAAGGAATATAACGCCTTTCGTTACACTTTATCACTGGGACCTTCCTCAAACACTACAAGATGAGTATGAAGGTTTCTTGGACAGAACCATCATGTATGTCATATACACTACGCTTCTTATCAAGAATCATGAAAAATACATATACAGATTTGATCTTACATTAATGAAATGTAACTATAATATGTGCAGAGACGATTTCAAAGATTTCGCGGATCTATGTTTCGAAAAATTCGGTGATAGGGTAAAGCACTGGATAACAATCAACCAGCTTTACACTGTGCCTACACGAGGATATGCAATAGCAACAGATGCACCTGGTCGATGTTCTCCTAAGATTGATAAAAGATGTTACGGCGGAAACTCCTCAACCGAGCCCTATATCGTTGCGCATAACCAGCTTCTTGCTCATGCCGTGGCCGTGGATCTTTACAGGACGAAATATAAGGTAAGGTTTCTATTTGTAGAAAGTACTATAGACTAATGTATCAAGCAATTCTAATTAAATCATTGTTGTGTATAAATATGCTTGACCATAGAACCAAGGAGGGATGATTGGACCTGTGATGATAACTAGATGGTTTCTTCCGTTTGATGACACTCAAGAGAGCAAAGACGCAACTGAGCGGTCTAAAGAATTTTTCCATGGATGGTATATTTACATCCAAGAATTAATGTAATTAGTTTTAATATATACATATATATAAACTAATGAAAAGTATACATGTACGTCAGGTTCATGGAGCCGCTAACACAAGGTAAATACCCACAAATCATGATAGATCTTGTGGGTGATAGGCTTCCGACATTTAACGAGACAGAAGCCAAACTTGTAAAGGGTTCATATGATTTTCTTGGTCTGAACTACTACGTAACTCAGTACGCACAAAACAATGACACGATAGTTCCTTCGGACGTACACACTGCTATGATGGATTCAAAAGCGACTCTCACAGGTATATATCACTCTATTCCCACACACTTAGTTACAACTTTTTCCATATATATAATATTTTGTGACCCTTGATTATTTCATCCTTGTGCTTGTAGCTAAAAATTCAAAGGGTGAGGCTCCTGGTCCAATGGTAAGCATGATTCTAACCCTATTTGTTCATTTATATTTGTTATGCATTTTTTCTAGTTTTATAATATATGATTACCTTTCTCAGTTCAATGCAAATACTTATTACTACCCAAGAGGCATTTACTACGTAATGGAGTATTTCAAAAACAAATATGGTGACCCTTTAATATACATCACCGAGAATGGTTAGTTCTAGTTCTATTACATCTATATAAGTTATTACAGAGTTGGTCCAAGACATTTACACAAATGTTGTGTACCTTTGTTCATGTTAGGAATTAGTAGCCCCGGTGATCAAACCTTTGACGAGTCTATTGCCGATTACAAGCGGATTGATTATCTATGTAGTCATCTCTGTTTTCTCCGTAAGGTCATCAGGTGAATAATGGATACTACTCTTCTTCCATTGATCTTTATATACATATCAACTCGTACGCCTTTAATGGTACGTTGTTCTTGGTTTCTAGGGAGAAGAATGTCAACGTGAGAGGATACTTTGCTTGGTCTCTTGGGGATAATTACGAATTTTGCAATGGCTTTACCGTGAGATTTGGACTAAGTTACGTTGATTTCAACAATGTCACTGCTGATAGAGACCTCAAAGCATCTGGCAAATGGTTCCAGCAGTTCATAAACGTTTCCTCCAACGACCCTGCGGACCAAGATCTCCTCAGCTCAAGCCTCTCTTCCAAGAACCGTGATAGGAAGAGCCTCGCGGATGCATGAAAAGACTCAAACCCTCTTTATAATGTTCATCGAGATCATCTTCATGTTTCTTCTTTCTACAGCTTGCTCCATAGATAAGGAGCTTTTTTCTACTGTACTGAATAAAAGATGATCAATATCAATAAATACTTTTTCATTACTACATTGTTTTGGAAAGGAAATGAACCTAACTAACAAAACAAATCTGATCAAAAGGCTTAAATTAAAACACAATTAAAGTTTTATTTATAAACCAATTTTTTTATTTATTAATACTTTTCGTGGGTCAACATTATCATGATATGCAATCATGCAAAGTTTGATTTCATATTAAACCACAAACCTTCTAAATATATATATTTTTATTAAAAAATATCAAATTAGGAAAATCTCTTTACAAGTTAATAATTATAATTTATCGATAAACTGATAAATTTTCACGCTTTTCAGTGATTTTTATGAATCGACCAAAAATTCCATGAGTTAGCAGCATGTCCCGCTTATCTAGCCGGTATTTGCTAAGTTTATGGAGCTAACTCACTATAGCTTATATATGGCCCGACTCGGTTTTTCAAAAAAATGCAAGAGTTTTTTTTTTTGATAAACCTTATCGGCTGATCCGGTCAGCCTCGGTAGAAACACACCAAAATGTTTCAGAGTAGACTATTTCCCGAAGGGCCCACGATTCTTATAACAAATGAATGATATTATTGCGCCTTTGTGGTTTAAGTTTATCAGACTAAAACTAGAGCGATCATGAAAGATGATACAATGGAGAGTATCCGACCAATCTCGTGTGTTTAGTGTTTCCGAGAACGCCACCACAAAATTCGGTGCAAAATGAAACTGTATAAAAGAGTAATGGCAAACCAGAAATGATATGTTTACTGGTTTCTATTTGTTCACCGTAGAACATATTGTTATTGCCAACCACGTAACGAAAATAGAGTGTAGCATGCAAATATGAGTAACATGCGATGTGACCAAATATGTAGTGATTCGTATGGAGGGGGTTCTCAAATACAATAGTAATATTTTTTTATTATTGAGAAATATTATAATAATAACAACCAGTACAAATAAATAATATCGTCACCAAATGAAAACAATAGTCTCATGATAGAGTATAAATATATAGATATATATAGAATATTCAAAATATCATATCCTTTAGATGCTCATTGCAGAGCCAAAGATAAGAGCCGCGACAGCAACAACGAACGAAGGCAGAACCACACCGGCTCCTGAAGTAGGACTAGGTGCAGGAGACTCCATTGGTTGAGCAGAGACGATGGTAACAGCAACGTAAACCATCACAAACATGAGAGGAACAAAGCAAGATTTGGCAATGGCCATTTTCTCAAGTATGGGTATGGTTCAAAGTGTTGCAAGTTGCTTTAGCTTGAATAAGAAGAAATGAGATTGTTGTGGAGTACTAAACTGAAGTGTGAAGGGTTATATAAAGAGGTCGGGCAGACATTGTGATCGGTTAGGGCAGGCTGCCCGAAGTGTTGTTGTTTTTTCCAGCCTAACACGTTTTTGGTAATCGACGGTTTGGGTTCGATCCACGTAGTTTCGAACATCTTTGAAAAGGTTGTTTGGTTTCTCAACTACAGTTGCGGCGCCGTTTGATTTAGGAGTCGGTGAGCAAATCATATAGAAAAGTCTTATAAGCTGAGCAAACGTGCAAAACTGATGTTGATTTGGTCGTGGAACCACACAAGTAATAGTTTATGTCGATTAGATTTAGGGAGGTTTATTAATAGCCTGACATGTGAAGTCCATAAAATTGATTGGTAGTGCACAAAACAAAGAAAGAGAGTGTTGTCATAGATGAGACATTATTAGTTAAGAGTACTTGCTTCAAACTAGTCTTGGTTTAAAGTTTTTTCACACGAACTTTAATATTTTTCTAACTTTTTTTAAATATATATTGGCCATGACAATAAAACAGTTTAGATAAAATTAGAATTTTTTATCAAATGTATATATTAAAAAACTAAAACGATAATTATTATAAAACAAAATTTTAACGACAAGTGTAATACCAAAATCAAATCAATATTAGACAATAAAACGTTACGATGTCCAAGTAAAGATTGTAGACTATTAATTATCAAACCTTTCAAGATGTTCTAGTACAAACAAAAATTAAATAAAATATTACATCAAAGAATTAATGAAGTCATTAATTAAAAAGTTTCAAATTGGGGGAAATAACTTGTGTGTATATGTGGGTGCTCTTCTTATTGAATACAACCTTTTTTAGTGAAAAAGTAAATGTAAACAAACTAGAATAATACAGTATATTTTTATTTAATTAAAGTGTCATTTTAAAATTTTAATACAATAATTAACACATGCGGAAATTATAGCATAAAAATATATATTCTCATTCACCAAAAACTACTTAAACTTTGTGGTAGTGATAAGATGAGAGAGCAAAAACACAAAAGAAAACGAGTAAGTGAGATTTTGAGACCAAAAATCATACATTGTTATAACTTTGCCGAAAGTACACGTGGAATAATCTTCGTTTACTAGCTAATTCATCTCAGCTCCACATACAATTCTATAAATGTTAATTTCATGATTTTTGTTAGTGACATTTACGTACTCAAAATCTTGGGAGCAATTTGAATTAAAGCCTCCAAAGCACTCGGGGAAAACTTTCTAGCAAAGAGAGAACACATGGACGTGTAGCGACCATTGTACGTGCAATTATCACCTTTGATAATTCTTGCAAAGAACTCCTCATTGATGTCTTGTGCTCCATATGTGGCCGGGTGAGCACCACCTCTCGACCAATCGACCCAAGTCAGAGTTCGGTTGGCCAAGGCAGCTGGTTTCTCAATTGTCAACATTGTTGGGAAGTAATGCTCGTCCACGTAACATGCGGGTGTACAAAACTCTTTGAATTTAGGGTAGTACAAGGTATCTTTAACAACGGAAACCGCAAGCTCCCGGTTAATCTCAAACCATTGAGACCCTTTTCTCCATTGTTCTATGGACACTTCAGGGGCCATTTTGCCATGGTAGCGGCCACGGCCATAGGGGCTTGGATCATCGAATGAACCCATAAAGCTGTGCTTTGATTTGGCTATGTAATTGTAGATAGTTGTGAAGTTGAAGAGGGGGATGCATGACTCGGAGAGGAGAATAAAGAATTCGTTTGAGATATCGAGTAGCGCATTTGCGAGAAGCCGCCTCTCAGCATCACACATTGTCATTCTTCCCCATTCTGCAACCTACCCAATTATAAAGATTTCAAAGAAATACTCTAAAAGAAGATCATATCTAGAACTCCATGTCCCAAACATATTCGCTAAGGCGCATTCATGAAAGGAAAACAAAATCTTGCAAAGTAGATTAACAGTTCATACCTGACTTGGTATATGCCTACGATAGAAAACAGATGAAGCTGGAAACTTGGCTGAAGAAGACACTGGTGAATGAATGTAAACTGAGTAATACTTTTCATGACCCTTTAATAACCTCTCCCAAAGCGGTGCAAGCGGTAAAGGACCCATTGTCAAGAACATAAACGCGATTTTAGGAACCCTATTAAACGGATACTCTTTTCTCTGAGGAGTGAAAGACGCGCGCCAAAGAAGCTCTTCGTCGCTCATATTGTGCATGAGAACCGCAGGAGGTTTAATCCATTTATCCAAATCATTTCCTCTGTCGTTGCAAGGCACAAAACTAGAAGTGACTGAGGTCACTACACTAGTTATACCATAATACTTGATGGTAGATACACTAATGAAGAAGAAAAAAATTGTCAACGCAAGAAAAAATCCTAGCACAAGAAGCAACTTGGAAGGTAACACCTTGCTTAGCCCTGGCCGGCCGCTCGTAACTACAATCTCTTTACCTTCTTCCAACTGAACAACCCTACTCATCAGCATCCTTGTAAACTAGCTAGATGTTACTAGGCGTCCGCCTCGTTTTATCGGTTTACCGTTCTGCTTCTCTTAATTAACCAAGAATCTCAAATTAGCATCACAAACCAAAACTCAACATCGTACGCTCAATTTATATCTAGAAGTACCCTCAAAAGAGTAAATAATTCTAGAAATCTAAAGGTTAAAAGATCACACATTTTCTTGCAAAATTATATATGCACTAACTAATTCCAATCCAGTTCTTGATATAGTCATGTAACAGATTAATCTAAACCATTAACAGAAACAAAAGCCTCTCCAGCTTTTTCAATAGAAACACACAAAAATCCAATAAGGTTACATAATAAAAGCTAGCTAGCTGATTCAACCCTTGTAATCTGCGACCAAAATTCTAAAATAAATCAAGAGCTACTCCAAGAAACTATTCATTAAAGTTTCTGGTGTTCCCAAAAAAAAAAAGGGTATAGTTAAGAAGACTTACAGGAAATGGGGAAGATGTAATCACAATGATTGAAGAGTTTACGAATCCTTGTAGAAACTTGGTGAAGATGGGATTAATAAGGTGGAGCATTCGGGTAGAGCTGTGACCATTTTCAGTAAATTCGACATTGAAGTTTTCAAAAACAAGGTTAGGTTTCCAAAGCCGTCCTATTATTACATCATCTAAGACAAGTAGAGTGTTTGGTTTCTAAGATGTTCGGTTAGGACCACTAGACTTTAGTTTTTTTTTTAATATATTATTACTAAGAAATACTACTTAAATTCTGTGTTATGGTTGGCTTTAGATTTTATTGACTTACGATAAGAAAATTTAATTACCATGATTTAGTTTGGTATGTTCTGTAAACTGCAAAGTGCAAAGTAAACTTATCAAATACAAACTCTTATTTTATACTTTTTTTTGGTTATTTTCTTAAACTACAACTATGTAAAGGGATGGTAGAGCATTATTATCAGTAGGTTCTTACAAAATTCTTAAGGTATGAAAAATTAAGAAAAAGTAAGAAAAGGTAAGCAAAATCTCTTAAATTTCTCTTAATTTTGTTTAAGAGACTTTGCTTACCTTTTCTTAATTTTTCTTACCTTAAGAATTTTGTAAGAACCCATTGATAATGTTGGTCTTCTCTAACGTCTAACGTCTCAAGTCTCCACAATAAAAAACATTGGAAGATTTTTTTTTCACATTTTACATTAGTTACATATAACAAGACAAAACACGAAAATAATTATTAAGTCAACTCTATAATCTTGTATGATTGAACTTTTTATAATACCTAACACAGACACTAGCCAATAGTTTTATAATGGTTGCGAAAAATGATTATGGCTAGAGATGCATGCATAGAGGTTAACCAAACTAATGGTCAATTACTTCTTGACTTTTAGTTTGTTGTGAAAAGAAAAGTGACCAAACTAGGGGTTTCCATAACTATTAAGAAAATCATTAAATATTCTATTTTATCTTTTATTAATATTAAACAAAAAAATTCATTGGTCAACACATTAAAACAATAAGGATATAATTGGAAATATTGTCAAACATCTACTTTGAAAATATAAAACGACAGTTACCTTGAAACAAGTTTTGATGATGAGTATGATTTTTAGCCAGCTTTGAAAAACTCTGTAGTGATGAAGCAAGTAACCAAAATGAGAAACTCCATAAGTCAAAGTTTGTTGGAAAATAACACAAATTCAGTCAAAGGATTTATTTGGCTGCAAGAAAAAAAAAGTCATAGGAAAATCCAAATATGTTGACTTAATAAAAGCAAAATAAAATATAGGAATAGTAATCAAAGAAACATTCGTATTTGGTAAGTTGAGCTATTTCACAAAGATTTTTGACCAAATATTTTTATGTAATTCTTTACATCATTTGGTTTTATAAACTCTATAAGTATCAAAGTTCAAGATTCCAAGCCTATATATCTTAAATCTATTCCTTCAACCTAGGAAAAACACAAGAAAATCCTCAATGAGATTCTTCTTAGTGTTTTTTGTGATTCTGTTTGGCTTTTACTATGGAGCCTATGGGAAAGATTCTTTAGATATCGAAATGAAATTGAAGGCTCTTAACAAACCTGCGTTGAAGACCATCAAGGTATTGATAACTGAATCTAAATGCATATATATATATATAACAACATTTTATCTCTTCTTTGGTTTATAATGATGAGTTCCCAAATCAATTGTACATAATTTGTAGAGTCAAGACGGAGATATAATAGATTGTATCGATATCTACAAACAACATGCCTTTGATCATCCCGCTTTAAAGAACCACAAGATTCAGGTAAAAACAAATTCAAATTACTTACAAGTTAAATTTTGCTTTGAACAACCTAAGTACGGTACAGTTTTATAATATTTGCCCATATTACATTTATGCATGCAGATGAAACCGAGTATGGAGTTTGAGGCAAAGACAACCACTATTCAAAACAACCGTTTCGATGAACAGATAACATCTCAGATTTGGACCAAATCTGGAGACTGTCCGGATGGGACAATACCGGTTCGTAGGGTTAGCCGAGAAGATATTAGAAGAGCCTCTTCACCGTCTCGTTTTGGTAGGAAACCTCATCGTACGTACAGTTTTCTCGACAACGCACTTCAGCACAAGGGCAATTTCAATATAACTACTGAAAACGTAAAACATCCCCGCCCAATGTTCATATCGGTACGTAGCATCATCGTTCTTTGTTTCTGAATTTTTTTAGCTTATGTTAAGTTATTTCCATATAAAAGCTAGTAATTGTAAGAGTAAAAGTTTTTGACTAGAAACACTTATTGGTTGCTGATGATATAGGAGGCAGTCCTTATCGCCCTAGGGTTCAATTATCTTGGCGCTAAATCCGATATAAATGTTTGGAATCCTCCGAGGATTGAGGCTAAAGATTACAGCACTGCTCAGATATGGCTTCTTGGTGGACTCTCAGATACATTTGAAAGCATAGAAGCTGGTTGGGCGGTACATACAATTTCTATCCCTAGAAGTATACTATTATATCTTGTATTCCAAGTAAATAGTAAATTGATTGCCATAAGCCTATTTTCAGGTAAATCCAAGTGTTTTCGGCGACTCACGCACACGTCTCTTCATCTACTGGACTGTAAGTGACATCAGTAATTAGACGACTACCGACTTTATAACATCTTAGTAGTTTATAATTAGTCTTTCTATTTGGATTCGTAGAGCGATGGATATGATCAAACAGGATGCTTCAACCTCTTGTGCGCTGGTTTTGTGCAAACATCTACTAAGTTTGCGTTAGGTGCAGCAATAGATCCCGTTTCGCGTATCTCTCAAAAACAATATTACTTCACCGCCAGCATTATGTTGGTAACGTTTTCCAACTTATATTACTAATCATCCTTCATAGTTCTTCAAAATCATTTCCCCATATAATATGCTTTGGTTAGAGGTCGCCGGTTCGAATAGTGCTTGAGACGAAACCATATAACATACTTTGGTTTCGGGGCTGAGGGGATGTATATAATTCGGCCCAGAACCTCTTTGATTATTCAAAAAAAAAAAAAAAAAAAATCATCTCCCCAAACCCGAACCAAGATTCAAATTTTGTGATTATTTTTTTTGTATGTGATTTGGTTAAAGCCCCAAGAATTCGTGTTTAAGGAAATGTGTTGAACCTAACATGTATGTCAAATCGTTGACCATGCTTGCAGGATGTAAAAACCGGGAATTGGTGGCTGACTTGCGCAAACAATGTGATAGGTTATTGGCCAGGGTCACTCTTTAGCTACCTCAAACATAGCGCAACCGCTGTGCAGTGGGGTGGGGAAGTCCATAGTCCTAACGTGCGGAAGAAGCCGCACACAACAACTTCAATGGGGAGTGGAAGAAGGGCAGCTGACTTGTGGGAAAAAGCTTGTTACCACACAAACATTAGGATCAAAGACAATTCTTTGTTTATAAAATACCCCAAGTATCTATCCGAGTACTCTGATGAAGAATACTGTTATTCTACAAATCTGCACAGGGAAACGTATATGTCAGAGCCCCATTTCTACTTTGGAGGACCTGGCCAGAATTCTCTTTGTCCTTAATCTCATTTTTGATTTTCTCTTTGTTCATTTTTTTTTTTGTTAATTTTTTTTTTTTTTTTTTTTTTTTTTTTTGACATCATTACAAATAATAAATCTCTCTTTGAGAGGGACCGGGCTCGAACCCGGATCTGGTGAGAAGGCAAACAGAGGTGAGAACCACTAGCCCACTATTTTTTTTTTGTTAATTATGATTGGCAAAGTGTTGGAAATAAATAATGATCCGCAAAGAGTTTGAAATGAAATTATATATGATTCTTAATGATTTCTTCTTTGTCGAATATTAAATTATACAGAAATTAATAGTGAATCTTCTTAGACATTATAAAAGTGTAGACAAATAAGTTTTATTTTGGGTAGTTTTTAAATATAGTTTTCTACAAAATGTATAGTCATTGTATGTAATAATGCTTTCTTCTTGGAATCTAAAAATATAATTATCAACAAAAATAAATACCTACAATTGAGTTTGGAAGAGTAAGAACATTAATTTTCATTATTGATGAACTATATCTCGAGCAAATCTCCATCATTTCATATATATATATATATATATATGTATATATATTTTGATAACTATATTAACGTAGTCTAGTGGTTGGAAAGATATTTTTATATCAACATGTTCTGGTTCGAACCTCACCTCTAACATAATATTTTTCAGGGAATAAATAAATATTTTTGCAATAAATATGGACATTAAAATTTGCACAAAAACCTTGCAAAATGTATGTTTATTTTATGTGAGTCAACATATGATCTTTCCCAAGGGAAGAATGAAACATAAGTTCATGACTTTTTGGACAATTGTTTTGTAGTTAATATGAGTTTAATTCATAGCATAAAGAATGAACTAAATTGTTTACAAAAAAAAAAAGAATTAACTAAATTTACATCAAATGTGGACATCCTTAGTAATTTGTACTATATACAATTTAAAGTCCAAAAATAAGAGAAGAATAAATTATAACTCTGGACACAACTCTGAATTAGCCAGACCAAATTATTTTATTACATTTTTTTTTGAAGTATACTCTTTAGTACCTAATGGAACAAAAAAATAAGAGAATACTTAAGATGCCTTTAAAAAAAGTGAAAGTTCTTTTTTTGCTAAAAAAAGTGAAAGTTCTTAACATTAAAGATGGTGATATTGTACCTTATTTCAACGACCATGGTATGATTTTTAGCCAGCTTTGGACAACTTTTTTTTTGGGAGTTTTGATTTTAAAGGATGTTTTTTTAAAAATTTGTCATTTTAGGCTTTCTGCGGTGAATTGTCAGTTATACCTAAATTACCTTTTTAAATAAATAAAATTAATTTTTAATTAATTTTTAAATTAAAACATATCAACAATTAAAGATTAATAAGATTTAAGGTTAAACAAAAGAGTTTTGGATGAAAGTATGTTGATTTTGATATTGAAAAAATCATTCTGCAATATTTAGAATACATCTTCTGTATTCTAAATATTTTAGATTATGAATTATGCACACTTTACATGTTCTAAAAATTGTAGATTACAAATTCTTCGCATTGCACTTATTCTGAAAATTTTAGAATATATATATCTTCTAAAAAAATTAGAACTCAGGTTTGGTTGGTGTTCTACAAAATTTGGAATATGTATTCTACATGTTACTCTATATTCTACAAATTTTAGAATTTATTTTCTACACTTTACCCTATATTCTACAAAAGTTAGATCATCAATTCTACACTTTACTCTTTGTTCTTCATATTTTAGAAAATGTATTCTACGAATTTTTAGAACTATCTTATACAAGGAAATTGAATCCTAAATTAAAGGAAACAAAATATTTTGTATTCCCTAATATCTAGAAATCATATATTTTTATTTTGAGTGAACGTGAGGTGTATATACAGTCCTTGAGTTTGACCAAAAATTAAAAACTAACAATATCAAAGAGCTAGTCTCAAACAATCTTCCTAGTTTAGGTTTGATAATCACGAACAAATGAAGTTTTTTTTTTTCAGAAAATTTTGACATCGTCGAGTCTATCTTTGGTTTTTTTTACCTTTTTACAATATTAAATGAGAAGAGTTTTTTTTAAAAGGAAAAAATAATATATGTTTTTGATTTTTTTAGATTTAAAAATATCTTTTTTTTCTTACAGAAATTTTCCTAGTTTGATGCTTTTTTTTTTTGTCAAAAAGTTTGATGTTTATTTCCATATAATTTAAGTAAGGATATAATTGAGCATTTTCTTATTCTAAAACCTAATATACCAAACTTAAAAAAAGAAGGCATAGATAGACAAATTTAAAAAAAAACATCCTTTAAAATCAATTTTCCCTTTTTTTTTTGTCATGAAGGAAGATAATAAAACAAACTATGAATCTTGTCTAGATATTTTTTGTTTGTTTTTTTTGATAAAATCTTGTGTTGAATTGGGAATCGAAATGAATGTTATCGTGATTTGTCAACCAAAAGACAGCATCAAGAGCTTGAAGAGAAATATTAACCAAAAGATTAAATATGATTAGCCGTTAGAAAAACATAGTCAAAGCATTAACTTGGGTGCAAAAACAAATTAAAAGTCATCAAAGAAGAAATCCATATATGTTAAAACTTAATGACGACTTAAAAACAAAAACAAAATATAGGAGTAGTAAATATATATTAAGGAGCATTCATATTTGGTATTGAGCAGATTATGAACAAAAGGAATTGACCAAATATGTTTTCCAAATCTGCATATGGTTTTAGATAAAGTCATTATGTGGTTTACGTTTTTTCAATCCTTGTGTGTGGACAAAAAAAAACCATCTTCGTTTTGTGAACTCTATAAGTATGAAGGTTCAAGATTCATAGTGTATATCTTTCAAACTAGGAAAAACAAGAGAAAATACCAAGATGAAATTGTTCTTAATAATGTTTGTGATTCTATTTGGCTTTAGTTACGATAAAGCCTATGGAAAAGGTTCTTTAGATATCGATATAAAACTGAAGGCTCTTAATAAGCCTGCGTTGAAGACCATCAAGGTACATATATATATGGACTAAGTCCGAGGTCAAACATATAACATTTTTTGGTCGACGAGTTCTCAAATAGATTGTAATTTCTATATTATAGAGTCAAGACGGAGATATAATAGATTGTATCGATATCTATAAGCAACATGCTTTTGATCATCCCGCTTTAAAAAACCACAAGATTCAGGTAAACAAATTCAACACACTCCTAATTTGGTCTTTATGCTCTAAGTTATTCATATACAAAGGCATGCATGCTTAGCTTGCTTGTTAAATCTTGAGATGGGAGAAGTTTTTTTTAATGTAGTATCTATTTTTCTCTTTACTTATTTTTGGTCTTTAACAATTATACATATATATGCATGTAGATGAAACCAAGTATTGAATTTGGTGAAAAGAAGACTAATAAAATTCCAAACAACGGTTCATCTGAACAAATAACGTCTCAGATTTGGTCCAAATCTGGAGACTGTCCGGATGGGACAATACCGGTTCGCAGAGTTAGTCGAGAAGACATAAGAAGAGCCTCTTCACCGTCTCAATTTGGGAGAAAATCTCCACATAGATACAATTATCTCGACAATGCACTTCATCAACGCAAGGGTAAATTCAATTTCACAGCTGCAAAAAGAAACCATTCCGGCCCAATCTTTCGGTCGGTACGTACATTAGTGAAGAGTTTTTATTTTATTTTGCTAATCGTATAATTTTTGTATAAGTTTTAAACTAATTCACTACAAGAAAATAGAGCAATTTCGACTGTCAAATCAGTAAGTTAACGGTCGGAAATATTAATTGGTTGGGAAAAAAATTGAATTGATCACTTTTTATTTTTTGTTACTGAAAATGAATTGACCAGTGAAGTTTGGATTTTCTAGTTACTAAAACCAAACCATATTAGAAGCTAATAACATCTTTATTTTTTTTAACTAGAAATGCTTATATACATGCTTTGTTGATTATATAGGAGGCATTTATTGTCGCACTAGGGTTCAATTTTGTTGGAGCTAAATCTGATATAAACGTTTGGAGCCCTCCGAGGGTTCAGCCTAGCGACTACAGCTCTGCTCAGACATGGTTGCTTGGTGGTGTCTCATCAGATAAATTTGAGAGCATAGAAGCTGGTTGGATGGTACGTTTTGTTATATATATAAATTTACTTTAGAACTAAACCATCGTCAACTGATTTATCATAAACCTATTTCAGGTGAATCCAGGTGTTTTTGGAGACTACCGGACCCGTCTCTTCATCTCATGGACAGTGAGTAAAAACATTACATATTTACTTTGAAACATTTTGAATTCGTTATAACGTAATGACGTGAGTTTATATAAATACTCTTTGATCTATTTGGATTTGTAGAAAGATGGATATAAAACCACAGGGTGCATCAACCTCCTATGCTCGGGTTTTGTTCAAACAACGAAAAGTTTTGCCCTTGGTGCAGTCATCGAACCTGTATCGAGTTCCTCAAGAACGCAATACATCATCACTATTAGTGTGTTCCTGGTAACATTTTCTAGTTTATATAAGTTTTTCGCAAAAAAAAAACACGCTTCTAAAAATCTGAAACTCGTAGCTATAATCATCTTCGACCATATATTTAAAGGATCCAAACACTGGGAACTGGTGGATGCCTAGTGGAAACAACGTGTTGGGTTATTGGCCGGGTACACTGTTCAACAGCCTCAAACACAGCGCGACAGCTGTGCAGTGGGGTGGAGAAGTCCATAGCCCTAACATATTGAAGAAGCCACACACGGTAACGTCAATGGGGAGTGGACAATGGGCAAATTACCTCTACGGAGAAGCTTGTTACCACACCAACCTTAGGATCAAGGACTATTCCATGCAGCTCAAATACCCTAAATATCTAAACGAGTACACTGATGAGTCCAACTGTTACACTACAAAGCTCCACCGGAAAACGTATATGTCAGAACCTCGCTTTTACTTTGGAGGACCTGGCAGGAACCGTTACTGTCCTTGATTTAATCTCATATGTTGATTTTGGCAATTAGTTTTCATTTCTCTCTTTAGTTAGTCATATCCTATCATTATACATGTTGGAACTATAGACGTCCATGGCACAAAAACAAAGTGCAAAATGAAAAACAAGAAAAAAAATGAATGAAACAAAAATTTAGTAATAAAATGGAACATACACAATTGGTCAAGAGATCAGTATGATTTCAGACTAATTTGTCAACTATTTAGATTAGCTTCTTCAACTAATTTCCGATGTGAGATATTTGTAACAAAGTATGCTACAAAAATAATAATACTATATTATATAATTATATTTTCTTTCTATACTCTAAAAGACATACAATAAAACCTCTATAAATTAATACTCTATAAATTAATAAACACTATAAATTAATAAATTTTGCTGGTCCCAAGTCAGACCAGTGTAAAATTTGACCAAAAATTCGATAAGATAATAAGATAACAATTTTTTTAAAATCCCTATGTAAAATATATTCCCAATATATCATAAATTAATAATCACTATATATATACGTATATATATATATATATATAAGTATATATATTAATGTATGTTTTGTTTTATTTTTGTAAAAATTAATTTTCTCCTAGAGTTCACATCAATGAAAACATTTATGTTAGTATATTTTTAAACAATAATCTTGTAAAATACTCCATCACAAGTCATAAAATTAACCAAATTTCTTTATGTTTTAAATTTTAAAATATGCATCATATTCATTATATATATATATGATGTTAAAATATAAAAATTAAGGTTATTAATCATACATTTGAATTTACGAATATCTTTTGTATAAGTGAATTTATCTATAATATTTGTAGTTTATAGTCAAATTAAAAATTAAAAATTTAAAATATATTGGTAATTTATAGTTTATAGTTAAATATATATTTGTAGTTTATAGTCAAATTTATCTATAATATATTTTAAAAAATTAACAATTTAAAAATACCACTATAAATTAATAATATTAATTTACACTATAAAATAATAAATATTAATTTATATAACAATTGAGGTTATTAATCATACATTTGAATTTATGAATATCATTTGTATAAGTGAATTTATCTATAACTTGTAGTTTATAGTCAAATTAAAAATTAAAAATTTTAAATATATTTGTAGTGTATAGTTTATAGTCAAATTTATATTTGTAGTTTATAGTCAAATTTATCTAAAATTTTTTAAAAATAAAAGTTAAAAAATACCACTATAAGTTAATAATTATTAATTACAATATAAAATAATAAATATTAATTTATAGATAAATTAATGTCACTATAAATTTATAAAATATCATAGTCTCAAAATTATTAAGTTATAGAGGTTTGACTGTAATAAGAGACCATCAAAGTACTCATAGTTTGCCTAGAGAGTTGCAGGAAATGGAATCAAATGAATTTGAAATATCCAGCTTTACGATAAGATATGAGAGATGATTTGTTTGGTAAGTTGGGCTGGGTTTGCAAACAAAGAATTGACCAAATTAAATATATTTTCCAAATCCTCATTTTTAAAAAAAGAAATAAATATGAGGTTTCCCTTTTTATCATTTTATTTTTGTGTGTGGACAGCAATCATATTTTAATTATATTTTAAAAAAACCATCTCCTTTTTGTGAACTCTATAAGTATGAAGGTTCAAGATTCAAAGTCTATATCTTTCAATCCAGGAAAAAGAAAGAGAAACAACGAAGATGAGGTCTTTCTTAATAATGTTTGTGATTCTATTTGGCTTTTACAATGAAGCCTATGGGAAAGGTTCTTTAGATATCGATATGAAACTGAAGGCTCTTAATAAGCCTGCGTTGAAGACCATTAAGGTATATATGGATTGAGTATATCATTTTTGTGTGTGTGTGTTTGAGTTCCTAAATTGATTTTAATATATTCGTAGAGTCAAGACGGAGATATAATAGATTGTATCGATATCTATAAACAACATGCCTTTGATCATCCAGCTTTAAGAAACCACAAGATTCAGGTAACAAATTCTACACACTTCTGATTTGGTCTTTATGCTCGGATTACTTAATTTTTTTTTCATATATTGCAGATGAAACCAAGTGTTGAATTTGGTGAAACGGAGACAAAAATTCCAAACAATGGTTCTGCTCAACAAATAACATCTCAGATTTGGTCCAAATCTGGTGACTGTCCTGATGGGACAATACCGGTTCGTAGAGTTAGTCGAGAAGACATAAGAAGAGCCTCTTCACCATCTCATTTTGGGAGAAAAACTCCTCATAGATACAGTTATCTCGACAATGCACTTCAACACAAGGGTAATTTCAATTTCACAGTAAAGGAAAAAATAAACCGAGCCAGCTTCCCAACCAATCGTTCGGTACGTACAGTGTAGTATAAGGTGTTAAGAGAAGAGTTTTTATTTTATTTCGTTACTCGTATAATTTTTAAACTATATCACTACAAGAAAATAGAGCAGTTTCCGACGGTCAAATCAGTAAGTTAACCGTCGGAAACACCCATTTCTAACGATTATTAAACTGCCGGAAATTTTTGGTTGGGGAAAAAAATAAAATAAACTTCAATTAATAATTTTCTTTTGTTATAGAAAATGAATTAATCACTGAAGTTTGGATTTCTAGTTACTAGAGTCTAGAGCCAAACTAGATTAGAGACCAGTTTTTGAATCAAAAACTAATAAAATCTTCATATGTTTTGTTGATGATATAGGAAGCCTTTATTGTCGCATTAGGGTACAATTTTCTTGGAGCTAGATCTGATTTAAACGTTTGGAACCCTCCGAGGGTTCAGCCTAACGACTACAGCACTGGTCAGATATGGTTGCTTGCTGGTGTTTCATCAGACAACTTTGAGAGCATAGAAGCTGGTTGGATGGTACGTACGTTTTGGTATTTCCTCTTCTTTAGAACTAAACCGTTAACTGATTTAACATAAATCTATTTTCAGGTGAATCCAGGCGTATTTGGAGACTACCGCACACGTTTCTTCATCTCATGGACTGTGAGTAATTACACCGTTTACATAGTTACCAACTTTGGAAACATTTTGAAACCGTTACATGAGTTTATATAATCATACTCATTGATGTATTTGGATTTGTAGAGTGATGGATACCAAAACACAGGGTGCATCAATCTCTTATGCTCGGGTTTTGTGCAAACAAATAAAAATTTCGCCCTTGGTGCAACCATCGAACCTGTTTCGCGCTCCTCGCAAGAGCAATACTTCATCTCTGTTAACGTGTTCCTGGTAACTTTTTTTCTAGTTTATACAACATTTTTGCGCGTTTAAAAAACCAGAAAACTTGTAGCTATAATTTCATATTCCGACCATACATTTTGAAGGATCCAAACAACGGGAACTGGTGGTTGAATACCGGAATCAACGTGATTGGTTATTGGCCGGGTGAATTGTTCAGCAGCCTCAAACACAGCGCAATAGCTGTGCAGTGGGGTGGAGAAGTCTATAGCCCTAACATGTTGCAGAAGCCACACACGGAAACGTCAATGGGGAGTGGACAATGGGCAGATTACCTCTATGCAGAAGCTTGTTACCATACCAACCTTAGGATCAAGGACAATTCCTTGCAGATCAAATACCCTAAATATCTAAACGAGTACGCTGATGAGTCAGACTGTTACACTACAAGGCTCTACAGGAAAACGTATATGTCAGAACCTTACTTATACTTTGGAGGACCAGGCAGGAGCCGTTTTTGTCCTTGATTTAATCTCGTATGTATGATTTTGGCAATTAATATTCATTCTATCTTTTTGTTAGTCGTATCTATAGACGTTGGAATAATTACATACGTCCATGTCACAAACTAACAAAGTGTAGAATGAAAGAAAGAAGAAAAAAAGTTAATGAAACGAAAATTTTATAAATAAAATGGAACATACACAATTGGTAAATTGCATCAAGTCTCTATGTAGCTGTTGGAGAGTTTGCAACAAATCAGTATAATTTCAGACTTATTTGTGGACTATTTAGATTAGCTTCTTCGACGAACTAATTTCCGATGTGAGATATTTGTAACAAAAAATATACGAAAAAAATACTATGATTAAATAAAATTTTATTTCTTATACTTTTAAAGACATACCAGTATAGAATATGCAGGTCCTGATTAATTTGCATATATGTTTTAAAAAAAATTAAGTAAATTAATGAAAAATACTCAAATTTGGTTGTAAGCTCTATAAGGAGAAAGAGACATATAACTTTGTATAAATTAGTATATTTATTAATATATTATATTACATTATTTATATACATAATTAATTTATATTAAATTAGCATATATATATTATATATATTGTTTTTAATTCATATTAATTTAAAAGAAGCATAAGTAATTATTAAAAAAAAAATTGTAAGCTTATAAGTAGAAATAATTTGATGATCTGACATAACAAACCTATTCTATTTGCAACCGAGAAAGAGAAAACAAATGGGAAGACAACCAAAATTGAAAATGTTCTTAACTTTTGCAATTCTATATGTTTTCTTCAATGGAGTATATGGAAGCTATTCACAAGAGATCGATATTATGTTAAAGACTCTTAATAAACCTACATTGAAGACGATCAAAGTATATATATGGATGGGTTTTGAATTTCATATACATTGCTTGTAAGTTCTATCACATATGAATTGGTTTTTGTATCCGTAATTAAATTTGATTGCTTACTTATTCGTAGAGCGAAGATGGAGATATAATAGATTGTGTGGATATCTATAAACAACCTGCTTTTGATCATCCTCTCTTAAAAGATCATAAGATTCAAGTACGTATAATATAAACTCTACCAATAGTTACAATACCAAGTTGTTTCTTTCATAGTTTATACTTTATGCATGCAGATGAAACCGAGTGTTGAATTTGTTTCGAAGAGGACTAATAATATTGCTAGTAACAGTTCTTCTAAACCGGTTACATCCCAGATTTGGACCAAATCTGGTAGATGTCCGGTAGGGACAATACCGGTTCGTAGAGTTAGTAGAGAAGACATAAGCAGAGCTTCTTCACCATCTCAGTTTGGAAGAAAAACTCCTCACGTATACAATTTTCTCCACAAAGCTAATCCCAATTTAACCGCAGAAGCTAACGCTCCCCGCCCGCAAGACCGGTCGGTATGTAAAAATTATATGATGTTGAATGCAATGAAAATTTTTTCATACAAAAAAGAATACAATGAAAGTTTTACTATTTTGTTTTCTAAAACAAAATTTAGAGAGTATTGGAGTTTTGTTTTGGAATTTTAAAATTTTTGGTCTTCAATTATTAGACCAACATTATAGGCAAGATCTTAGACAATTTTTAGGATTATTTGTGATTTAATTAAATCAAAAATACATCAAAATAACTAAGAAGCTATCTTATATCTAAATAATGTGCTAAGAAGATAAATATATAAGGGGAAAAACAATTTTCTTAATTTTTCCCTTCTTTTTTTCTTTTCTTAATTTTATCTTATGTATGTTTTAAGTTTTCAATTTTCAATAATTATAAAGTTTTCTCAAATTATAAATTTTAATTTAGTTTAATTTTATATAATTTTTCTTTTCCTAAGATCCCCAACCTAAGATGCTACCAATAAAAATGTCTCAAAACAAAAAATACAAATACAACTCTTAACTCTTACTTTTTCAAATTTATTATTAAACTAATCCTAAGTCTAAAATGTAAGATACCATTGATAATCTTGCTCTTTATACTTGGGAAAGCTAATTATGTTTTTCTCAGTTCAAGTATTTTCAAAACTTGAATAAATGGTACATGATTTTTTTCAACTTCTAGATATCTAGCTAGGCTCTAGCCATCTTTGTTGATGATATAGGAAGCCATTCTTCTTGCGGTAGGGTTCAATTACATTGGAGCTCAATCCCATATAAATGTTTGGAACCCCCCAGTAGTTGAGCATAGCGATTACAGCGCCGCGCAAATTTGGTTGATTGCTGGTCAAACAGATATATATGAGACCATTGAAGCTGGTTGGGTGGTAAGCTAGCATTTTATCACTAGATCTTATAGCTTGCTTCATAAGTAAATCTTCTACCAGTATCCGCGTAACGGTTTCTATGTATAATTCCAGGTGAATCCACGGCTTTTCGGAGACACCCGCACACGGCTCTTTGCCTACTGGACTGTAAGTAAATATCTTATGATTTACATGACTATATGCATGGCATTCACTTTCATGAATTTCAAAACCACTTGCAGACAGATGGATATGGTAAAACAGGATGCTTCAACCTCTTATGCTCAGGCTTCGTGCAAATAAGTACTCATGTAGCCTTAGGTGCAGCCATAAACCCCATTTCGAAAAAATCAGGAAAACAATATTACATCACCATTAGCTTCTTCCTGGTAAACTAATTATATGATTTATATAATAACCATATGCTATAATGTCATTGGACTTACTATAGCTCTAATGTGAATATGTGATCTTTTTACGACCGTTCTCTAGGATACCAACACCGGGAACTGGTGGATTTTGGTCGAGGACATTGTGTTGGGATACTGGCCAGGGTCACTCTTGAAAGACCTAAGACACAGTGCCACTGCGGTGCAGTGGGGTGGAGAAGTTTACAGCCCTAAGGTTAGAAATAAGCCACACACTAAAACTTCAATGGGGAGTGGAGAGTGGGCATCTAACCTCTATGGTAAAGCTTGTTACTTCACAAACATTAAGATCATGGACTATTCCTTACAGCTCAAGTATCCTCAGATGCTTTCCGAGTTCTCGGATGAGTTCAGGTGTTATTCTACATTTCTCTACCGAGAGAAAGACAAGTTGGAGCCGAACTTTTACTTTGGAGGGCCTGGCCAGAATTCTCAATGTCCTTAACTTTATGAGAAAGTTTATGTTGTTTGTATTCAACAACTTGAGTTGTAAAATTGATTGTCTTAACTCTGTCTGATAAACCAAGTTGTGAAATTGATTATCTTTAACTCATAATTAAAAGATTCTTTACTTCAATTTATTTATTTTTTCTTAAAAGAAAAGACTCTTTAATTATTATGAGTTAGAGGTTTCGGATGTTAAAGAATTTTAGATTTCATTTCAATAGTTTTGCAATTGAAAGGTATAATCGAGTTATAAAAATTATATATAAAGCCTAATAAACCAAAATTTTATAAATAATAATAAAAAGATGTCTTAAACAAAAAATTTCCTTTTAAACCAAATCTCCCCAAAAAAATATCATTTTAAATAAAATCTTGCTTGTATAAATGAAAATTTCTTTTCATAATTTTTGTATAGAATGGGGCTCGTAAGTAAAGTCTATATATATTTGTATGGACATTATTAATGATCCATAACAAGAACATATCTTAATCCTGTTTTCAACGTACCCAATACAATGGAAAGACAAGCGGCATTGAGAAAGTTCTTATTTATTGCGATCTTCGTCTGTGCCTTCTATAATGGAGTCTATGGAAGAAGAGCTTCTCATCAAGAGATCAATATGAAGTTAAAGACTCTTAATAAGCCTGCATCTAAGACTATCAAAGTAAGGATTATATATTTACTTCTATCGATTCTTTATGGTTTCTTGAATTCTAAAAAAGATTGTGTTTATATATTTTTATAGAGCGAAGATGGAGATATAATCGATTGTGTAGATATCTATAAACAACCTGCTTTTGATCATCCTGCCTTAAGAAATCACAAGATTCAGGTAAACAAATTCTATTATCTTTGCATGCATGCACATTTTGTTTCATCTTTTAATGACTTACAACTTCTATATATATACGCATGCAGATGAAACCAAGTGTGGAGTTTGTTTCAAAGAAGACAAATAGTCCCACGGACGGTTCTTCAAAACCTATCACATCCCAAACTTGGTCCAAATCTGGTGGATGTCCCGTAGGGACAGTACCAATTCGTAGAGTCAGTAAAGAAGACTTACGTAGAGCCTCTTCACTGTCTCAATTCGGAAGAAAAACTCCTCAAGTATACGATTTTCGCGATAAAGCAAACCAACTCAAGGCTAATAATATCAATGGAACTGCTGAAAAATCATACAATCCTCGTCCGAAAAACCGATCGGTATGTAAATGATATGAAGTTTAATGGAATGAAACTTTTACATATTGTTAACTCTAGTAAACCCTTCTTGTTTCTTGATGATATAGGAGGCGATTCTTATCGCGACAGGGAATTATCTTGGCGCTCAATCCGATATAAATACTTGGAACCCTCAAGGAGTTCAATGTAGCGACTACAGCTCTGCCCAAATATGGCTACTTGCTGGTTACCCGGAAATATCTGAAAGCATAGAAGCTGGTTGGATGGTAAAAACATATATATCCCTAAAGATATAAAATATAAACTAGCTTCAAAAGTAGAGTCATTAACCAGTCACCCTAAACCGGTTGCCATATTCTAATTCAGGTGAATCCAGCTGTTTTTGGAGACACTCGCACACGGCTCTTCACTTACTGGACTGTTAAGTAACATCATGACATGACATAATAACAATAGACATAACATTCACTTTTTTCATGTATTTAATAACTAATCTTTGGACTTGGGTTGCAGAATGATGCATATAGTAAAACAGGCTGCATCAACCTCTTATGTTCAGGCTTCGTGCAAATAAGTACTAAAGTAGCCCTTGGCGCAACCATAGACCCTGTTTCGAGTATCTCCAGTACCCAATATCACATGTCCATTAGCATAAATTTGGTAACAATTTTCCATTTTACTATATCATATCATATATCATGAGTTTACAAGTCTACAAAAACACGTATGTTCTTACTCTAATGCTCTATCTCCAATCTTGTTTCAAGGATCCGGACAGTGGGAACTGGTGGCTAACATACAATGAGTTTGTGTTAGGATACTGGCCAGGGACACTCTTCCAAGACCTAAGACAAAACGCCACCACAGTGCAATGGGGTGGAGAAGTCTATAGCCCTAACGTGAGGATGAAGCCACACACCAAAACTCCAATGGGAAGTGGAGATTGGGCTTATAACCTCTATGGCAAAGCTTGTTTCCACACAAACATTAGGATCAAGGACAATTCATGGCAAGTCAAGTTTCCCAAAGTTCTCGTCGAGTTCTCGGATGAGAAAGAGTGTTATTCTACATTGCTCAACCGTAAGATGGACAAGTCAGAGCCGATGTTTTACTTTGGAGGACCTGGTCAGAATCCTCGATGTCCTTGAGGCTTTACTTCATCGTACAGTTTAGTCTCGTATCAAACCAGAATAAAAGAAAAAAACTCTTTAAAATTTGGTTAACTCGGTTAAAATTCGGTTTACTAGTTAAAAGAGAGATGATATTAGCTAACCGGTTTGGAATGACTAGACCGTCGGATTTATCCAGCATTGAACCAAAATTACTGAGATGAACCGGATTTAACCAAAAAATATTGAAAATATCGATCATTGTCCTCTTCTTCTTCTCTACGAGTTCTCTCCTCTCTCTCACTTTTGTCAGTGGGAGTTTCGCTTCTTGTCAAACGAAGACTATATGTACACTTGTACACAAGTACCTATAAGCTTCACTGAATTTGTTGTAGCGAGACTTTTTGAACTTCTCTTCATCACCTCAAATGCTCCATGAATCGATTTTGACTCCAATCAAACACTGTTATGACTCCAGATACTTACCAATGGCTAAACTCCACTTCGTCTTCCTCGTTGCTGCTTTAGCTTTCACCATAAACCCTAGCTTATCATCGTCCATAGATTCGTATTCGGAATCGGATTTAGAATCGTTTGTTTTCCACCAGGATTACGCTCCGCCGTCTCCGCCACCACCTCCACCGCACGGACCTTCGGTGTCATGTAACGAAGATCTCGGAGGCGTTGGGGATTTGGATTCGACTTGTGAAATCGTCTCCGATTTGGACCTTACTGGCGATGTTTATATCTCTGGGAAAGGTAATTTCGTCGTCCTTCCTGGTGTTAGGTTCAATTGTGCGATCGCTGGGTGTTCGATAGCTGTAAATGTTTCTGGGAACTTCTCTTTGGGTGCCAAATCCAGTATTGTTGCTGGGAGTTTCGAGTTAACGGCTGATAACGCTAGTTTTGCTGATGATTCGGTTGTGGATACGACTGGTTTTGCTGGAGATCCACCGTCTCAGACTAGTGGTACGCCTCATGGTATTGATGGTGCTGGTGGCGGACATGGTGGTAGAGGTGCTAATTGTTTGACTGATAATAAGAAGCTTCCTGAAGATGTTTGGGGAGGTGATGCTTATTCGTGGTCGACTTTGCAGAAGCCGTCGAGTTATGGTAGTAAAGGCGGATCAAGTAGTAAGGAAATTGATTATGGAGGGGGTGGAGGTGGGAGAGTGAAGATGAATATTTCGCAGTTTCTGGAGGTTAATGGCAGTGTTTTGGCTGATGGAGCTACCGGAGGAGCCAAAGGCGGTGGTGGAGCTGGTGGCAGCATCTTCATTACGGCGTATAAGATGTAATCACCTTTCTAATCCATGTTTTCGAACTGATTTTAGTCTATATGGAGAGCAGAAATAGGCAGGATTTGCAAGTGCTCTTAACTTAAGTATTCTAGAACTGTGATCATGTGTTTTCACTATTCTCATTTGGAAACCTTTTGACTAATGATTCGCAGTATTAATGAAGTACATAAATGGCTAATTTAAATATTTCCAACTTACTCGTAAATAGCAGTATTTGTTTTTCCTGAGTAACCTCACTGTATCCTCTATCATAGTATGATTTTGTTTGAAATGCAGGACTGGAATAGGTCGGATAAGTGCCTGTGGTGGAGATGGTTATGGTGGTGGGGGTGGAGGCAGAGTATCTGTTGATATTTTTAGCAGGCATGATGACCCCAAGATCTTTGTGCATGGTAAGATACTTTTTCCCTAGGATGACTGGCTGATAACCAGAATTTTTGCATGAGTAGTGATTGTTCCGGAAATTGAAGAAGGCTAATGCTCCAAAAAATTATTCATGTCATGAGTAGGGATTGAACAACTATTACTTAATACTACAACATTCGCATTTGGTCTGTTGTAGGAACTTTTATGCGTTAGTAAGCTGATGAATTAACGTTTCCAGCAAAGTTACATCATCTTGTGTATTGCTTGATTTTCTGGTTTACGTCTGCATGTTCAATTACATAGGTTCCTAACATCATTTTCAAACATGTGAACGGTATGGTTCTCCTACGTATAGGTGGACACAGTATTGGATGTCCAGATAACTCTGGTGCTGCGGGGACTCTTTACGATGCTGTTCTCCAGAGCCTTTTTGTTAGCAATCACAATCTGACAACAGATACTTATACGCTTCTCTTAGAATTTCCCTTACAGCATCTTTGGACCAATGTTTATATTCAGGATCGTGCACGTGCTACTTGTCCTCTGCTATGGAGTCGTGTCCAGGTAGGAAACTGGATTCTCAAATACAGGCCTTCTAAGTATAGGCTAACTGTTTATCATTGATCTTTAGAAGATGAAAAATTCTTCGGTTTGTAAGCCTAGCTATTGTTTTACTATAATTTAGTCGTCTCTTGACATGCTTTCAGTTTGCCTATTTAATATGTTTTTATCTTTTCAGTATATAGGATTGTAAAATTTTGATCTACTACACTAACCAAGATTTATGTTTAGGTTCAAGGACAGATTAGTCTGTTTACTGGTGGTGTTTTAAGCTTTGGATTAGCTCATTATGCTACATCCGAGTTTGAGTTACTGGCTGAAGAACTCTTGATGAGTGACTCTACTGTCAAGGTGATAAGTCATTGATAATTATTCTGTTTCTCCATTTCTCTGTTGGAAACTTTATTTCTGTGCTGTGATTATTTTCTGTGTTCGAAACTCCATAATCTATTTTCTTACTCGTGTGAATCAGACGTTAATGCTTTATCTGCGATGTACCAGGTTTATGGGGCATTACGCATGACTGTCAAGATAATGCTGATGTGGAATTCAAAATTGCATATAGATGGAGGAGGAGATACAACTGTGGCGACTTCAATGCTTGAGGCTAGCAATTTGTTCGTTCTCAGGGTATGCAAAACATTCGTGTCGGTTTTTTATTCATCTTGTGATCTGGGGCTTACATTTCTGCTTATATTTTTGTGTCCACTGATCTGGATATAGGAATCATCTATCATTAGGTCAAATGCAAATCTCGAAGTTCATGGACAAGGTTTCTTGAATCTAACTGGACCAGGGGATTCAATTGAAGCACAACGGCTTGTTTTGTCACTGTTTTACCGGATCAATGTAAGGAGTTTCATGTGCTCTTTTGTGACTATCATCAATGTGATTGACACAAAGATTTTCTGCAAATATAAATGGCGTTTATTTTTGTTCAAGTTTGCCACAAAACTTGACAAGCTCTACTCAAAAGACTCTTGTGACAGTTTAAAGTATAGATATAGGAATAAATTCTAGCTGACTTTTTAAGAAATCTTTTTTTTTTTCCTGGGATTGAAGGTTGGGCTTGGATCTATTTTGCGTGGTCCTCTACTGAATGTTTCAAAAGATGCTGTGTAAGTTTGGAGAAAAAAAGGCCATAATGCACTCTGTTTTTCTTTTCATTATTCGTCTGATACAGAAATAGCAAATATCACTTGAGCTCATCTCCTCGCAGTACACCGAAGCTCTATTGTGAACGAAAAGATTGCCCTTATGAACTACTAAATCCTCCAGAGGATTGCAGTGTCAATTCATCAATGTCCTTTACCCTTAAGGTATTTTGTAACTTTTCTTTAGCATGCTTCTACTAGCTTGAGAGTTCTGAAAAATAATTTTCCTTCTAGATATGTCGGGTTGAAGATATCATCATCAAAGGATTAATTAAAGGATCAGTTGTTCATTTCCACCGAGCAAAAACTGTTACCCTTGAATCATCCGGAGAAATTAGTGCCACTGGCATGGGTAAGCGATAATTGCTTTTCATTCAGTTTTTGTTTTAAGCGTACATCCTTGTTCCACTTTGGTCTGTTATCCGAATAGGATCTAATCTGTTTCCCACCCTCCATATGAGAGAAGAGCAGTATGTTCTTGCTTTTTTTGTAATTTGTTCTCTTGCTATATAGAAATGATTTTTTTTTTTAATATGTTTTGCAGGTTGTAGGGGTGGAGTAGGTGAAGGTAAATTCCTTGGCAATGGGATTGGAAGTGGTGGTGGGCATGGTGGTCAAGGAGGAAGGGCATGTTATGATGGTAGTTGTGTTGAGGGTGGCATTATATATGGAAATGCAAATCTCCCATGTGAGCTTGGCAGTGGAAGTGGCAGCTATTCTTCAGGGTATTCTTCTGCTGGTGGTGGTATTATAGGTATGAAAATGTTAGATTTTGATGGTTCTTTAGTTCGATCAAGCTTGAGAGGTTAGATTGTGTTGTAGGTGTTAATAGAGAATGTATACCTTAGACAGACTACTGATCATTTTGGTATTGTGTTTGTCAAATATTTAGTCAATCATCGTTTGTTTATTTTATCAGAAGTATCCTGTTAGAATTGTTGAAGCTTGTCACCATTTAGCTATTAGCATATACAAATACTACAATACATGGTTGTGATTGCTATAAATTTTAGTACTTGTCAAGATGATTTCTCATAATATGCTTTTTCATTATTTATGACTCTTTTCAGTGATTGGTTCAATGGAGCAGCCAGTGACTATTTTATCACTTGAAGGCTCAATTAGAGCCGATGGAGAAAATGTCACACGTGCGGTTAGGACTGAAAAAGGCTATGGTATAGCACCTGGTGGTGGTTCTGGTGGTACAATCCTCTTGTTCCTGCGTTACCTTGTTTTAGGAGAGTCATCTGTTCTCTCAAGTGGCGGTGGATCTGGAAGTCCTATTGGTAGTGGCGGTGGAGGAGGTGGGAGAGTTCATTTTCATTGGTCAAACATTCCCACAGGTGACATATACCAGCCTATTGCTAGTGTTAAAGGAATAATCCATGCAAGGTCCGTATATTATGCATTTGCCTTGGCCAATATTTTTCTTTTCTGACATTGGTTGCATTTTAATTGTTGTTATTAAATTGAATTCTCTACAGTTCTAGCCTTTCATATTTGAAACAAATTCGTAACTAATTGTAGGGGAGGAGTGGGGAAAGATGAGGCCTTTTTTGGCGAAAATGGTACTGTGACTGGAAAAGCGTGTCCAAAGGGACTCTATGGTATTTTGTGCAAGGTACAAAAAGGAAAATGTGTACCTTTTTTTTCTATATCATATTGGTGAATGAAATATTTCTCTTGGCGTTTTGTTGTCTTGCTAGCATAGGAGTTGGTATGTCAGTCAAGAGATTATATGCTCATGTATAATGGGATTACTGTTTTGTGTTTACTGATGGAGTATCGTTTTAACTCATATCAGTTAGCTGCCCTATATTCCGCTTCAGATATTATACCCAAATATTCTGATATTTTCTTCAGGAATGCCCATCTGGTACATACAAGAATGTCACAGGATCTAATGCAACTCTTTGTCGTCCTTGTCCTGTCAATGAGCTCCCAACACGTGCTGTCTACCTTCCAGTTCGAGGTAAAATAGGGTTATTTATGATTTGAACTCTTATGTATTATGTAGGTGCTATATAAACCTTACCCTAATCGATGACTTGGTCCATGCAAATTTTTCCATGGCTATTGATGTTATGTATGATGCTTTTCTTCTTAAGCATAACACCTTCACCTTTAAACTGATGTCGTAAATGTCCATGGCTCGCTGATAATCCTTGAATGTTCAATTTATTGACAGGTGGTGTATCTGAGACACCATGTCCATACCGATGTATATCCGAAATGTATCACATGCCACACTGTTACACAGCGCTGGAAGAGCTAATTTATTTATTTGGTGGGCCTTGGTTGTTCGGCCTTTTTCTGATGGTTCTCCTCATCCTCTTAGCACTTGTACTAAGTGTTGCGCGGATGAAATTTGTTGGAGTTGATGATTTACCTGGCCCAGCTCCCTCACAACATTGCTCTCAAATAGATCATTCCTTCCCATTCCTGGAATCATTAAATGAGGTTGGCTTATTTTATCGATTTTTAAACTTTAAATGTGGATTTCTGCTTATTCTAGACTTTCTGGGCTTAACACTATTGGTGAAGTGATGAAGGATATAAGTTGCAGAGCACTACTTATTGTTACGCTGTCTGATGTAATTTATGCATGTTCTCCTTTTTTCAGGTGCTGGAAACAAATAGAGCAGAGCAATCACAGAGTCATGTGCATAGAATATATTTTATGGGTCCTAATACATTCAGTGAGCCCTGGCATCTTTCTCATACCCCACCAGATCAGATAAAAGAGATAGTGTAAGTTGTTGTTTCTAATCCCAAGCTGATCTGTTTATGTATCTCATGGCTTTGCCTAAAGTAAATTGCAGTTGGTCAACTGTTCTAACTTCTCTGTGTTTTGATTTTTTGGTTCAATAGATATAGGGACGCATTCAACACGTTTGTCGACGAGATCAATGCAATAGCTGCATATCAATGGTGGGAGGGTGCAATTTATAGTATACTTTCAGTATTCGCCTATCCGCTTGCGTGGTCATGGAAACAATGGCGGCGGAAGTTGAAGTTGCAAAGATTGCGTGACTTTGTACGTTCTGAATATGATCATTCATGTCTACGTTCCTGTCGCTCCCGAGCTTTATACGAGGGTCTTAAGGTACCTTCTTCATCAGGAATGCTTAGTAGATGTTAGATTTTATTTTCTATAATATCTTTACTAGGATTTTATTTCTTAAACTATAGTTCCATCCATGTTTATTTAGGTTGCTGCCACCTCTGATTTGATGCTAGCATATCTTGATATATTCCTTGGTGGGGATGAAAAAAGGTCAGACCTTCCACCTCGGCTGCACCTTAGATTTCCAATGCCCATATTATATGGGGGTGATGGCAGTTACATGGCTCCTTTCTCACTACAAAATGACAACATTCTTACAAATCTCATGAGCCAGGTTGGTTTTTAGATTAAGGCATTTTCTGTGGCCATGTTAAATATCGTACTGAATCTTTCTTACTTCTACGTTCTCTCAGGTTCTTCCGCCCACTACTTGGTACAGACTGGTGGCTGGTTTGAATGCTCAACTACGTCTTGTTCATCGTGGGAGACTAAGAGCAACACTGCGCCCTGTTCTGGGATGGTTAGAAACGCATGCTAATCCTGCTCTGAAAACATATGGCATTCGAGTTGATCTGGCCTGGTTCCAGATTACAGCATGTGGTTATTGCCAATATGGACTCTTGATTCATGCCGTGGAGGAAAGTGAACCAGCATCACCTCAACATACCAGTGGAACCACATGGACTGAGATACAGTCACGGTAAATAAATGATAATCACATCCGTTCATTCATAGTGACAGTAGTCATAAATTCTATTCATAACACCTTATGTGATGTGTTGTTTCAGATTATATATCATATAATCCAGTATATCTAGAAAAACCAGATGCTTTGTTATTTCTGTTTCTTAGTTATATAAATTTAGTGAGCCTTCTTTCGTGATCTTGTAACTTGTATCTTTTGTTGTACATTTTAATGGTGTGTTCTTGCATATTTTAGTTACAGTGTGAAGGGCACATATAAAGAAGAATCTTCAACACATTTAGGAGAGAGTTTACTCAGCAGCCCAACTCACAGAAACTCTGACTATTCTACAATACGGAAAAGGAATTATGGAGAGATTATTACCCTTGATAGCTTACAGAGTCTGAAAGAGAGGAGATGTATATATTTCCTTCTCTCTTTCATAGTTCATAATACTAAACCTGTCGGCCACCAGGTGTCTCTGTCAAACCCCGTTTATTATGAATACCTTCTTTTACATATTTTCTATCAGCTTTTGCAAGAATCTAATCCATCATTCTCCCTGATTTCTTTTGTGATATTGCAGGATCTTGTTGGCTTAGTTATTTCAATGTTACTATTAGGAGATTTTAGTCTAGTCTTGCTCACACTACTCCAGCTGTATACAATATCTATGCTGGATGTGTTTTTGGCCTTATTTATACTACCTATCGGCTTGCTTCTGCCGTTTCCTGCTGGGATAAATGCTTTATTTAGTCACGGACAAAGACAATCAGCTGGCCTAGGACGTGTTTACGCCCTGTGGAATTTCATGTCCTTAGTGAACGTGGTAAGCTACTCTTTCCCGTGCTGAAATGAATTTGATGGGTGATAGTGTTTGTTGCTCCATTTACGAATATCCAGTTTTTTCTTACAAGTTTTGGATTAATGCTGGCAGTTTGTTGCTTTCCTCTGCGGATATGTTCACTATCATAGCGAATCATCATCGGCTAGCAAGAAAATCCCATTTCAGCCGTGGAATATTAACATGTGAGTTTGCTTTACTTTGTTAGTTCAGCCGTTACAGTCTCTGGCCGGAGAATGAATGAATAAATGATAGATTGGTGTGTGTGGATGCAGGGGTGAAAGTGAATGGTGGATATTTCCAGGAGGGCTTGTGGTTTGTAAGATAATACAATCGCAGCTCTTAAACCGGCATGTGGCAAACCTGGAGATACAAGACCGTTCATTGTACAGTAAAGATTATGAGCAGTTTTGGCAGTCGTGACAAAATCAGGTTAAGATGCAAAATGCTTCTTGCAAGTCATGCTGCTCTATAGAGAGAGAATAGAAGCTAGGATGCATAACAAAACTGGGATGGACTGTAATTATTGTTTCGTTGTTCTGAAGTTTCCGGATGAGTTTCTTAATCTCCGTTTGATCTTATTTATTATTATCGAAAAAATGAATAATTAGTCGGCCGTTAAACAAATTATATAGCTTTTGCTGGGAATGTGAAAAATGAGTAAACTGAATTACAAGAGATGTTGACAAGTGATGTAAGTAGGCATGACCAAAATCTAATCTTAACCGCCTCAACCGTATTTCTAACCGTAATCGAACTGTTTACTAATCGTAACCGTATAAAACGGTTAAAAATCGTAACCGTTAACCGTACAAGTAAATTAGCTTCGGTTAAAGAAAAATACTAACCGTAACCGTTAATTAACCATAACCGTAATAAACCACCGGTTAACCGTACAGTTAAATATTCCGTTAATTGCATATTTAAATCCTTAAAATAAATTATATTGTAACTGTATACAATGAAAAGACACATCAAATGTTTGTATAAAATTTTCACCTTATTAAAAGCAACACAACAAATTGAACTCGTAAGTAATCAAAACATTTCATACTAAACTATTTTTATTCTTATTTCGTATGTTGAGTTTCTCAGTTTCGATCTAATACCCAGATTTAAAGTAAAAATATTTAAAATCACATATATTTTTTACTTGTAAAATAAATAATATTTCATAAGATTTTATCTCCAATATTAATATTATAATAATTATCAAATAACCGTGACTGTATTAACCGTAACCGTAATTAACCGTAACTGTATATATATTGGTTAAAATAAATTATAACCGTTAACCGGTGGTTAATTAACTATAACCATATTAACTGTAACTATTCATGCCTAGATGTAAGTGAATAATTTGGTTTTTTCATCTGACTTTAAAAATAGCTTCCATGGAAACTATCTAGGGTGGGCTAGTAAGCACTAATAGTAATAGTTCTCTTTAATAATTCTCATTAATATTCATGGACTAAACAATTTTTTTGACAATTTCGTTTTCAATATCGGCGTTTTGATTATTTTAGCTAAAAGATTCCTTCCTTCTTATTAAAAAAAAAAAAAAAAAAACAACGAATTATTAAATTTTCTCACCGGAGAACTTGAAAAAGAGCAAAAAGCAAAAGCCAAATCGCGACCCGTCTCTCTCTCTCTCTCTCTCTCTCTCAAAATTCAAAGATCAAACAAACCGGTCGGAAATGGTTAACCGGAGCCAACAGAGTCTCTTCCTCATAGCTTCTCCCGACGAGATCGATAAGATCCGCCGTGCCGAATCTTCCAAACAAGGTCTCTCTCTCTCTCTCTTTTTACAAACAAAAAAAAAAAGAATCCTTCTTTTAAAGTTGATGATTTTTCAATAATGTTACAGCCGGAGCTATTGCCGGAGCCAAAGCAGCCGCCGTAGCTGCCGTCGCCAGTGCGATTCCCACAGTAATCATTTCATCTCCCAGATTTATTCATTCTATCAATAGCAAAAACAAATTTTTAAGTCACTCTGTTCGAAATTGAGAATCTTAAAACGACATAGTTTTATGTTGTTCTGTATCTTGACTTGGTGATGCTATAGACAAAGTTTTAAGCTTTGTCTCACTTTTGTAATCTCTGTGAAGCAAATGTTTGATTTCTAGACTCATTCCTTAGTGATGTATGTGATGAAATTGAAACGTTTAAAACCCGTGAGCTCTTGCTTGACAGTTAGCTGCGGTTCGTATGATCCCATGGGCAAAGGCTAACCTCAACTACACTGCTCAAGCACTCATTGTATCTTCAGGTTTAGCTCTCTCTTATAACTCTATCTTTCTCCTGGAACTAAGTAGAAGAAGCTTGAACATTGTTGTAGAAGCACTGATCAGTGTGTTAGTTTTATGAACATTGTTGTAGAATCATAGATGAGTGTGTTAGTTTTATGAACATTGTTGTAGAAGCATGGATGAGTGTGTTAGTTTTATAAACATTGTTGTAGAATCATTGATGAGTGTGTTAGTTTTATGAACATTGTTGTAGAAGCATTGATGAGTGGGGAGTTCTATTTCTCCATTACCTTTGTGTTATTTTTATTCTGGTTCTTGATTCATGAAAGTTTCAATCTTGTGATCATCGGAACAGCCTCCATCGCTGCGTTCTTCATAACTGCGGACAAAACCATTCTACAAGGCGCAAGGAGAAACACCGAGGCTCAGTTAAAGAAAGCTCAGCAAGATTCTAAATAATTTTCACATTATATTTGTAACTCAAATCAATCACTCTTATCTTTCTCTGCTTTTGTATGCATATTTTGCTTTTGATTCGAAATAAAAGAGTGTTATTATTACAAGGAATAGCAAATTTTATAAAGAACATCTTCATTCTAAACATAAAGAGTTTTCAGATTTATTACTCTTTAACTAAAGCTTACATTAGTTTACAATTTCTAAATACATATGTACATTCTCTATAGCCGAACAAAAAACAACTTCGAAAGTTGTAATCATTGGTTATACAAAACCTAAATCTTCATCTTGTACCCTTTTACTTGTCCTTCGACCTGATAAACTAATGAGCAGAGGTGCCTCGTGTGCCTCTGTCACAGTTTTTTTTGTCGCATCAGCTCCTTGTTGGCGAAGAACATACAAGATCTCTTTCATGGAAGGTCTATGACTAGGCAATGTGTTAGTACACATGAGACCTAGCTTGAAAACTGTTGTCATCGCCTCTGCCGTGGAAGCTTCTTTGATGTCCTCATCAAACGCCTCTGCGGTAGGTTTCCCAGACTGGTAATGTCTCCATGACCAATCTGCTAAGTTTGTGTGTTCATCTCCGTTGTTTCCTTCTCTTCCAGTCACTAGCTCTAGCAAAACTACCCCGAAGCTGTACACATCTATCTTCTCATCCACCTTTGATGTATATGCATATTCTGCAACATAAGAATGTTAGAGATAGCACTATGAATTAGAATTTTGGTAAGGGATTTATGAATAATACCTGGAGCAATGTAACCAAATGATCCAGCAACAGCTGACATGGTATGAGGTTCTTGGTTTTGCTTAATCAACAACTTAGCCAACCCGAAATCTGCAATCTTGGCGTTGAATTCAGAATCAAGCAAGATGTTGCTTGACTTGACATCTCTATGTATGATCGCGGGAGTGCAATCATGATGCATATAGCAAAGTCCTTGAGCTGCTCCAACCGCGATATTCAACCTCTGCGACCAATTCAAGTCATTAGCATCAATAGTACCGCTCTTCTTCTTGCCATGTAGCCATTGATCAAGACTGCGTTTTTCGAGATACTCATACACTAGAAGCTTTGAATCCTCCCTCGAGATACAACACAGTAGTTTCACTATATTTGCGTGCCTGATCGTTCCTAGAATCTCAACTTCAGCAATGAACTCTTTCTCAAGTTTCTTGTCCAGTTTCTTGCTGTCCCATATCCTCTTCACCGCCACGCATTGTCCCGAGCTTTCGACGAATATCTTGTAAACTTTTCCCGATCCACCACTCCCGATCACATTGTGTTCCATCATATGCGACACGATGTCTGATTCGACAAAGTCTACTCTTTGAAACGAAGTCAGTTTCCACGTCTCTAAACCACTCCCGCTTCTTTGTTTCCTAGTGAAATTCCGAATCATAAAGAACGTTACAAACAGAGTGATGGCGAAAAGCAGAGCCGCAATGACGAGAATCATCGCTAGGATCTTCCCCGGGAAACCTTTCGACCTCCCAAGCACTTTCCGACAATCCGGTAAGTTAATAACCGGTTTGTCTGCACAGAGATTAGAGTTGTTCAAGAAACTTCTCTCGTACGCAAGATTATCAAGTTGGTATGGAATCTCCCCGATGAACCTATTCGATGACAAATCAAGTATCGTCAGCTCCAAACTCCCGATCTCCGGAGGGATTTCACCGGAAAATTGATTCTCCGATAGGTCAAGATTGATCAACCGTGGCAACAATCCTAAACCTCTCGGAATTTTCCCGGAAAGCTTGTTCTTGGATAAACTTAACGTTACCAAAGACTTCCATGAGATGATCTCATCGGGTAACTCACCGGAGAGATCATTCTCGTTAAGAAACACCGATATCAGATTTGAAAGAGAAGTCAACTCCTTCGGAATCTCACCGGAAAACCGATTGTTTCGCGCGTTAAACTCAACTAGAGAAGACCACGTACCGATCTTCCGAGGAATCTCACCGGAAAATTGATTGTTATCGATCTCGATCCTCGACATGTTCCAAGCAACAGTCTCCGGTAATTTTCCGGTGAATGAGTTGTTACTCACCTGTAAACTATACATACTTGGAGCAGTCCAGATCTGAGATGGAAACTCACCGGAGAAGCCATTGTTCTGTAACTGAACCGTCAAGAGCGTCGTACAGTCTCCGAGCGACTTAGGGATTTCTCCGGTGAGATTGTTCGAGTACACCACCACACCTAGAAGCTTACCTCCGTTACACAAATTCTCCGGTAATTTCCCGGTTAACTGATTCTGCGAAACTTCGAACCGCTCCAGCTTCGAATTAAACCCAATATCCGCCGGTATTTCTCCGGTTAACTTGTTGGTGAAGATCATAAGCTCCTTCAATTCCGGTAATTTCCCGATAACCGGCGGGATTTCTCCGGTTAACTCGTTATAAAACAAGTTCAAAACTTCTAATTTCTTTAGATTCCCGATTGAAACCGGAATCGAACCGGTTAAATTATTAGCAGAGAGATCAAGCTTTACCATGTTAACCGCCGAGATAGATTTGGGGATTTCTCCGGTGAAATGATTAGCGTAGAGATAAAGCTCGGTGAGATTCTTCAACCCGAATAAATCATCTGGGATCCGACCCGTTAAATTGTTAACCGATAAATCAACGTGAATAAGATCCGTCATGTTTTCGAAAACAACGGCTGAGATTTCTCCGATCAGATTCATCTCCGATAACCACATATACTTGAGTTTCTTCAATTTCCCAAACTCCGTCGGAAGCTTCGCCGGAGTAAACTTATCGTTTAACGCTAGTCGAAGTTCTTCGAGCTCCGACAAGTCTCCGATCTCCGACGGGAAGGTACCGTCGTATTCGCTCATGTACAGATTCAAAACCTTGAGCTTCGAGATCCGTCCAAGACTCTTCGGTATATCTCCGGCGAAGGAGTTAGCCGCTAAGTCGAGATGCTCGAGTTCCGGCGAGAGACGATTGATATCGCCGGGAAGTGAACCGTTGAAGTAGTTCTGAGATAGATCGAGATACTTCAGCTTCGTGCAGTTGTAAAGAACCGTCGGAAACTCGCCGGAGAAGAGATTATAAGACAAATCGAGGAATTGGAGATTTGGGAAATCGCAAATCGTCGTCGGAACAGTCCCGGTGAAGTTCTGGTTCTGGAAATTGATCTCGGTGACGTTTCCGGCGGTGCAAGTTATCAAAGGCCAGTCGCACGGTGAAGATGTGTTGTTCCATTGCCGGAGAGACGTTGGGTCGCCGAGAACGCGTTTCAGGTTCAGAAGCGTTGACCGGTCGTTGGTCTGAGAAAATACGGATAAGGGTATTGAGGTGAGGAAGAAGAAGAGATAGAGTAAGGGTAAAAGAGTCATTTCACATAAATTTGTTAGTTTTGAGGATTTGCCGGGAAATTACGGCAGCCGAGTTTGACACTGAATGTGTGAAATGGAAAGTTATATAGAGAGAGAGGTTTATACAAAAAAGTCGTTAGGTGAGAGATTTGGTCCATTTGGAGAACTTGGTTGACGTAACTAACGTTACATACACACGTGATGTGATACAATATGAATATGTAAATGATTTTTCTTATATTTTTTTTCTAGAATATAAGAAAAATTAAAATATAGACATGGTCACGATATAGTAACGAAATTGTATTTAAAATATTATATTTCTTTAACGTCATATAAAATCTGATAGACGGGAATGATTGTTAACTACATATAAAATTTAAAATATTGAAAATATTGAAATTTTTTAAAATTTTAGTGTTATTAATATTTTAACTCTACACTAAGTTTATATGGGTCATTTTACTATTTCTTAATAACTCCGACATAAAACATGAATAATTAAACTGATTTAGTAAAGTTTGATATTATGCAATCTTGATAATTATATATTATATAAATTCCAAGAAAATCTATCAGTTTTAAAAAACATGAATTACAAAGAAAATGTTTATCCAAAATCTAGTATGTGTAAATTTGTTGTTCAAATGGTTATAGTTAGTTAGCTAAATAATGCTTTGTTTTTTTAATTAAAAAACCTAACAATAACTAAATTAATGGTGACGAAAAAAAAACTAAATTAATGATTAGGAGTCTGTAAATAATTAAAGATTTTTATTGAGAAATACTCCTTTGGGTGTACCCTTTTTAAAAAATACCCTCTTTTACCTAGTCAATTTTTAAAATACCCCTATTTAAATGTAAAAAATTATAAAAATTTATACGGTTTCTAAGGTACTTCTAGATAAAATCCTACTGGGAGATTCAATCCGAAAAATATAAGGTTTTTAAACGGGTTTTAATACATTTATACGATATTTATGAAAGATATATAAAATTTTACACATTTATAAAGGTAATTTGTGTGTATATTTATAAATTTACACAAATATTTGGACAAATTTCAACATTTTAGTGGCTTTTTTATAAAGTTTAATTTGAAAGGAGTAGTTTTGAAATTCCTCATTAAATTAAATCAAAATTATAATTTGATTAATAAGAATGAGATTTAGTAATTAGTACATTGAACCATTTAAGATATTATCTTAATTAAAAACTATATTTAAAACCAAAAGTTGGATCATACCAACATTTTTTGCCATAACTAATTTATTTTTGGTGTTAATAGTTATAAAGTAAAACGGTTTGGTTACGATTTAAAATATGGTTATAATTTGATTTTGTTCATACTTATATAATAAAAATATTAGTCGATGAAAATGATCTTTTCATTTGGGGGGAGGAGTTGGATAATAATAATTGGTGGAAAATATCATATACTTGTAAGTTATAACTGAAATCTGTTCATGCAAAAAAAAAAAAAAATCAAAGAGATAATGATATTTTTGATAACTAGTGAGTGGTAACTGTTTGATGTTTTCAGCAATAACGAATCGCGAAATCTAATTGCGTGGTCTGACCTTTTTTTGTATTGTCTTTATTATTGTTTTCTTTTCATATTAGAGCAACTTGATGAAAAATGTGAGAAACTTTCCTGAAATTTGTCTATATTCATCGATTTCAACTTTATATCTTTTGGAGTTATTTTCATTAATGATTCTGTTTACATTTTTGTGTTAGTTTCGGAGAAGCTGCAAACGAAATTTTTATTTAGAGATTTGAAGATTAATTTTGGATAACAATAACGATTGGAGTTGTGGAAACCATATAATTTGATAATTGAGATTTTTTTGAGAAATACTCTTTTTGGTGTACCTCTTTTCAAAAATACTTTTTTAATCTATTTATATTAAAAAAATATCTATGTTTAAATTTAAAAATTATAAAGTTTTATATGGTTTATAAGATACTTCTATATAATAATTACTATACTGCGAGATTCGATGCAAATATTTTATAATTTTTAAGAGGTTTTAAATCGTTTTTACAAATTTTTCAAGATTTTAAAAAGTTTTTAAAAGGGTTTATAAGATTTTTAAAAGGTTTTAAAATTTTATTTTTACCCTATTTATGAAAGATATATAAAATTTTATACACGTACAAATATAGTTTGTGTATATATTTATAAGGTTATACACATATTTGGATAAATTTCAAAAACTTTTGTTGTTTTTTTATAAAACTTGAAAAAACTATTTTTAAAATGTAATATTTGAAAATGAGTATTTTTGAAATTCTTCCATTATTATTTTAGTTATAGATTTTGATATATTTTTTTCTTCTTTATTAATTTTCTACCCCCGCTGCCGTAATTTTCAAATTATATAAATATTTAAAACTGATACCCAAAAATATATTTTCATTAGCATTCATATTTATTAAATTTTCATTTTATTTACTTTTTACACACAAATTAATAGATTAAATTCCATTCGTTAATACACATTAGAGAGCATATCGGTTAAGCATCAATAATACTATCCATATGATATTATTAGATGCGTTCTAGAAACATATATACGACCGTATAATTATTAAAGTCTTTAATATGCTAATCTATAGTCTATAGAGGTGTTCGAATCAAAGAGTACCATATAACAAAGTCACGAGTAATTAATGATAATAGATCATCCAATTCCTCTGAATTTGTAATTGCCAAGAAACTTGTGCCTTTTGAAAAGTCTTCAAAGTAAAGTCAAAGTAATCTAGAACAAAATTGATTCTTATAATAATATATTCCAGCTAATTATGATTATATCTTCAAAACTAGCACTACTTCTTTGTGGAGTTGCCACTGAGCGCACTTAGTATATAGAGGAAACTAATAGGAAGTTTCATAACTGAAGCCTTAATCGAAGAAGATTACTAGTAATCAACTAATCATAGTAAATAAATTAAGTTTAAGTGAATAAGATATTTGAGATGTGCATATCTACATTAGGAACGAGTTTTACTAATTTTGAAAATTAACATGATCTTCAATGGCTATATTACACACATGTAAAAAAAAAAGGTGAAAATATCATGAGTTTTTTTTAAAGAGATTAATTTGAATTTTATCTATCCGGATTAGCAGTTAAAAATAAAATTATTCAGAACACAGTTTTAGAATCCCTTTATGAAATGCTACTTGTATTACAAGTTATGTTTTAATAATGTTATGTCTATGATTATATTTACAATTACTCTTTACATTTCACAAAAAGTGTCGTTTAAAGTTTTTGTTTTGTTTTATAAACAATGTCATTTTGTGTATTTAACGTTGTTTTACATAGTTTTCTTAATTTATATGAAAATATATCAAAAATAACACTTTTTGTAAAACATATAAAGTATTAATTTATCGATTAAATATCAAAAATTATATTAATGTATCGTGATGGTATTTTATTTAGTATTATTAGTTTATAAATTTCAAATTGTATAAAGATGATATACTCCCAATGTTCTAGTTAGTAAATGAAACTACTTAAGATTATTTCCAAAAAAGAAAAAATATTTATTTAATACAAGTAAAAATTATTTATCTATTCAAACGGGTTATTTATGGAGTAATCAATTAGTATTTATTTTTAAATAAAAACAAAATTATCTATTTGGTATAAAGCATACGAGAGAAGAACCAATCAAACCTTAACTATGAACTCAATTTGAGGTTTATATTTAAGCTCATAACATAATCGACTACCAAATGGGAGTAGTTAATTAACCACTCAAAAGATTCCAAACATGAAAGTTATACCAATCCCTTTTTCAAAAATTTGAATAAAATTTATAGTTAAATTAACTATTGAACGAATTCAATTTAACTAATAATAATAATAATAACGAATTGAATTTAATAGTTCTAATAATTGAATAAAATTTATATTTAATTTACGCACGTTGTCTGTTATTGAACGTTGACTAGTCAATTCAACACTCCACAAGATACATGCGTGCGGACCCCTTGATGATTTATTTAGCTGTCTAGAAATAACAAAGTTGTCAATTTCAAAGACTTTCGAATATTGTATTGTCTGTGAAATTCTGTTTTTGTTCTCTTAATTGGATATTTGTATTTTTTTCAGTATAAATTATCATTAAATATAATATAAATATACATAAACAAATTGAGATTAAATTATATTTTTAAAATTTGTCATCACCTAGATGGCAAAATCTAGCTTTTCATTAAAATTTCGAATACAAAATTTTAGAAGTGTACTTTGTTATTTTCTCCTCCACATATTGTAAATATATTATGTATCGATGAAAATAGTTAGGCGTTAAACGTGTAATAATTTACTACCTCATATTTCAAATGTTTACTCACGAATCTAGATGATTTTATACGATATAAATTATTTATAAAAAAATATTATAAACAATAAAACCAATATTATGAAAATATTTTATATAATATATAAATATATTACAATATTAACAGTATTAAGAATTATATTTTAAAAATATGGAAAATAAACTTAGTAACTTTAAATGTGTAATAAAAAAACTAAAATAAGTAATAAAAAAGACATGCGATTTTAGGTGATCAAAACGTTCATTTAGGTGTGGCATCGGTGTCTAACGTTCCTATATGCATATGATACGCATTCGTTTCATTATTTGGCTGGTGATACGCATTCGTTTCTCCACGGAAACTCGAATGCGGCCGTGGAGAACGTAATGAATCACGAGATCATCTTTTCTTTAGATGTCCATATTTCTTAACTATTCGTTTGGCTTTGGCATGATCATTGCTGCAGAAAAAAGAAAGTACGACCTCAGCTTCGAGATCTCTTCCAACCATCTTTTGCATTTTCGATGTCACTAAAAAATGTTCATATGCATGTTGTTAACCAAACAAGAAAAACCACTCATAATTAGATTTATATATATAGTGGCGACATATATGATTTTTGTGCAGCCATGGATAGAAATTATTCTCCTGCCTATAATAAATATACTCCATCTTTTCAAATTGAGTACTTACATATATAATTATTTGGGTAACATAACAATGAGCGAAAAGCTGAAAAAGTCTGGTTTCATAAAGACATGAAAATTCACAAACCTGGTGTGCTCAAACCAGATTGTACTGTTCTCCTCGTTTGCTCTTCCGTCAGTTCAAAACATTACGTCTCTAACTCTAATGCGTTTGTGGTGCTTGTGCGTATGTTTCGGATAGGAGTCATGAGCCACTTTGGTTTGTAAGAAACCAATAATGTATCCCATCATCAATCCAAAGACAAGACCAGATATGTATCCAACAGCAGCTGCTGTCCAATTTATCACCTCTTCTTTACCTTCTTCAGGCTCTGGCATTTTGGACTGTTGTGATGTTTTCTCATGGATATCTACACAAATTTCTTTAAGTGAAGGGCCAAAGAGTCTCGGGTTGTCCGCGAAAGAAGAGCAAAGCTGTGTTTGAAACTGAGTGCCCCCTGGTAGTAAACCTACAAATTGGTTATGAGAGAAGTTCATGACCGCTAGGTATGAGAGGTTCCCTAGCTCTTGTGGAATTTCTCCTGAAAGCTTGTTTTGAGAAATATCTAATGATTCGAGCTCTTTCAGGTTTCCCATTGATGATGGGATGCGGCCAATGAAACCATTGTTCGACAAGTTGAGCACATGAAGCTCTTTCAGTAGACCAATGGACTTTGGAATCTCTCCTTCAAATTTGTTTCCAGAAAAATCAATTGTTGTAAAGATTTTTAGGATACGTACCATCTCCATTTTTATGCCTTTATTCATCACGACTATTGAATCACTGTAATAGTTTGTCCCCATGTACTGCTCTTCGGTTTTTCCAAGTGAGAACATTGCAGTCCAATTGACAAAAAAATATAGTGACAAAGTTCCATTAAAGTGATTACCAGATATGTCGATGATTCGCAACTTAGAAAACCCGGTTTGATGTATCGATCCATGGAATGCATTGGAGCGAAGGACAAGAACTTGTAGTTCTTGAAGAGAACCCAACCAAAAAGGGAACGTATCATTGATTTTGTTGCTTTCCACATTGAGAACTTCAAGAGAAGAGATACGGACCAAAGATCTTGGAAGCTTTCCCACTAGTTGGTTATGACCAATGTCAAGCGATATTACACTTGTAGATATATTCTCTGGAACACTTCCACTAAGACGATTCTTTCTAAGATTTAAAACTTCAAGAGTACTTAAGTTTCCTATGCAACGAGGGATTGAACCATTGAATTGGTTGGTAGATAAATCAAGAAGGATTAGAGAGCGCAACACACATATGAAAGATGGAATCTTTCCATTGAAAGTGTTGTTGGAAAGATTCACGTACGCCAGATTTGGTAGCATCCATAACCAGCTAGGAGCTTGACCTTTGATTTTGTAGTTAGAAATATCTATTGAACCGGAGAAGCCATTGTTCTGTAACTGAAACGTAAAGAGCGTCGTACAGTCTCCGAGCGACTTAGGGATTTCTCCGGTGAGATTGTTCGAGTACACCACCACACCTAGAAGCTTACCTCCGTTACACAAATTCTCCGGTAATTTCCCGGTTAACTGATTCTGCGAAACTTTGAACTGCTCCAGCTTCGAATTAAACCCAATATCCGCCGGTATTTCTCCGGTTAACTTGTTGGTGAAGATCATAAGCTCCTTCAATTCCGGTAATTTCCCGATAACCGGCGGGATTTCTCCGGTTAACTCGTTATAAAACAAGTTCAAAACCTCTAATTTCTTTAGATTCCCGATTGAAACCGGAATCGAACCGGTTAAATTATTAGCAGAGAGATCAAGCTTTACCATGTTAACCGCCGAGATAGATTTGGGGATTTCTCCGGTGAAATGATTAGCGTAGAGATAAAGCTCGGTGAGATTCTTCAACCCGAATAAATCATCTGGGATCCGACCCGTTAAATTGTTAACCGATAAATCAACGTGAATAAGATCCGTCATGTTTTCGAAAACAACGGCTGAGATTTCTCCGATCAGATTCATCTCCGATAGCCACATGTACTTGAGTTTCTTCAATTTCCCATACTCCGTCGGAAGCTTCGCCGGAGTAAACTTATCGTTTAACGCTAATTTAAGTTCTTCGAGCTCCGACAAGTCTCCAATCTCCGACGGAAACGTACCGTCGTATTCGCTCTGGTACAGATTCAATACCTTAAGCTTCGAGATCCGTCCGATGTTCTTTGGGATATCTCCGGCGAAGGAGTTAGCCGCGAGATCAAGATGCTCGAGTTCCGGCGAGAGACAGTTGATGTCTTCGGGAAGTGAGCCGTTGAAGTAGTTCTGAGAGAGATCGAGATACTTCAGCTTCGTGCAGTTGTAAAGAACCGTCGGAAACTCGCCGGAGAAGAGATTAAAAGACAAATCTAGGGATTTGAGATTCGGGAAATCGCAAATCTTCGTCGGAACTGTCCCGGTGAAGTTCTGGTTCTGGAAGTTAATCTCGGTGACGTTTCCGGCGGTGCAAGTGATACACGGCCAGTTGCACGGTGAAGATGTGTCGTTCCATAGCCGGAGAGACGGTGGGTCGCCGAGAACGCTTTTCAGGTTCAGAAGCGTTGACTGGTCGTTGATTTGTGAAAATACAGATAAGGGTATTGAGGTGAGGACGAAGAAGAGCAATAGTAAGGGTAAAATCGTCATTCTAGAAACTTTTGTTGGTTTTGGCTTTTTCCCGGGAAATTTAGAGCAACCGAGTTTGACCGGTTTAACGTGTTAATTAAATGGATACAAATTTGAAGCCTTTTTATAGAACTGAGCCACGTCACACCCGTTTACTCACAGTCTCACATCACATAGACTTGACAAATCTAGATCTTAAGAAGAAAATTACATTTGTTGTAGATTAAGTATTATTTAGTAAGAGTTTCTAGAAAAATTACGAGCATAATTATTTTTTATAACGTCTTATTACGAGTATACTATATAACGTCTTAATACGTTGTACTACTAATACCATTAACTGTGACAACAACCAAAAAAAAGTCCGACCCAAAAGGAGTAGAACAATAATACTTAGACAGTTCATTCAACAGACGAAAGTAAAAGCTAATAGAGGAAACAAGAGCATCATCGTTTTCTTTAAGAACGCCTTGGATTGATAATAGCCATGAGAGGATAGAGCTTCTGAGAGGTCAAGCCATAGGTATCAACATTCTCTTCCTCGCCGTCGTCTCTAAGCTTCCATTCAAATTCTTGAACTAGTCTCCCAATGGCAATGCCTGCCATGAGTGATGCTTGAAGTGCACCAGCACAAACCCTTTTTCCCGCTCCGAACGCCATTGTCTTGTAAAGATCTGACGCTTCGTATTTTCCATCGTCTAGAAACCTCTCTGGTAGCCACTCCTCTGGTCTCTCCCAACGCTTCTTGTCCATGTTGCATCCGTATATGTTTATTGCTATCTACATATCAAGATTTCAAAGTAGACTTTGTAGATGAACTTCAAAATGTGATCTGACTAAGGAGTATTAAGTATACAGTTCAGGATATTGCAGGGACGGTACATTAGGGACGAGACAAGACAAGACTTTTGCTCACTCCTAGTGATGGCTTTAGTGAAGATGATAATTTACCTCACTTCCTGCGGGGACATGGTAGCCTCCGATTTGGGTATCCTCGTGGGCAAAGCGAATGGGAACTAGAGGAGCCGGACTGTATTTTCTAAGTGTTTCATGGAAGACTCCATTGAGATAAGGAACTTGAGGCAATTGCTCTTCTTTGATAGTTTCTGCTCCGCAGACGTTTTGGATTTCTCTACACAGATGATCTTGGACACTTGGATGCTTCGCGAGCTCATAAATCGCCCATTCAGTTGTGACCAAAGTCGTGTCAGATGTTTCAATAATCGTCTCCCAAACCAAGATTGCAATTTGCTCCATGGTTAGTGTTTTTGCCTCCGACATCAAGAAGTTGAGATAGCAATCATCATCCTGTTTCTGAGTAGGGATCAGATCAGAGGAGCGAGTCAATAAAGGATGACATTTATACAAACCATACCGTTTCGGAATCGTTCTGCTTCAGACTATCTTGAATTAGAGCATTCATCACTGCAAGTCTACGTTTATGCTTTTCCTGGATTCTTGCTTCAAAACTTTTATTCGGAATCCATTTTAAGTATGGGAAGAAGTCTCTCCAATCAACATCAATTGCACCCTCCATCATGTCATGCACTAAAACCTCGAAGATCTCGTTTCTCGACAAAGTCACACCGAGTTCCTCAACATAAATGGATTCAACATCTTTCCCAAAGGCCTATGAGAAAAAAAATAACCACTTTTTATCTTCTCTAGACCAACAAACAATAGAACTGTATGTTTACTGGAAGTATAGCGTAAACAAAATACTCACTTGCTTCAAGGCTACACCAAAAAGCTCATGCTCGAATATAGCTCTGAAGTTTACAGGTTCTTGCGGATGGTCCCTCGTGTGGGCATGCAACTTGGAAGACACATTCTCAATGAGGGCATCTCTGTAGTGCCTTTTTCGTTTCTGCGAAAAAAATCAACACAACTAAAACCTTGATTCAGTTTGCCACAAAAGTACATCACAGAGATGCTACAAGATAAATGAACTGTAAATTCACCTGTGCATTAGCACCCAAAAGGCCATTCAAAATACACCGTTTCACCAATTTGTGGAAATCATCATAATCACTAGTAGCAACCATAGATTTGTCACAAGTGAGGACTGTCAACGCATTTGACAACTTCCTTGTCGAAATGGATGAAAACCGAGTAACCATGGCCTGAAATACAAACCACATAACCAACACCCTATCATTCAACTCTTCCAGTGAAAGCATCAAGTCATCAACTCAGATTTCCACATAAGCAAATCAGTTCAGATTAGTGCTAAGGGACATCTTGATCATTAACTAGTGTAAGGCTTTGTTCTTATGTTCTTGATTGTAATCGACAATTTAAGATCGAAAAAGGAACCATTTTGCTACTTTTCATCAGTAATCAAGTTCCAAAGCTATCAATCAAACATATAAAGCTAACCTCTTTAGCAGTCTCGGTTGAATTGAGGACAATAAGAGAGGAAGAACCCATCTTTATAGAGTAAATAGGACCATAAACCTCTGACCATCTAGTGAAAGTCTTGTGAGGCTTCTTCTCTTTTAGTTGCAGCAAGTTCCCAATAACCGGAAGCCCTGGCACCACTGCATAAACACAACAACTTTAAACTCTCAAAGTTCCAATTTTTAAGTGATCCTTTCAATCTAGCTAACTAGACTTGTTCCTGAATCACTAAAACCAAACAAAGTCTCAAACTTTATCAATTCAAATCATCAGAGAACCAAACCCATGAATCCCAAAACCCAGATAACTCAAATTCGAAGAAGAAAAGAACAAAAACAAACCTGGAACAGAGGGGAGAGTAGAAACTTCAGACATGTTCTTTCTGGTGGTGAGGGAGAGTAGTTTCTTGAAGAAGATGATGAAGATGAAGGAGGAGACAACAAAACCAAGGAGAATGGAGAAAAAGGCCATGGAAGGAGAGTGACTGGTTTGTTGCTGATGTGATTTAAGAGAAGACAATGATGAAGTGATGCATTCATCTTGTATAGTGAAGAGAAAGGAAAGTTTGGATTTTTCCTTTTTATTGGCATTTGGGAAGTTTTGATTTTACCTATATGTATGTGTATATCCGTTCAATGATCCTCCTCATGGGTGCATCAGTTTTCATGTTATCTTCTTATTAAAAAAATAATTCTAAATAAAGTGACATGATAATGTGATTAAGATATGGTTAAATTAATGTCATAAAGTACAAAAGGAGAAGAATATTCATAATTTATAGGTTTCATTTTACTATAGCAAAAATATAGTATAGTAAAGAAAATATATAATTCTAATTCAAGAAAGATTAACGAGAATTTTTGAGAAATACCCTTTTTGGTGTACCTTTTTAAAAATATCTCACTTTTCTATCCATTTTCAAAAATACCCCTTTTCAAATATGAAAAATTATAAACATTTATATGGTTAATAAGGTACATCGAGGTCATCATTACTACTGGGAGACTAAATCCAAATATTTATAAGGTTTTAAAAGGTTTTAAAAGGTTGTAAACGGCATTTATAATGTTTTTATAAGGTATTTAAAAGGTTTACACAATTTTTATAAGGTTTTTAAAAGGTTTTTAAAAGATATTTATACGGTATTTATGAAATATATATATAAATCTACACACATAAACATAATAAAATCTCTCAATATATGAGTTTAAAGTTTAAACAAGTTTTTGTTTTTCCTTTATTTTTTAAGTTCTACATATAACATAAAAGAAATGTTGTAGAATGGCTCAAGACTCAAGAGTATTAATATATAGATTATCCCACAAAAAATGTTATTATTGTTGTTTAAATTTGTTCACTAATACCCACTATGTATTTTATTCTATCTCTTTAGCTAATTTATTTTATTAAAAACATGTAAAATACACAACACTTCTTCACTTTTCTCTTAAAATCTTAGGTTTGACATCCACAAATCCAACATTTCTTACATCTTATGATCTTTGATGTTGCCAAATAACGTTGCATCGACAATAGTGAAACTTATCCAACATTTGTAATGTTAGATCTCACTATTCCATTCATCTCAAATTTTGATATATGTCTTAAGTTTATAAATTCGAATTTTGACTCAAGTTAGAGTTTAACATACTCATTTTATAACAAATGTATGCAAAAGATAGTTTAACCTTTCCAACCTTGACAATTCTTGTGACCTACCAAACTCTTAAAACCTTTTGGCAAATGTACATCTTTTTTTGTTTAATTATGAACTAATCATCGATATTTCGTTCACTTCTATGATATAGACGAGATCTAGACTAGAAAAAAATAGTCAAACAAATAATCAAAGCTACAAATTACCAACAACAAGATATATTATTTTGTCTTTGCTTTTAAATGACATTTTACCTCATATGAAAGGATAGGAACGCAAAAATCACTGTAACATATACTTTTTAGTTCAATAAACAATTTGGTTAATTAATAATGGAGAATTCATATATATGATGAAAAACTAAATAAATAAAAAAATTCTTAGAATTAATAGATAAAACGAAAAATAGAAGTAATACTTGTATATAAAAAAAATTAAGTTGTTACGTTTGACTCTTTTGAAATAAAATTTGGTTATATGATTTGTGGCAAAATATTTGTAATTAAACACTAAAAATGATCAATGTGAATCATTTAGAGTTGAAAAATCAAGTATCATCATATTTTCTAGATCAGGATGTTTTTAGCTTAACAATTTCTCGTTTATCATGTTATCTTCTCATTCAACATAAAAGTAACCATTATTTATTCAAGAAATTATGATGTTATGAATATGTTAGAAAACATGAGCGAAAATCTTCTGGAGAAGCAGCAACCACTGGATTTGGAGAGGAAGTCTCTCTCTTTGGACAAGTAGGCTCTCTCTTTAAAGAAACTGACTCTTGCGCTTGAATAAAAGTCTATCTCTTTGGCAGAGAGGTCCTTGGCTTTGGAGATGAATGAATCATTTTTGCGACAAAAGAAATCAAAACTCTAAATTATACGCTGGATTGTCGATCCTCTTTAATATCATGGTTTCAAACTCCTGAGGAAATTCCTAATAAAGCTTTAAGATGAAAACAAAAGACATAATTGATTATGTAAACCTATATTATACATATTCCACATAAAAACAGGAAAAAAGATTATCGTACTAATTCTACTAAAAAAACTCAAAGATAGTTAAAAGTTGTTCAAAACAAACATCACACTCTTTTGTACTTCACTTTGCTCTCTCAATACAACATTTACTATTTGAACTCTAAATTATTTAGCTAGATTCAACCAAATATTCACCAATATATCCGGTTAAATTAAATAAGGGAGAGTTTCAAAAATGTTTATTTTACAATATCAGTTTTTAAAAATGTTCCATCTTTAATATTTTCTTAAAAATGCCTTTAAATTTTTGTATGTAACCTTAGACTATCTTAAATAAATTACATTTATGCATTTATTCCACTTAATCCTTATACATACTTTATATATATAACCAATAAGTACCATATAAAATGTTATAACCTTATAAGACCACCTCCAATGAAGGGTTACACAATATGAATACTTTATCAATATTAAATCAAACTAATTATATGTAGACATGTGTCATATTAAGATTCCAAATAAAAACCAACGTTTCTCAAACAAGCACTTTAAGAACTAGAGGAAAACAATTTCTCATTCTCTTTCCTACATTTTATTTATTTTGTATTATTTGAATTTTATGAAATTGATTAAATACCTCACACTGGGAGTTGCTCTAAAACTTTAAAATCTTTTATAAAACTTTATAATTACTTGGGTCGAGTCTAAACCTCCAAAATTTAACAGTTAATCATTAAACAATTCTGTCAAATTTAAAAATTACCATATAAACCCGTAATAATACAACATCAAATAACTCTTTTCTATTTCATTTCATCTATTTTTCAATTCTAATCATATACACTTTTTCTTTTACCACTTATAACAAAAGAAGACATGAATTATATAGAGTATAATCAACTTATAGTGCCACTGCTTTTTTACACACACACGATAACATAACATAATAACCCCGATTACTGAAACGAACAGCAATATTTACAACAACAACAAAAGAAACCGTAGCAAGCAAAAAAACCTACTACATAATTAATTTGGTATAAGAAAAAAAATCTAAGTAAGAAAAAAACAAAACCAGTAAATCATCAAATCCAAACTCCATTAGTTCCCACAGAAATTACATTTAAAAACAAATCATCATCGAACTGACGATGACTTCTTCATACTTCACTCTACTCATTCCCATGTTTCGTAAGCTTACGTGAGAGTGAAGAGGCGTTAGAGGTCTTCAAAACATGCAGCCTCTTCACAGTCGATACAAACATCCTAAGTCGTAACAAAGTTAAATTTAATCATTGATTTGTCAAGTGTTGAGAAAAACACAATTATAAATTATGTTTTGTGATTGCAAAAAACTTACTCCCAAGGAACATCTCCGACAAGAACTTTATCACCTTCAGTGTCTTCATAGACCAAAGTGTATTGTCTGGTCAGATCCCAAGAATCTTTCTTAGAGAAGAGTTGGTCAACGGCATGTGAAAGCTTTTGGTAGTTGTTAAAAGCTGAGAGGTTGACTTTTCTTCCTATTGGAACTCCTTCCATGTTGATCTTTACGTACAACTCTTTCTCTTTCTCTTCAGCATCATCACCACCACTCTCCCTCTTCTTCATGATCTCCTCCTTTAGTAGCTGTGCCGCTAGGTTTCTCCTTGATGATCTCACCGGCGGCCATCCCACCACTGGTGCTACATCAACCCTGTTTTAACCATGTCTAGTTATTATAACCATATTGTAATTTAGACCAAGATTGTGAGAAGAGAAGGAACTGAGAGAACCTGTTATTGGTGGAGCTTCTTTGTTTAGATCCATTGTTGTTGTTGGAAGTGAATTGGTGACAAGGAGGAGCCAGCCTTAGCTCTAATCTCTTCTCTTCTTCCATTTTTAATTTCTAAGTTTGTGTTGTGTTGTGTTGTGTTTTTTGGGTGTTGGGGAGTATTATTATATGGGTGGTTGGCAAAGGAACTACAATCCCAAATCTTTATAAAAGTAGCAATATTTTTTTTTTCTCTAATGAATTTTGTATTAGTAATAATCACCTAACAGATCCTACTTTGTATGGATTCCGAATGTCAAAATGCGTTAAATACGTGTATGATTCTATGAATCTGATGCTGATTGATTTGATACACTCATGTCTATATAAACTTGTAAAGATAATATATTATTCTATGATTGTTAAAAACAATCTAATAAACAAATTTGGAGTTATGATATGTCTAAACTAAACCAGAATAAATCAACGACATTAATCAAAAACACTAGTAGGTAATAAAAGAATGATAAATAGTAAATTTCATAAGAAACAAACATTCAAAAGAATAATCTTTTTTAATCAACCACTCCTTTGAAAAAAAAAAACAGTTTAGTTTCCCAAACCGGAAAGAGTCAAAATGTTAATGATTTTATGGAATTTAGTTATTGGTTATAATCAAACATTGAATAAAAATCAAAATTATGTTTTTATTAAGTTATAGGTTACATTAGGCCTTAAAATAGTGATAAATATTAACCAAATCATGAAATATACAATCACCTTTTGTTAATCTATCTAGCTAGAACGTACATTTGTAACTTGCTTCCCTTCGGCATGACATAGATAACATGGAATTATGGTTGTTTACATGTTATGACTTATGAGACAAAGAAATGTACAATGCATGGTTGTTTCATCATACTGAACATAAACATAGTCATCATCATCTTCATCTTCATCTTCATCATACTTATTAAAGATTTTTGTGTAGATAAAAGAATTGGAGAGTGGAGGCCGACATAGAAAAGAGAAACAAGAAAGAGGAAAGAGATTCCTAGGCATGCTTAAATGAGTACCTACCAATAAAAAGGAGAAAAAAAAATAGTTGGTTTTAGTTTTGCCCTCATTTACAAACATTGATTCTTCTGTTTATTTTTACATAATATTTAGCAAATATTAATTGTATGTGAATACTTTGAATTCCACTACTAGCTCTCTCTCTCTCTCTTTTCACTAAAAAGTCCACTACCAACTTAGTTTGGCCTCCATAATGTTTGTCCTATTTTTCTCAAGTTACATAATTCATTTGGTTTACTGAAATCGTCCACCCATGAGGCCATGATCAGAAAGCTAATGATATATCACCGATACGATAATCAAGTTTAACTTTAGAAATATATCAAATTAAAGATGATTTAAGGATCTTTCAACTCAATCTAAGAAGAACAAGTAACTTTGACACATAATCAAATAAGTTGTAATTTTAATGGGTGAGAAAACATGACTAATTAAAATGGTTTCGTTAGGAGTATTTCAAATTTCCCAAGTGTCATATGCTTTGAGTATACTACAAATAAATCTGGTGAAATAGACACATAGAACTTTGGGAACATGTTATGTTGTTATCCGTCGACTTAGTTTTCAAAGTCTATTTCGATGACTTCGACTTTTTTTTGTAATTGTTTCAACTTCAATAAGATATCATTTAAACGAAAAAAAAAACACATAAGTTCGCAGAGATTGTTGTATATTGCGACATATATAGTTAGTACTTATCTTGTTTCTCCCAACTATGCAATCTAGAAATTTTCTTTTGTCTTTTTGACACTTTTAATCTTATGGACCATCACCTTTTATTTCATTTTAACTCAGGCCAAAACCATCTGATAGATGGATGTAAAGTCATCCCCAACAAATATTGCACTTGTAATTCATATACTATTATCTAACACACTCAATGAGAAAACACCATAAAGAACAAAGTAGAAATAAAGTGTTCCAAACAAGAAGTTATGATGAACATTTTGATACTCTCAATACACATTTAGGCATGCCTATCATTTTTTTAAAAGGACAAGAACAAATTATAGATGTTCAATGAATGTATAACTAAAAAGTGAATAATCAAAGCAATCATCATTATCATAAATAATTATGCTACTAATGGAGGGCCACCACTTGCAAAAATTTACTTTTTATTATCTTTCTCTTAATAGTATTATTTATTTTATCTTTTCTTGACTTTTGAGATATGATGGATGGGATCATTGACTTTACAATGATTATATTTTTAGGCCCAAAATCACTTCAAATATTCTCTTTTAACACTTTACTCTTTTTAATATAGTAGATAATAGTTGCTTTTCTATAACAATACAATTGGTGGTTTTAAACTATTAGTAAAGTATCAAGTGAATTTGGTAGAGGGAAATATAACCATATTATTTGTATCATGTTTCTATTTGCAATTTGTTTTTTGTCAACCACATATAAATTAAAAATTATTTTATAATTTGTAATTCGATTATGGAAAAACAATTAAGATTAACGAGATATTATTAACTTTTATCGATAATTAAAACTATTAGTTAAAAAAACGATATGGGTTTACGTCAAGTGTGATACTCGATTAAACTTGTTTACTCTTGTTTTATGAATCACATATGGACTGATTAAACATTTGTACTCTAATTCATTAATCTCAAAATCAGCCGTTTAGCCTAGCCTAGACACCCAAAAATCATTAGTGTCTTTAATTAACTAAATTAGTTAAAGGGAAAGCAACGACGTCTAATTAACTTACAAATTAATTTTACAAAATACTTACAACTATAAGGTAGGTTTATATGATATTAAATTTTAAAATAATTAAACAAGAATAATATACAAATAAATGTCTTATTTGTACGCACAACTAGTCAACTAGTGTCTACCAAACACTTCTCAAAGCCTCAAACTTTAACTAGTACGACAACAATGAGTCACGCATTATATTACTATTTGATAAAGAAGTATTACTGTTATCTCATATAGTTAAAAGTTGAAAAAAAAAGTAAAAAAAAAGTAAAAACAGTTTAGAAGTTGTCCTGTATAGAAAAGCACCAAAACTGATAAAGCAAAAAAAGTAACAAAGCTGAGGACAATGTGTGATGATTATAGAATGTTCAACGGAAGTTTCTATAGACAGGGCTGTACATGCAGCTCTCTGCCATCTTGACGAGGTTCTTTGGACGAGGCAGGTTCGATGCTAGTCCTGCAACAAAACCAACAACAATATGATATCACCTTTTGCCAAAAAGAAATATTTTTGAGATCATCATTTTAACAAATGTGATGAATTGTGAAGCTAACCGAGTTCATATGTTTTGGCTCCCACACTAGCTGCAATGTTAGCAGATATCTTCCTTATGTTCGCAAAAGGCGGATAGATCAATCCGTTCGCAAAATTCTCTTCTGTCACTTGGGAAGCTAGTGCTTCCGCTGGTAAAATATAAAGGTAACATAGTTTAGAAAAGATACACAAAATGGTCTAAATGGTAACGGTTGAATTTGGTTTAAATTTTCATATGGCGATCCGATAGATAATTTATCGTGATTTTGCGGTGTATTTGATGTTATAAAGGTTGAATTTGATATAAAATTGAAAATTTTTCATATGGGGATCTCAAAGATAAGTTATGAGGCAGGGAGACCAAAAGTATTTCTAGTGGAACTAGAATTAGGGGCAGAGTGTGATAATGAATCAGTTTCTTGAAACAGTTTAAAGAAGTGTATTTGTACTTACAAGCTGCTAGAAGCATGTCATCACGGACACGAATGGCACCAGACATGATCAAACCAAGACCGAGACCCGGGAAAATGTAGCAGTTGTTTGCCTGATAAGTGGAGTGGTATCGAAAGAACATGAGCTGTGAGCTGTCGATAAAAGTGTAACAGTGAATTATAAACGAACCTGGCCAGGCGTGAATGTTTTGCCATTATACTCAACAGGGTCAAAGGGGCTTCCACTTGCAAATATTGCACGACCCTATAATCAATCACAAGCATTTTTTTAGCCGCATCAAATGAAATTATATATTTTAAAGGGTATCAATGAGCTTCAGATCGTTACCTCGGTCCATTTGTAAGCTTCTTCCGCGGTGCACTCAGCTTGAGAAGTTGGGTTTGAAAGAGCAAGAATCAAGGGTTTCTGTAAGCCACCATAAAAACCAAGCATCAGAAGCAAGAACATAGATACCGAGAAACCAGATCGAAAGGAAGGATACAAAACCTCGTTCAATGTGGCCATTGCCTCCACTACTTCCTTTGTGAAAGTCTTACCCACACCAGAGGTTCCAATAAGCACAGTAGGCTTGATTGCCTGAATTAAAACAAGAACTAAACTGTCTTAGAAAATATTTATCATCTACTCATGAATAGATCTCTAAGATGAGGTGTTTTTTTTAGTACATTAACAGCTCCCAAGAGCTCCTTGACAGGTTCGTGTTCATGTGCCCATGGCTGCTTGAAATGCTGAAGAGATTCTTTCCGTGAGCTAACAATTAGTCCCTACAAGATAATCCAAAAAAATGTTTCATAAATAAACAAGAAAGCAATAGCTAACAATGATGTAATCAATACCTTGGAGTCCACAAGCCAAATCTTCTTCCTGGTTTCATCAATTGGTGCTCCAGTCTGCGTAACAATACAATCACAGATTCATGGTAAGAAGCAGCAAAGGAAGCAACTGAATACCACAAAGGCGAAACCGCGCAAAACAATCTAACCTCTTTCGAAATTTTCAGAGCAATTAGCTCAGCGATTCCGGTTCCAGCCTTCCAAAAAGATAAAATGCTTTAGCAACATAGCAAAAAAAAAAAAGCTTGTATGATATATGTTATCAGGTCTCACCTCTCCAGCACCCAAGAACAAAAAGGTATGGTCAGCTAGACTTTTACCAAGTACTTTCTGAGCCGCAATAAGCCCGGCTAACACAACTGATGCAGTACCCTGAAATTTTACAAACACAAACACAAAAAGACATTCTTACTAGTCACCTTTCAAAAACCACAAATGACTACTAATGTTCAACACAAGTTCTTACTTGGATATCATCGTTAAAAACAAGATGACTAGAGCAGTACTTAGAGAGAAGCTCAAACGCGTGGTGGTTAGCAAAATCTTCAAACTGTGAAACCAAAAACCAAATCAATGTGATCTACCTGCACCAACACAT